ACCACGAAGATACCACCCACGAGGTGCCCGCCCCTGCCATGACTGAAGCTGGCGATGTTGCCGGCAACGAAGCGCAGCCCGCGACCGCTCAGATTGGCAACGAACCTCTCGATCTCTCAGAATTTACGGTTCACAAGGACACAAAAACTGCCAATGAATCTACAACCCAAGATGGCGCCGAGGGAGCCGCACCTGTCATGTCGAAAAACCAAATGAAGAAATTGCGCCGCGCGGAAGCTCACCAGCAAAAGCGCGCGCTTCAAAAGGCCCAGAAGAAGGAAAAGCTTGTACAAAAGCGAGAACGTCGCCATGCTATGATTGTCGAGGCAAGGGAAAAAGGCGGCGAGGAAGCTGTGAAAGAGCTACGGGTGTTATGGCGAGGCAAGAAAGCCAAGCACACCCGGTCAACGCTCTTACCTTTGACGATCGTGATGGATTGCGGTTACGACGAGCTGATGTCTGACAGAGAGCGCATCTCATTGGCTGGCCAGCTCACGCGATCATACTCGGACAATAGTCGCGCACCCTTCAACGCCCACATGATGTTCTCGTCATTCGACAAATTACTGAAAGAGCGATTCGATACGGTGTTAGCAAGCCACAAGAACTGGAAACGTATTCGCTTTTTGCAGGAAGACTTTGCACATGCCGGTGAGCTGGCCAAGGAACAGATGACATCCGCGCGAGGAGGTCAGCTCGCTGGGCCGTTCGCTGAACAAACTGATGCGAAGCCCGAGGACGGGGAAATCGTCTATCTCAGCAGCGATAGTGAGAATACTTTGACCGAGCTGAAGCCTTACAGCACTTATATTGTCGGAGCGCTAGTGGATAAGAACCGACACAAGGCAGTTTGCTACAATTCGGCGGTTGCAAAGGGCATCAAAACCGCCAAATTGCCGATCGGGCAGTATATTCAAATGGCGCATCGTCCGGTCCTAGCCACCAACCATGTCATTGAGATTATGCTTCAATGGTTGGAGCTTCGTGACTGGGGTAAGGCGTTCATGAAGGTCATTCCTACCCGGAAAGGCGGCGCTTTGAAGGAAACCGAGAATGAGGGCGAGGGCGAGGGCGACGCCGAGAATGATGATGGAGATGGGAATGAGGAAGAACTCGAAGCAGACCAGAAGAAGCAGCTGGAAGAGATTGCAGCTTTCGAGGAAGGAAGCGAGGACGAAAACGAAGAAAAGGAATAGCTTGAGCTATCCAATGAATACCTTGTACATATTACATCACTAAAAGGGAGACAATTAGCACTTGAGATCTGAACATACGCTTGTACTAGTCGTCTGCATGGAGTCTTTTGATTTGGTCGATCACTGATATCCCTGTTATCAATACCTCACTAAAGTTTTCAGCTTTGTGAACCCTAGGTATATTTGAGGCCATCCCTCATGTCTGTCCATGCTTTTCCTGACTCCAAGACGAAAAATGACAGTGAAGATAAATGTAGAAAAGCATAGTGCCTATTTCGGCATAGTGGCGAACTGGATTGCTTACCTAAGCGAATTAGCCACAACAGCCACAATCTATGACGGAGGCGACTTTCATTGTGATTATTGCACTTGAAGACTTGCTTTCGCTTTTTTCTTTCTATCCCCTTCATATAGGCAGAAGAGCCTTCGCTACTGGGCCTATATCTTTCGCTCTTTCCCACATTACTTTCTCTTCACTTCTTCTTCCCTCCCTTCCCTTTTTAACCGCCTCTTGAATTTTTGTTTGGCAGCTGCCCCTCGCAACCATGTTTATGCTCCGCAACGGTAAGCAACGTGCTTTTCATGCCCCGCCAAACCCCTCTATACAAGGGCAATTTTTTGCTATTTTACCGCTTTGAACTAGTAAACTAATCTTTCACCTCTTAATTCAATAGTGAGCAAGTTTCTGTTTGGTGACGCTTCGAAGGAATCCATCATAGAAATCCCCCAAGGCGAGCTGTACCTGGTTCGCCCACAGTCGCCCAAAGGTTACTCTGAGCTTATCTTCAAGGACGCTGCTGCGACGATCCGACGGACTGGCCAGGACTTTCAGTACCAGCTTGTAATCCAAAGAGCCTACGAAGAGGGCGAGGAAGAACTTGCGGACGACGACGGCGAGCAAGGCGCGGGCGACGGCCTAGATAAGGACGAGAAGGTTTTCCTCCTGGACCAAACCCTGCATTTCCGCTCTGAACTCCGCGACGGAGGCGCAAAGATATTGGCCTGGGATGATCTGAGCGGCGACGCTGGTGATCTCTTTGAATTCATCTGTGACTCGTCGGTCCCATCGGATAAAGTTGCCACTTTCGAGCTTGCCGCCCTCCAGTGTCAGTACGAACGCAAACACCGCCGCAGTGCACAGAAGGCCACTGAGGCAGAGTTAAACGAATTCTCATACAACGAAGAGAAGCCCCTTCCACCTGCGAGCCCGGTTTCTTCGCCAACCATCAAGTCACGCGGAAATTCCGTGTCGGCAGAAGATTCAGCTGCAGCCATGGCACGAGACGTGGAATACGCTCAGTCCAAAGGACAGATCAAGACTGCCACCCTTGAGGAGCAGCCGACCACTGCCCCGCCGTCTGCAGCCCATCCCGAAGCCAAGGAGATTCTTTGCAAGGAAAATGCTGAGCTGCATTTGTTCGACTTTTCCACTGGAACATTTGTGCTTCAGGAGTCGGACATCGTTGCGACTGTTTCGGAGGTTGGTACCTGGCAGTACTGGCTCCAGATTGCTGGCAAGGATAAGGAGTGGCTAGGACAGACTGTCGTCGCCGATATCAACCCCGTCTTTAACTTCGAATATCTTTCCTTCATCTTCAACCACTACGGTGAAGATGGTTCGGCCTACTCATGGCTTCTGCGATTCAAGGACCAAACCTCGGAAGAACGGTTCCAGGAGGGTCTGATGCAGGCGCTATGGGAACAGCTCAATGAGCTGAAGTGGACTAAGGTCAAGGAGAATGATCGAGACTATGTTCTTGATGCCTTCCAGGATCTTACCATGGAAGATGCCGACGCCAAGGAAGCGGAAGAAGCTGAGGAGGAGGAAGAAGAAGAGGCCGAAGAGGATTACGACGGCGACCAGGACGATGCTCAGCGCAGTGAACACTACGACAGCGATGAAGAGGAAGAAGATGTTGTCACGCGCGATGCAGATGGAAACGTCAACTCACAATTGGCAGTCGGCTACAAGCATGATCGATCATTCGTTGTGCGCGGATCCAAGATCGGTGTCTTCAAGCACACTGCTCACAACAACCTTGAATTCTCCACAACTATTTCAAAGGTCGAGACCCCTAAGGGCAGCCTTTTCAGCCCCAAGAAGGTCATGCTCCACGCTGAGGATCAGAATATGATTCTTCAGAATGGAGATGATCCCAACTCGCTGTACAAGATGGATCTGGAGTACGGCAAAATCGTCGACGAATGGAAGGTCCATGACGATATTGCCGTGGAGACATTTGCTCCCGAAAATGTAAGTTACCTCGCAGGTCTTGAAATCTCTTTATGGATAAACTAACAAAACTCGCAGAAATTCGCACAAATGACTGCAGCGCAGCCATTCGTCGGTGTCTCCAAGAACGCCCTTTACCGCATCGATCCTCGTCTTTCTGGCAACAAGCTTGTCGATTCTGATCTGAAGCAATACGCCAGCAAGAATGACTTCTCGGCCATGGCTACTACTGAGAAGGGGTACCTTGCTGTCGCGTCTAACAAGGGTGACATCCGCATGTTCGACCGTCTGGGTATCAATGCTAAGACTCATATCCCGGCTCTCGGAGAGCCGATCATCGGTCTTGATGTGTCCGCCGATGGACGTTGGGTGCTGGCAACTTGCCGCACCTACCTTCTCCTCATTGATTCGTTGCAGAAGGAAGGCAAGAACGAGGGCAAGCTCGGATTCGAGCGTGCTTTCGCGAAGGACTCGAAGCCTCAGCCCCGCCGTCTCGGCTTGCAGCCCGCCCACGTTGCCCAGTTCCAGCACGAGACGAAACAGCCCCTCTCGTTCACCACGGCACGCTTCAACACTGGTGTCGACTCTACGGAAACTAGCATCGTCACCGCTACCGGCCCCTTCATAATTACCTGGAGTATGAAGAAGGTTATTGCCAACCGCAAGGACCCGTACACTATCAAGCGGTACGGCGAGAACGTCATGGCTGATAACTTCCGGTTCGGCTCTGACAAGAATGTCATCGTTGCTCTGCCAAACGAGGTCAACATGGTCGCCAAGCGTACCTTCCAGAAGCCCACGCGCGAGAGCATCGCTGGTCCTGCCACACCAAACCGTGCGCGCAGCGGATGGAGCAGTCGTCTTAACAAGGATGATATTGTCAACTCACCTTATTAGTCTTCACATCCCTTTCCCCCTTATTGGCCCCTGGAATTTCCTCTTTTTTTGTACCATTACCCATACCCCCTGATGTTTTGTGCTTTTCCATCTCTTTCCAACGTTGTGACTTTCTTTGCGGGGTTATTGCTCTTCTGACGCCGCTGGAGACCTCTATACTGGGGTCTTCGCATTCACTACTTTTTTTCTCCCGTTATCTGTGATGCGTTTCTAGGGCGATATTAATTTGGAGCTAAAGGGTGGCACTCGTTAAACGAGATCTTATTTTTCAAAGTAGCTAGCTAGTTCAGACAATTCACAAATGAAATATCCAACAATAATCACTTCTCCTGAAGGAATATTCTCCATCCTCCATCAATGTCTCGTCATGATATGTGTCCATTATCTCTACTATACTGTTTCCTACACACAAAACTCTCTCTTTCCACTCTCTATTTCGCTACACTCATCACAAACCCAACCTCTCAATTCAAGAGGTTCTCCACGCGTACAGCTCCGCTCCATCTCCATCTTGGCAGTATTGCATACTATGCACCAAGCGTAAATGAACCTCCCCTTGTCACGGACTGCATTGGCAAGACCTTTAACTGCATGAATATCCAGCTTATACTTCGCCACTAGATGGGGGGTGGGGTATCTGCGACAGAATGGACATGCCAGCACCTCAGTGTTGATCACGCAGCCTGCAGAGTTAATATGCCTGTACCATCGTACCAGGCAGGTACTGCACATTCGCTGGAGGCACCCAATGTGTCCACAAGCTGGGTGCAGGTAACTGTATTCGAAAGCTGAGTAGCATAGGGAGCATTTGTTGTTGATTGTTTTGCAGTCTCCAATAAGCTCCCCGAAGGTTGAGATTACCTCCTTGGAGTTGTGGATGGATTTTTCGTCGTAGCGTATCTGGGGCTCAGTTGGTGTGAAAGGCCATTTCCTAGAGAGGAATTCTTCGCTGCCCACTCTAGTAATGAGTTGGAAGATAGTTTCACTCTGGAAGGGCCGTTGTTTGCGGAGATTCGCAGCTTGGCAGGAAATAAGACGCTCAAACAGTGTTCTGTCAGTAGGATTCAAAATTAGGGACCGGTTCATGCCCAAATCCGTGTGTTGATGGTTCTGATGTGCTTCATCGGCGTCGATGAGAAGTCTTAAGCATCCGACAGTCCATGTTTGGGGTGTGGAAAGGTCGTTCCATTTATCTTTGAACGCAAGCATCTCCTGCTCTGCTAGTTTCATGAGTGGCCGAATCCCCATCCGCAGACTGAGAGCAGCAAGAAGAGTAGCCGATCGAGCCGAGAGCTTCGTTCCCGGCTCAATGATGTGTAAAAGGACCTTCCAAAATTGTCTGTTGTACTTTTCTGTTGCTAATACAAATGGAGTCTTGCGCACATGATCTGCAGTGGTATTGGAGATGTGGTCGGGCATCTTACTCGCCGATACCACAACAGTCAATCTGGTTAGGATAGCACCAAACCGCCGAAGGACGCCGGGGTTGCAAGATCGGCCAATGTGCAACAGCTCAGATCTGGTCAAGTATGAGATAGGCTTGTTGCTCCTATCTACTGGATCATATCCTTTGAGGGTAAAGCTCAATGTCGGGTCAAGGAAGATGCAAGGATACATTTCTGCGTCAGGGACGCTGTTGATGAGAGATACGATCTCTTCGGTAAAGTCTGGCATAGGAGCGGTCTTTTTAGGAACATATTCTGTCATGATATCCGCGGTCAACTTGACTTTGATGATGTTCTCATGACAATCTGGCCCCGGCCACCGTGAAACAGTCGAGAAATATGGATATGTGCCCATATCCTTCTCATTCTCAAGGCTGTCAATTTCCCTGACCGAGATATAGTGTAGCAACTCCGCAAAATTATCCTCATATTGACATTTGTCGATGTAAGGAGCTTTCTCCACACCCATCCATGATAGAAACAGGTCAATTGTCACCTTAGTAACGTCTTCTGGAAGATAGCTTTTCACTTGAACACAAGTTCCATCAGTCCTAGTAGACAGATAGGTGTACCAGGCAGCATCATCTACCCCCATAGATGGAGCGAGGATAGCAAAGACCTGTGCCTGTTTCGGTCCGTCTCGAAGGGCATTGCATGCAGATACCCAATCGATACATGTGGAGCCATATCGGGAGTAAGAACCCGGGACCAAAAGGGCAGCCTTCTCCTTCCGCCCGTTCGAACAACCACCGACAGGGCGCATATCAGCGTATAGAAAGATCAGTGTTTTCGCTTTCGCGCGCATGACTTGGCAGGCCTTTGCAAGAGTGGTTTTGACAGCTTTACGGTAGCTGCGTTTCCTCTTCCTTTTTGCGCACAGTCTTTTGACGAAAGCGATGAGGTCGGGCTGTTGCTCTTGCGAGGCTTCATGTTGGCCTTGGTTCAGCCATCCTGACCATTCGAGGACGTCGTTGCAGTGGTAGTTGCGGTATACGAGAACTCCGATTCGTGAAAAACAACCCGTGTGGGCGGAAATCGAGATGATTTTAGGGAAGGATGCGGTTAGTGAGCGTAGATAGCAGTTGCCATAACTTAGCGCGTCGACGATGAGGAGCAAGTCGTGTTGCTCCATTTTGACAATACAGATGATTAAAGTGGAATAGATGCCCTCTTGTATTTGACAAGGATGGGTGGTGCGACAGCAGAGAGCCAGTGATACTGGAGAAAGCAGAGCGAAGTAGGTGTAAGACTCTGGGGAAGCTATTCGGTTACATATACTGGGTTGCCTGAAACCTAGGGCCTAAATGTCGAAAGCTGAAGCTATACCTCTTCTAGTCTAGTAGCTGAAGCTTATACAGCCTTGGAACCTTGGAACCGGGCAGTCTCATGACCCACAACTATATCCTAATACACTACACACAAAAATGGCCTGATATCAGAACATCCCAAATAACCGCGTTGACATAGGTCACTTGCATCCGAAGGTAGCCAACTAAGCCCCTGTCAACAGCAAGATCTCAACAAGATCATTCATTCTGAGCTCATGCATCGAGCTCGTTCCAAATCCTGCTCAGTGTCCACACCCAACCCCAAAACCGACTTTGTCACAGAGACGTGTATCTTCTCTCCATGATACAAAACTCGTAACTGCTCCAGTTTCTCGATATCCTCCAGTGAAGTACGCTTGAAAGTAGGATATTTCCGCAAAAAGCCTGCACGATAACCATAAAGGCCGATATGTTGAAGTATATTCTCACTAGATCCAAGTCCACCGGCATCACGATCCCAAGGAATCAGAGCCCGTGAAAAGTAAAGAGCATTTCCATCTGCATCGAGAACGACTTTGACGATGTTTGGATCCAATGCGTCGCTAGCATTTCTAATCGGCGTTGCTAGTGTCACCATATTTGTCGTATGGGTTGAGAGATCGCGTGCGACCTGAGCAATGAGCTCGGGCTCAATAAAGGGTTCATCTCCTTGTACGTTGATAATTATTTCGTTGTCGTCGATATGCAGGAGGTCCGCTGTCTCTGCTAGTCGTTCGGTGCCGCTCTGGTGATCTTCTCGGGTGAGAATAGCCTCGGCTCCAGCTGCTTCTGCTGCTTTGGCGATTTCTGGATGATCGGTGGCTACGATTACTCTGGATGCACCTGAATGTTGGGATCTTGTCACCACATGGGCAATCATAGGTTTGCCGTGTATTATGGCTAGTGGTTTCCCCGGGAGACGTGTGGATGCAAAGCGAGAAGGTATGATCACGATGAACGACATTCTTGAGAGTCGAAAATGAGACAATGAAAAGAAGTGGAAGCTGAGAAATGTGGTGGGAGATGGCCACGAGGTCTGTGTTGCAGACCCTGACGTGACGCTGCAGATCTTTGGGCTATAAGCCTGCATGATGTCGTGGCATTACAATCACCAACACAATTTTCATCAATATCTTGTGAGCTATAGGTGCTTTAAGTAAAGGATGAAGGATTATAACTCCTTCCAACTAAGATCTCTTCACAAATTTCTGATAGGTGAAACAATTTCCAAGGTTATTATCTCATTTTATATTTGATACTACCAGGGGGTTTCTACAAGAAAGTCCGCCAGCAGCTTATAATCAGTTCACTAAACGCTGTCCAAGAATTCACCAATTAGCCTGGAGAATTCAGTTGCGTATTGAAACAAGAACCCATGCCCCGAATCCGCGTAGAGGTGCAACTGTGCCTTGGAGCTGGTCAAGTTCTCCCACAAAACGTAGCTGTTGTGAGTTGGGATGGCAGCGTCATTGCTCCCTAAGCATTTAATGTCAGCTCAAATTTCAAACATGGTACAAGGATTCTTACCGGTTGCAACCAGGACGGGGATATTAATCTCATGGAGCCGGTTAAAAGAGCCGTCCTTAGCCTGGCCCGGGTCGAGGAAGTTGCCAAAGGCGCCAAATTGCCTGTTGGTCCCTTCAACCCCAAGGAACTTGGATCTGTTCTTTCTAGCAGCGACGATACGGTCCCACACCTCACCTCCGGCCTTTGAAGACGTCTTCGATCCGCCGAAGAAGGCTGTAATGTAGGCCTGGCGCAGGTCCTCGTCGGTCTCGGCATCTTTCAGTGCCAGAACTGACGGGTCTTGGTTTGGAGGGACAACTCCTTCACCCATGCTGGCACTCGTGCCTGCTAGTACGAGCCGACGAATGAGTTGCGGGGCATTGAGTGTGACGAGCTGAGCAGCGAACCCTCCCATTGAGAAACCGAAGAGGTCGGTCTGCTTCACTTTGATTGCGTTGAGAACATTGGTAACATTTTGCGCCCAGCCTGCGATGGCCAATGGGACCTCGCCGTCTGATTTTCCAATGTCGGCATTGTCAATCAGGATGATGGGGCGAGTGGCGGCGAGCGGGTTGATGAATTTTGGATCCCAATGATCCATTGTGCCCCTACATTATTGTGAGCACTAAGGGGTGGGGAGACGGGATATGAATGTATAATTACCTAAAGTGGATGAGGAGAGTGAGAGGAATGCCTGTTTCGGCACCGAATCTCCGATATGCGAAACGAATTGGACCAACATGCACATATTGATCCACTGCTTCCTCATAGTAATTTAGAGCCATATTGACCACTTATAAGACAGACCGCAGTTGGGGCAAGGATTAAAGAATGGGAATAGATGGTGTCAAAACCGAGGGTATGTTTAAGTTACTACTAAAATGAAAGCAGACAGGGTGGAGGACGAATGATGGTAGTCTTTATATATATTACTAGGACCCACCTGGGTATAATTACAACAGAGCACAAATTGAACAAACTTGAACAGATTTCAAGTTTACAAAGTGCCAATATATGGTTTAGTGACTATATCGAGGCCCTTGAGGTACAGATTTTCGGTGTAAGCTATCCGACACGGAGTTAGCGGCTCTATCTATACTATGCCTCTTTGCTTTATTAATACATCTCGGCCTTTCTTCATCAGTACTAATGTGTTATAATCCTACATAATCGATAGTAACTCCCGTGAGCTGCATGTTGTACACGGATAGAACGGATGTTTCAGCATTATGGGGGCCCTATGACGCGGGTAATCTGAGGACCTCGGGATAATCCCGAGGTATAGTTTATGAACGAATCTATATATTTAGCCAATCACAATGGATTCTGAGCTGCTGTTCCGTGGATGTATAGTCCGTAGCTCGGTGATATGGGTGATCGACGCGGCAGACAGCCTGCATCAGGTTATATCGCAGTATTGGTTTTCAATTTGGACTACGCTCAGACTACTTTAACCCGCGGTATCCGATACTCCCTTTCTTGATTCCAGTTCTGCTTGCATTAATAATTCATATCTGACATATGAGGGGTTTCCATATGTATTTAAGGGGGCGGACCTCGGGAAGTGTTTAAATATGGGTCTCCTAGCAGGTTTTAAAGAGATAGGCAGTTTGCTATTAAGCATCATATTATCTTTTCAACATCCTTCATCCCAAATACGTGCTTAGTACTCCGTATAGTTCTTTACTATACAATTCAACAGGATTCTACCTGTCTCTATTCCTTTCAAAAACCCCTCTGAAATATCCCTAAACAGTAAGGTCCTACACAGCTTGCTTTTTATTTTCCTCCCATTTCTACTAAATCACTCACAGATGTCTTCCGAACACATCGAACATATTGCAGTCCACCTTGCACAGCGCCCTGAGACAAATATCGTCCCCGGAGAAACATTTGCTGTCAAGAAGCATGCAACCCCCACCTCAGCAGACCTTCAAGATGGAGATGTTGTCTTGGAAAGCCTTTACCTGAGTCTGGATCCTGCGATGCGCGGCTGGTTGGACGATAAACCTTCATACATCCCCCCCGTTGCAATCGGTGAAATTATGCGTGGCCATGCTTTGGGCCGTGTAACTGCTTCGCGATCAGAGAAGTTCCCAGTTGGCTCCTATGCCGTCGGCATGATTGGCTGGACTGAGCAGGCAATTGTCAGCGAACGCGCTCTGGAAGCCATGCCCACACCTGATCCTGCCCATGGAGATCGTCTCACCGATATTTTGAGCGTCCTTGGCTTCACAGGAATCACTGCGTACTGGGGCATGGTCGAAGTGGGTCGTGTCAAGCCCGGTGACTTTGTGGTTGTTTCTGGAGCAGCAGGAGCAACAGGATCTATTGCTGGTCAGATTGCAAAGATCAATGGTGCCACAGTCTACGGAATTGCAGGCTCGGATGAGAAGTGTCGTTGGTTGGTTGATGACCTCAAATTTGACGGGGCGTTGAACTATAAGAGCAAAGATTTCGCCGAACAGTTCAAGAATGCAACACAAGGAAAGATCGATCTCTTCTACGACAATGTCGGAGGAGAAGTTCTTGACTTGGCTCTTGTCTGTGCCAACAAGAACGCTCGATTTGTCATGTGTGGTGGTGTCAGTCAATTCAATGAACGTGAGGTTCAAGGACCAAAAAACTACCAGATGATCTGGAGAATGCGCATTCGCATGGAAGGCTTTATTGTCTTTGATCATATGGATAAGATCCCCGAAGTCAGACAGAAGCTCAGCCAGTGGCTTACGGAAGGCCGGTTGCAACGGAGAGAAACCATTGTGCGTGGAGGATTATCGCAGGCAGAAACCGCCTTGATGCAACTGTATCATGGAGTGAATACAGGTGAGTTTTGCTTTCCAGGGAAATGTGCCTACTCCCCACACCTAATAGATATATGCTAAACATCTCGCAGGAAAACTGCTTGTCGAGGTCAAGTCTCCTTGAAAGCTACAAAAATCTTCATGGCAGTATACAGATTCTCCGATACTTCCTATCTGCCTGGATGATTTCCCATGGAGACTTGTAGACTCCAAATTGAAACCTTTCTAGGTTGATCATCATTCTCAAGGTCACAAAAGGTCTTCAAATGCCTCCAAGTATTTGTCGACGCTTTTGGCCAGACCAGTGTATATAAAGTCTCTCATAGCTCACGCAGTTCTTCTTCAATAATAAATTATCTAACATCATCCATTTATCAGCAACTTTGATATCAAGACAAATTAGAATGTTCTACACTAAGTCAATTTAGGATGGAAAATATCGTTTTGGGAAATTAACGTTTGAGGAAGAAGTCGTATGTAAACTTGTGATATTCAAGCATCAAGCTGACTTAGACTCATATTTAGATCCTCCGTTTCCCAATTGAGCAATCTTTTAGAACTAGATACAGTGTCCGGATGGTCTAGGCCTATTGTCTGTTTCTGCCTGGCAACGCAGGTTCGTAGCAAGTTGATGGCGTTGGCTTCGTGACCTAAGCATTTCCAGGTGGAAGCGAGGTTAGCCATACTTGAAAGCGTGTCGGGATGATTCTCGCCGAGCTTCGTCTTACGAGTCTCCATCACCTGTATCTCGAGCGGTTCGGCCTCCTCCCACCGGTCCTGACTCCAGTATACCGTCGCGAGGCGACCAATACTCGTTAACGTGTCGGGATGATCCTCGCCGAGATTCATTTTACGAGTCTCCATCACCTGCACCTCGAGCTGCTCAGCCTCCTCCCACCGACCCTGGTCCCCGTATGTCACCGCTAAGTTGGCCATACTTAAAATCGTGTCAGGATGCTTCTCGCCGAGATTCGTTCTACGAGTCTCCATCACCTGCACCTCGAGCTGCTCAGCCTCCTCCCACCGGCCCTGGTCCCCGTATATCGCCGCCAAGTTGCCTATACTTAAAAGCGTATCGGGGTGATCATTGCCGAGCTTAGTCTTATAAGTCTCCATCACCTGCACCATAAGCTGCTCGGCCTCTTCCCACCGGCCCTGGCTCCCGTATATCGCCGCTAGGTTGGCTATACCTGACAGTGTGTCGGGATGATCCATACCGAGCGTCGTCTTACGGCTCTTCACCGCTTGCACTTGAAGCTGCTCGGCCTCTTCCCACCGGCCCTGGTCTCGAAAGGTCAACGCTAGATTGGCCATACACGTTAACGTGTAGGGATGGTCCTCGCCGAAATGCGCCTTGCTCGTCTCCACCATCTGCACCTCGATCTGCTTAGCCTCCTCCCACCGGCCTTCAAGCCAGTATGCGTTTGCCAACAGAGTTGTGCTATCAATGACATCTTCATGTTTATCACTCAATAGAATCATCCTTTGATCTCTTGATTTTAATGCCATTTCTCTTGTATCCATGAGATTACCGATTTCTGACGCATACCATGCACCTCTGTAAAGTAACGTAGCCCACTGCTCTTGGTACTCAGGTGAGGTTGGCCGTTGTGACATTGCGGATTTGACGTGAGGAAAGAGTGGCCTGCATCTCTCCCAATTTTCGTATTCTCCGGTGGAAGGAAACTCGTCGTAGAGGGTGCTAATGAATTTATCCTTCCATTGGTCCAGTTGTCCATGAGATTTCAACCACGCGCGCGTAGTGAGTTGCACAAGTCGATGCATTGTAAAGGAAGTGGTGTCCTCACTGATAGATATGAATGAATAATCCCTTAGTGTTATGACATCATCTTCAAAATCAGGGCTAGTATCAGATTCAGATGTATCCCCGTCACTAGAGTCACTTTGAAGCTCCGAGGACGCAGGTTGATGTCGAATGAGGCTCTCCGGTATGCCTTGCCGATCGAAAAAGCTCATAAGCGATAGTAGGTCCGCTGCAGATGGATATCTTTGGCGTATATAATCGAATGACATTTGCCAAGTCACCAAAATTGAATTCTTTGCTTCCCAGTCCCGGTGAGTGTGCCCTGCTTCTTTTTTGAGGAGCTTTATCGCTTCACGGTCATTCTTTTGGAAGTCCTTTAGGTACTGTGACACCGAATAGCGAGGTGCGCGATTTCGAATGTAGCTAGCGGCCTGTACAATCGCTAGCGGCATAAACTCCAATGCGTTAACTAACTGTTGACATGCTTGGTTTTCAGTTGGTAGTTCAAGCGTTCGTCGGAGAAGCTCTAGTGATTCGGAGTTTTCCATGGGTTCAACCTCGATAAGGCCCTTGTGGTCGACCATCTTCAACGCAACCTCTCTAGACCTACTCGTGATAATAACGTATCCATTTGGGCTTCTAGGAATGTATTCCAATAGTGGCTTCGCGGCGTTCGTTTGGCTTCTCGTTGAATCTCCCTTCTCTGGTGCCGTAAACGAGCGAAGAAGCTGATCGTCATCGACGTTATCAAGGATGCAGACCCATTTCCTCTTTTCATCCTGGAGCCAGTTCTCGACGAGTTTGAATATATTCACTTCGGGATCCTGACGACCCCTGATTTTGACCTGGTCCGCGATATCCCGGAAACTTTGCTCGAACCGGGCTTGGTTACTCGCATGCACCCAGAAAACCCATGTTGTTGGTGATTGGGATCGGACCTCGTAAGAGTATTCGATAGCAAGCTGCGATTTCCTTGAAGTTGTGAGTAAGACCACGCAATCTTAGAAGAGTCACTCTGTACTTACCCAACACCGCCGAGACCAATAAGTGCTATTCTTGACCCCGAGACTAAGCTCTCCTCGCGAATTTGACGAAGTAGTGCGTCGCGGCTGACAAAGTGCCGGTCACGCGCAAATGGGACGGTAGATAGCGGGTTTGTTGGGGTTTCCGGTCGCTCTAGGGTGGCGAGCGGCGGTTAGTCAATCCTGATGTGGCCCCTAGTATCCAATTGCCGACTCACCTGAAGGCATATTGACCGGACCATTGTGAACTCCAATCTGGAGACCATAGTTGGTGCCACTAAATGATATCGATGCCATGATCAAATAACCGTACGTCCTTTGTATGTTGGTGAAGAATTTTTTGTGACTCTCAGCCGAAGGAGGGGCATTGCGGTCTCTAACCGATGTTAGGGACTGATATTTGTACCGCTGCAACGAGAATCGCACTTACCCATTCTTGTAATCTTTTGGCTTAGGCAGTTGTGAAATGCCCTTATGTAATCACTTGGGTGTCCACAGGTATCTGGTAGATAGCATCCTAATTTCCCATCCGGTTTAGAGGAATCAGATTGGTGCACAACTTACATCGAGCATTCTGTTGACACTATTGAGATCACCATCTTTGAAGGAATCGGATCCACCCGAGCCAGAACAATCAAGCCAAGCGCAACACGCGAACCAGCCAGAATTCCCCAGATAAGAGCACGCTTTGTTATTATCACTTTACGGTACCACAAGAGCCTAACGCTGCTACCCGTCCCAAATACACAGTGCATGATACATGGTCGCAATTTTGTTGCTATGCCATAGACTAACAGCTGAGGAAGCTATTACAGATTCAACGCACATTTCAGAACGCAAGTCAAGTTGTGACCGAACGTACGAGGCCAATCAGGACCTAGTGACAATGTTTCCACACCCACCATCTGTAGGTAAATTTGACTCATGACTGCGAACGCTGTTCCAATTAATCGTACCCACGCTGTGACCGATCTGTAAGCCATTATTGGTGCTGCCTGAAAAATCAGTGTTGTACGTGTTGCCGACCTGCGCGACGGACAGTTTCAAGAGTGTTTGAGAAACAGCCATAGTGGCAGTTTGGTTGGCTTCCAGTACGCGTGATCGCTCTTCGATCTCTTGAATGGCTAGAGTTCGCTGAGCGCCGCCATCCTCGTCCTCGTCCTCGTCCTCGGTTTCAAGTTCCTTCTTGCGCTGCAAAGTTTCGTCTTGCTTTCTCTTTGTGAGTTCGATGTGCTCCTGGATAGCATTCTCAAGAGCTCGCAGTTGCTTCTCCGTCTCTTGCCGTGCAGTTTTTGACGCATTTTCAGATCGGACCAGAATAACCCTTTAATAAGTCAATTAGCACATTTTCTCTGGCATAAAGCCCAATCACATACAACTGGGCGCTGTCGATGGCAAACTGGACGATAGCCTGACAAGTAAGGACCTGCGTTCTGAATGTCTGGATCTTTTCTTTGTTCCATAAGCCGACGGACAGTCGATCCCTGAGGGAAAGCTTCGTAGTACTAGAGTGCTTCGTCCATTGCTCAAGCTTTTTCATAAATGTGGCGCACGCCTGCCCACATTTATTCACGGCTTCAGCGACACCGGTCTTCTCCAAAACCTCTCTCGTTTCGGTATAAGTTTTGCTATCGGAAATTTGAAGATCCGTGAGAGCGGAAAGTGGACGTTGTATGGCTTCCAAGTTAGATGTCACCTCTTGCAGCACATCGTTTGCTTCTTCAAGGCCATCAATAATCTGCCGAACATTGCTGATGCTGGACAAAGCGAATCCTGTGATTCCAAGGGCACCAACAGTGAGGCTGAAGGGATCCATCTATTTGAGGTTGAATGGCATAGACGTGAGACTCGTTGTTCCTGGTAAGGAGGTGGCCATATGATAATATCTATCACTTAGGTGCCTGATGGAATTTCGGGCCGCGGGGTTGTTATGGCTAAGACGTGGCAGACTGCTATTTGTGGGGCTATGAGGCTGAAAGAACTATTTACATATTATACGAGCCTGTGAGTTGCCGACTGAATGTGGTAACGAGGTCTGCGAAAAAGCTTCCGCCAATTTTCTAGTTATGTGTACTTCATACTCCGTAATCTTCCCTCGGCCACAGTGTTCATCACTGAGGAATATGGGTGGGCAAAGGGTCGGAGGTAGACTAACTGTGATAGGTATAGCGTGGTTTGAATCTCTATCTAATGCATTTATGCTGAACACGCAGAAAAACTGCTTGTCGAGGTCGAAGTTTCTTGAAAGCTACAAAAATCTTCATGCTGGTACACAGATTGACTGATGTTTTCTCCAGGGCTGTCCGCTTGTATAATTTCCCATGGAGTCTTGTACTCTTTAGGTTCGTCATCCCGAAGTCTCGGAGTCCAAGTGTCTTCATATATTTCGTTGGAAGATCCCGTTATTATGCGTGATACATCACAGCGTCAATATCACCAATATTATTACCAACCAGCCCGCATATGCGGGCTGCCGTCAAATCCCTGCTTACCGCTATGATCCAATTTCCCCTGAATTCCCTGTTTTTATATTCAGATAGTCATATATTATTATCTGTATTCCACAGTCTAGAATCTAGAGGTCTTGCACTATATTTTCTAGTATACCTCCTCGCCACTAGCATTCGTCATTTTGATATCAGGAAAAATATATGTAATTTGGTCCAATTCTTTTTGTTTTTAGTCCATTGCGATTATAATCCTGTTGAATAATCTCCAGAGCAATAGTTATGTAGATCTCCCATATATAGATTACGTGGTCCCGACTTCGGCTGGGAGATCCCTGAGATTTCAATCCCGAGGTCGGGATTCTCCTCGGTACGCTGCCGAGGTTTATATAACAGTCATGTACATATATTGTACAACCTTAAATTCATGCCGAACTTCCGCTTTGTTTTGGCTTTAACATCACAATATTCCTTTAAAATAGTCATAATTCGAACTGCTCTTGCTCTTCCACTTCCATCCATTCATCATAACCTCACTCTTCACCATGAGCGTCACTACCACCGTGGTCAAAGGGCCTTTAAATCTCGCAAACCCACCCCCACAAATCTCGGCGAACCGAATTCTCTCATGGTACACTAAATATGCGGTGGACTACAGCATCGCCAAAACTACCACATCCCCGACCCAATACTATGCCTCTAACGCCACTCTGGTGAACACTGATCGGTCTATTATTTCTGGGGCCAGAGAGATCTGGGACTACTACATCGATCTCTACGGACAATTCGAGCGTTGTGCCCATGACCTAATCTCAATCTCTGTCTTGAGTGATGAAACGGCTGGCAAGCATACCATGATTGTGGAGACTACAAACAACTTGCATCTGAAGGATGGAAAGGGAATAGTACCTCTGCCCCAAGCCTTTGTTTATGAGATTGCCAAATCTGAGGAGGGAAGCGGCACAGATGGCCTACAAATCTGGGAAGTGAAATGTTATTTTGATAAGGGTTTGCTGGAGAGGGCGGCGAACATCTAAATCTGCCATGAATTGTATATATCGTACTTGTCTTCGGGCTTCTCAGTTGAGTCTCCACAGAATAAAAGAGAGCTAGAAATTCTCATAATAAATATGTTTCTCTTAGCTAGTATCTATGTGTATGTCAATATGGTTGCGACTGCGACCGCCATGCTGAACTACTGTGGGGACCAACTTCGGAAAAGATAGAGCACAAGATTCAAAGTCAATATTCATGAAGTTCATAAAAGCCGTGGATGATTATTGTTACAGCCTGGAAGAAGCGGAATTTTGCATGTTTATTGGCGAATTTGAATTTCCTAGATTTCTCGATCCACAGTCTCTCCTCTTTTCTTCCTTCAGCGCTTTCACAGTTTCACCCGGGACCTGCACGGGGTGGGCCGAGACATCGGGGTGTGGATTGAACCCCTATGAAGCTCATCCTCATTTCGTTTGAGGTTGCTTGAACTTCAGCCAGAGGCAAAAACTTCCCAAAATTGTACGTCCAAAGTAGGGTGTTGGCGTCGGTAAAACTGCAGCGCGGTGCTCAGGATGTGTGGCCATTTGCGTTGCACCACAATCTGCCTTCTCCGGTCAAGCCCATATGGGCAGCTTGCAGAGCGCACATTTCCCTTCCTCCTCGATATTTCGAAATTCCAATCCCTCTCTTGATTAAAAGACCTAGCAGGTAGCGGTTATTAGCTATGGTCTGTGGTAGGTCACGATACGACTCACTGTCTTCGGCCACGATCCAGACAAGGAAATGCACATGCCAATTCCCTAGAAATAATTAACACGTAGGTCTTGCATCGTTACATCTCATGAGCTCGCAGTTGAAACTTGAAAGCACAGTGTCCATCGCACATCACACATTTGATACCGTTCTTGCACATTGGGCGACATATATACCATATAGGTAAGAATCCATTATATGGAACCACGTTGCTCTCTTCGTGAAGATAGGTGAGAATGAGCGTAAGGTAAGTATTAAAAGAGTGCGAACCGAGTGTGAAAGAGTATAGGTGCTTGGAGGGTAACTGGCCAGGAAAAGCAATAAAGATTCCCCTCAATAAGAAATCATCGAATTAGGCACGCGTCGGGGCACAGGAATTGGCGTAGAGCTCCTCGATGTCTGCATACACGGTCTTCAAAGCGAAATCAGCAACTGGTCCATCCGGTTTAAAAGACGCTGGACCTCTCTATAATATCCCCACAGTAGAAGAGTTTTGGTGCAGGCATCGCCATGTAAAACCAACCAGTTCGTGACTTGTTTGGGTATAGGGAGGTGGTAAATGTAGACAACATTGGATGCATCTCTGCGTTCTGGGATTGAGACGTGTCTGACAAGGTCATGTCCAATTCTCCGATATGAGTTGTATCAAATAACCATTTCTAGTCCGCACTTGCGGCTTAGTGACCGAGGACAGAAAGTGAAGGGTTCAAGGCTAAGGGAAACTTGTATGTAACCAGTAGAGAGGATAAGAAGGCATACATTACCCATCTTTGATTGAGAAATATCATGGGTTCTTGTAGACCCAGATCACAAAGAAACACAAAGCAAACATGGGTGTGAGAGACCAAACACAATAGTTCTCATCGTCCTTAGAGTTGGCATATCCTCTAGTATATTCTGCCCCGCTCCTAAAGCTTAAGAATCTTCGCCATTACGGGATACAATACTGCGAGCACTGCTAACACAATGTGCCCTTTGCAGATAGTTACTGTGTATATCGTCCTAGGTGTCAATATAGCCATACTCCCTTTTGGTCGACATTTACCTTATGACCTGTGTATCTGGTTGGTTATCTCTTCATAAATGCATTGACCGGGTCCCATTTTAATCGATTCAGCACCTAATTGCGGGACAAAGCACCATATATGATCATGGCATAGAGTGAACATCGCAGTAAGCTGGATCTTTGTGGTTGGAAAGTAAAGGGAAAGAGCAGACCACTAACAGCTTCAGGAGAGAAGGTACGGGTGCGTAGGATTACAGAGGCACATGATAGCACATGATATTGCTAGGCGACAGCTCTTCTGGGACCTTGTTGACATTAGGTAGCCTAAAGCTGTTGTTTGCTCCAATATAATTCTTTCTTCCCATATTCCCATCTTCTCATATTCTTTATCCATCGTGCCATCACCGAAAGACAGCTCATTCTATCTTTATTCTTACCTACTACCTATCCACTACACCAAAGTCTTACCATGTCTGATCCAGCCGAGCCTGGCGGCGCTCTGCCTCAGCTACACGCCCCCTCCTTGATACGATCGATAGACTCCGTACCCACGGTGTCGGCGAGCTCGTTGGCTTACCACAGATGATTGTCTGTGGTTCCAAGTCTAACGGCAAACGCTCCATTATCGAGGCAATTTCTCGCGTGGGCTTTCCAGTGAAGAATGATCTTTACACTGGGTTTGTTACGGAGGTCATACTACGCCGCCGTCCAATAACCAGCTTCAAAGTGAGCATCGAGCCTGGCCTGTCCAGGAAAACCGACAAAGATCTCCAGAGAATCAAGGCTTTCGAGCCCACTGTTCATCCCAATCCTGAGCAGTCAGCATCACTCATTGGGAAAGCTATGGAATTTCTTGGACCCACCATCCAGGATGGACTCACTGACGATATCATCAAAGTCGAAGTTTCTGGCCCCGAACAGCCTGATCTGACCCTTATCGATATGCCTGGGCGCTACTTCACTGGAGGCACGAGTGACGGAAGTCTTGCAAATGATCCTGGCCGTCTTCACATGGAAAAATACATGCTGAATGCGCGCAGTATCATCCTCCCTGTGGTATCGGCAAAGATCGACATTTGTGTTCAGAAGATCTTCGATTTTGCAGACAAATATGACAAAGAACGAAAGCGGATTATGGGGATCGTTACTCACCTCGATACACTCGAAGCATCATCAGACGAGGAAAAGTTATGGCTGAAGGGTATCAAAGAAACAACATCCGAACTGCCGATGGGGTTGCATTTGGTGTGCACTCGATCATACGAGACACGCGATGTGCCAGACGACGAAAGAGATCAAATGGAGACGGAATTCTTTGCGCGAGGAGATTGGAAAACCGTGGGAAGACAATCCACAGGGACTAGCAACCTGCGACGTCGACTCAGCACTCTTCTTGTGAATCACGTCCAAAGCAGCCTCCCTGATCTGATTTCTGAATTCGACAAAATCATTAAGAAAAATCAATCGAGACTGGTGAAGCTCATTGTTCCTCGACAGACCATCCATCAACAGAAAGCATTGCTTTTCAATCTGAGCAGTGCTTTCCAGCGCATAACCGAACAAGCATTGAGTGGAATGTACACTGACAGCTTCTTTACTAAGTCGGTGGATGGGGATGATGTTAAATCCAAGTCTCACGACCCTCGACGTCTTCGTGCTGTCATTCGTGATTTGAACGAGGATTTTGCAGACATTATGGAAATTGCCGGGTGCCGCCAGTTCGTGCATGGGGTCAACAACCAGATAATCTCGATACTACACCCTTGCAACCCTTATGCAAATATCAGACAGCCGGTCCACAGGAGCCGCTCTGAGTTCGAACTTGAGGTTAGTGAGCAAATGCGCCACGATCGAGGAATTGAACTTCCAGGGAATGGAAATCAGCTACTAGTGGGTACCCTATTTCGGGACCAGTCGCAACCCTGGGAAGAGATTGCTCGAGTCCATTTGATGAAATCTTGGGAGTGCACCCTGGGCTTTGTGACGCACCTGCTGGATCATCTTGCGGATGAACGTACGTCTGTGGTGATAATGCGGACTATCATTTGCCCTCAGCTGGATAAAATGGAAGAAAGTCTACTGTTAAAGCTACTTGAGCTGACGACTCACTACAAGCGAGGCCACCCATTGCCTATGAGTCGAAGCTTTCTTCGAGGTTACCCATTGCCTCTTGATCGAAGCTTTGTTGCCAAGATGCAGAAATCCAGGAATGATCGACTGCTGGCCGACTTCCAACATATGTTTCCTTTGACTCCGAACAATGGTATCACTATTGAAGGAATCAAGGCGGCCACTCAGCACGTGGATTCATCAAGCAATCAGTTCACAGCCTCGGACATTGTTGACCAGATGCAAGCATACTACAACGTGAGTTAGGATAACCAATCAATGACTTTACTGTCTACATGATACTGACGAGAAATAGAACGCACTTTTGATCTTCATGGACAACGTTGCAACTCTCGGGATCGAAAATTGCCTTCTCAGTCCTCTGGGTGGTGTCTTGACAACCCAAACAATCACCAACATGGAGGACAAGCAAATCGAGGAACTATTTGCTGGTGTGAACGATGGTGTAAAGAAATCGCGAGAAGTCTTGACCCACGAACTGGAGAATTTGCAATATGGGGTGCGAGCATTGAGCAAACTCAACGTTGCGAAGAAAGTCACGCCATCTATTGGAACAATCAAGGATTCTGGAGCAAGTTCGGCTCATGGGTGCTTAACTCCTCAATCGTTCCTCATGCCTCAAGGGATTCTATGCAGTGGTGCGGCTTCCAGTCCGTTTGGAGTACTATGCACGGATTGTAGAGTTCAAGGCGCGAACGGCACGCCCAGGTTTCAACTTTCGTGGCCATACAGCTCGGCATCCGACAAGCAGAACTCAATCACACTTTGTCCCAGTGGTCCGTTTGGCTTGGATCCCGGTACAGTCAACCCTGGGATGACAAGTGCGCCATCTGTATCTTTCCCGGCTGCGAATCCTGAGGCAAACCCTTTTGGTTCCAACGCACCTATCTCCTTTAAGGCTGTACTTCCGCTTCGATCGACACTCCAACCTGGCACTTTCTGGTCTTCCCTTGTTTCCCCTACACCAGATACCCGTACTTATGATCGGTGAGTATATGGTGGTTTCACTGTTTTACCGCGACCTCTTCCCCAACTTTAGTTCTTGCCCTTTTCTTGCTGGCCGGCGTGTCATGTTTTGGCTTATTGTTCGTTTGTGAGAAACTGGCTAACATGGTTTGATTACTCGATAGGAATTGGTATTGGGAGGAGAAGGATGTTCGTGATGGTAGCTTCATGACCAATCGATACTATTCGATATGCTGCCACGATAAGTTCAAATCTTACTCACCAGAGGTAGGAAGTTCAGATTCATCAATGCGAATTGTCACTGACTGTTATATAGGAGCTGCGACTGGCTGACTATCAGCTCACCGCGAGATATGACAACGTCTTACCGGCCGCCAAAACAATGAAGAGACCTCCAGCTTTTCCTTAAGAATCGAAGAAAGTCACCACAACGGAAAATCAGGGAAAATACAAAAAAAATGACAGTGACAGTGACAGTGACAGTGACAGTGACAGTGACAGTGACAGTGACAGTGACAGTGACAGTGAATGAGGAAGGAACAATCGTGGGATATCTACCGGTTGATCAGCATGTTGCTTCAATCTAGGGATTGCTTTTGAAAAATGAAAATTAAAAAAAAAAACATTTAGCTTGTATGTAGTAATAGCAACCAAACTGTTCGAGTAAATTGTGTCAAAGTGGATGGTGTCCCTATGCATTACTACCAGACGTAGATCATTAGACAAGACACGAAACAAGCACCAAATTAAGGCATATGACAAAACAAAAATAACAATGCAGAGAGGCCAGCACCACATTGTCGTCTGGGTATTCGAAAAGCCGTTAAGATAAACTAAATAAACCCAAAGACCATTTTCTTGAGGCCAGGTATTCTATCTCGATGAATGCCCAAATCCGATCCTGTCGGCCCTGTTTATATCGAAACCAATCCCCCCTCAATACGTATATCCTCACTGACACAGGCAGCCCATTTATACATCCAGTGTAAGGTTCCAGGCTGTACATATGTTCAAGAACCGACATACCACACTTCAACACCAAGAACATCAAACTTGACGCCTTCATCGGAAAGAGGCTCATTTCCAAAAGTCTGGCAGGATGCACTGACACCCTTTTCAAGACTGCTGTCAAGCCACAATCCGTAGTGGCCGTCACTATTCCCATAAATTAGCCAAGAATAATATACATCAAGCAACATAAACCACTTACCCGCCTCCTAGACTGAGAAATCCAGTTTCACAGAAGATCATATAATCATTAACCCCACTGTACGGGAAAGCCTTGAAGCGAATGCGTTCAGGGGTACTCGCCCCGCTCCGCGAAGTGGTATGGATGGAAGAAGGCGAAGGTGGCGCCAGAACACCACCACTCGCAGCCGCAAGATTGGTTTTAATATTCATATTGAGATTATGAGCCGGCGATTCCGCCTGCGCCGGTTTCGATTTGTCATTGCGGAAAGTACTCCAACGGGCCGCGGTAGTTGTATCAGCAGAGGGTGGAGGCGGGAGGCCCGCACGCTCAAGGACTTCCTCAGATTGGGGCCCTTCGCCTGGTAGGGCGAAGCTAGCCGGGGGCGGGAGCACGCTAGCGCGCCAGAGGAAACACTCTCCTGTGCCGAAGAACTGCGAGTTCGGGTGTGGGGGGTCTGTCATGTAGGCGCCGAAGACGGAGCTGTAGGGGGATGAGTCTCTGACGACGAGGACGTAGCCCGCCCGCGGGCTGCGGTGGGAGAACTCAGCGCAGTTCTCGTAGAGGGTTGAGAGGGAGGCGCCGTCGCGATCGAGGCTGTATGCTAGTCGCCATGTATCGGCAAGTTGGATGCGGGGCGGGACTAGCAGTCTGATTTCTTCTGCTAGGGCGCGGGTTAGGAGTTGTTGTTGGAGGAGGTGGGCTGCTGTGGGGATCTCGAGGTTTAGGGGAGTGAGTGGTGGTGGTTGGAAGGGTGAGGCTGTTCGGCGAGGTGTGAACACTTCGGATGAGGAGGAGCGTGACCAGGGCATGACGGAGGGCATTTCTTTGGATATGTCTGGGTCTGTTATGCGACGGTAGAGTCCTGAGACGACGTGGCTGACTGGGTAGGAGAAGTAGGAGGCGGCGGATTGGTAGGGTGGTTTTTGGGTGGGTATCTGAGATGCTGATCCCGGGGTGGAGGAGGTGGGGGGATCGGAGGCGATATTTTCTTGTGACGCGGACGACATGCGAGCAATTCAAAATCAATTGATGAAGTTGCACTTTGTAAAGTAAAGAACGAAGTAGAACGAATGCGGAGTGGAAGTTGAGACGGCTATCGCTTATCAGGTGGGGAAATAAAGTCACTGACCCCGGGCCTTATAGGGCGTGGAATGAGTTCTTGACTCTTAGTATTTAGAGTCAGATCAAAATAATTAATGACTTGTTAAATGGTTAGATACACTTCAAATGTTGCTGAGATGATAATCGATTGTCAAATCATGCCGAACTTTGCTATAGATCCAAGTATAATACGTCAGATACATGCATCTTTAATACAGGGAAATATATCAATTGGAAACCCATGTAAGTAATAAGAAGTAAAATTCAACGCTATTGACATAATAGGCAATGTAACCCTTCTAGAGAAGAAAGGAACTTGTTGATATGAAATGTCACACCAAAAAGCCAGATCAATGCAGAGGATGTTGGTATCTTAGTGTGTATCAAACAATCAAAACGCAGGCAATTAGTTCTTTAAGGCATCCGGACGAAGATCCACTGTCTCAAATTCTAACCCACTGGCTTCAAAAACATGTCCTGGTCGCAAAGCCCCAGTGTAGATATTCTCTTCAGCATGTGGATGGAACAGGCCAGTCTGGCTGCAGTTCAGAACTGTCTTTAGACCCGGAGGATCAGTCAGTCGGAATACGCCCCAATCGGGGGTTTTGCTTGGAGCACACACGATGGCAATGCTCTCGGGCAACATCACTTGGTAACCGCAGTGCGTGTGTAGATCACGGGAGCTCATGAAACAGGTCTGTGACGGATGTGTGTGGATCCAGCCAAGCGTCATCAAATCCTCAGAGTCACAGTAATCGAAAAGAGCGGATTCATTAACCGTTTCGCAGGTATCTGATGTTGAGGTCTGCTCGGGAATGACCAGTTTTGATATGAAAAGGGCGTTGGAAACAAGGGTACCACACAGGATACCGCATGTCTCAAGGTTGGCGCGGGTGTTAGGAGCAGCCAGAGATAAAAAGCGGGATCGGAGGTTCGCCGGCAAAAACACCGAGCGCAAAGGAGTGCCATTTTCGAGGTAGGCTGAGGGTTTGAAGGTATAACTTGAGGGATCGAGATCTGGACGGGTTTCTTCGGAAGGTTGGATCTTCGCAGGCAGCGCCGGAGCTGGCGATACCTTTGCCGGCCGCGAGGGCGGTACAGCTGCAGAATCACCAACAATAGATGCCCGGCTAGGCTCAAGGTGCTCTTTCGGAGGCAATATCGGAGGCGCATGCCGTTCGGCGTTCTTGTCAAGGATAGCAATTTGACCTGGAGACGCAGCGGGCTCCAGGGGCTTTTGACGTGGCACAGTTGGATACTTGTACGCAGAAGTAACTGAAGAGGGAACCTCGGACTCTTTGGCAAGTTGGCCGTAAGGCTGATTCGTGTGATCGAAATTGGATCTGATATTCTGAACACGTCGACCGAGGTCACGATCACCCGAACTAAGATCCGATTTCATAGAGTCCCAGTCCCCCCATACGCCAGCTGCGCGACGAGTTTCCAGCTCTTCGGCAGATGGCCCAGAAAGACCCTTTGAGCTTCGGACGGTGGCTCGGCGATTGAGCTCCGATTGGGCTAACTGCACGGCGAGATCTCGATTCGCTCCAGCTTCCAAGGGTTCTGCCACGCCGGAGAGAGCGGGATCCGGGACTTGTTCTCGTGGCTCGGCGACGATTTTGGCTCGTGAGGGCTGTTTCCGAGATTCACGCTCCCGCATCAACTGAGTGTAACGCTCATACCGTTTATTGATGCGCGGCCTCAGAATCTCCAGCTTGCTAAGGTTTTTCTCAACCTCTTTCTCGGCTGCCACCAAGGCCTTGCGATCGTCCTCATTCTTTTTGGTATCGGGGTGTTTGGAAAGATGGACCAGGATCAACTGTGCGTGCCGAAATAGAATAAGGTAGGCTTGTTCATCGTGTCCTTCGCGTTCGTAAATGTGGGCCTAGTAAGATAAGAGTTAACAAGTCTGAAGTGATCCAAGTGTAGGCAACAGTTATAACCAACCTCACGTAAAAGCGTCGCAGCAGTTCTCAGCCAATACCGCAATGGAACGGAAGAGTTGTACTCGTAGTTCTGTGCTATCCGTGTAATATGTTCAACACTTTGAGGGGCAGTACCTCCAGTGGCCATCGCCGAAGCCATGGTAAAGAAGGGAGTATGAAGCCAAGATGAATTCAAGCATCAAGCATCAAAGAGCATACTGAGGGAATCTCCGAAAGGAAATGGCGTGAGAGCCACATCTAGGCGACCTGGAAGATAAACGTGGAGTGGACAGGTGGGATGAGAGAGCGGGAAGCTTGGGGTCTCTCTCCGCTCTCCAAAAAAAAAAAGTTACATTCTACAACTCTCTCACGATTATCTCTCACATTATCTCCTTCAATTCATATTCTCTGCCCATGTCATAATCAAAATAGACCTTGGCATTTGCCAGATCTTAAATAATGAAATTTACCGCACGAACACCGCTGGCGCGGTTTCCGATGACCGGGAAACTTTACCCAATACTCATAAAACATCGCGGGAGAGTTAAGGCTCGACCGCAGCTCGTGAGTGAAGACCTACTAGGTAAGTGAGCCTCATCTATGATGCATACAAATATACTTATTTTGAACTTTACAGATAATGTTGTCGAACGCGTATCGCCTTACCTTCTCCGAAACCAACCGGTAGACATTCTGGACCTTTGGCCTGGGTCTGGTCTGTTATCATCTAGAGTGAATAACCTTGTTCAACCACGCCGTCATATACTTGTCGAACCAAATCCAAACTTCAACCCTCTTCTCACTTCGGTTATCGGGGAGAAGCCGTGTTATAAGATCGTCAAAGAAAGGATATATGGGAAATTTGACTGGTCTGATTTCTTCGCAGAGCATTTACCAGAACAAGGCCCTGAAAATCGAGACAGCTCCGGGGTTATACCAAAAAATGATACACTCCTCGTCCTGGCTAATCTGCCTGAAGCTGTCAGTTCGATTGATCATTTCAAACCCAGCCGCTGGTTTCTCAACTTCATGAATAGCTGCTTAAAACAAAGTGAACTGAACATGTACGGGGCTGTGCGAGTACTTGCCACACTGCCCTTCAGTGAAGTCTCGGGCATGTTACCGCGGTCCGTTATGGATCGCACACGAACTGGCGTATTCGCGGAGACCATAGGCTTGCACAACATAGAGCTTGCTAGTTCAGCCGAAAATGAACGTTCTGTTCAATGGCGGGGTTTCAATACCTTAAAAGACAACAGGAAACGTGTGGCCGAAAGAGCTGCAGCGCATGGCATTATCACTCCGCCCACCAGAGAGCTTCCTGCTTTGGAAGCAGTGCCACAAGTTGCCCACCGTGGGAGAAAGGAATCACCACATCAGGTTCGACTGCGTACTCCTCTTCACAAGAATATCTTTGCGGCCATCGCGGCAGCAGAAAAGTTGGGTATCAAGTCAGCCTTGGATACCACAGACCCCAAAGCCAAAGATATATGTCGGAAGCGAGGAATAGCACTCACACACCTTGCCAGAGACAATACAGCGCATTACTACCGGCAAAGGCTTGTGGACATAGTACTTGAGATTGACGAAGTGAGCCGGACATTTGCACGTGCTGCTGCTGATCCCAAGGAGACTGTCGAGGGGCTAAAGGCTCTAGAAGATCAGATGACAGCTCTCAAGTCGAGTTTTACCACTTTGTTCGCCGGGGTTCACTTCACCGTGTTGGAAAAATATGAACATACAACCGATGATGCGCGGTTGACTACAATCTCCACCAATTTCGATGATGCGGTCCTGACACATGACCGACGACCATTTGAGCCATTATACATCCACCCCGATGAGATTTATCCTCGCGAAACCCCACTTGGAGTGATATATTTCGAGGCAGACCCCAACCAGCCCATTTTGAAGAAGGTCTTTGACCTCCCGAGGGAAACGGCACAAGAAGTCCTCGAGCGGTATTTTGCACTGCTAGGCTGTGTAGGCTTCCGCGGTAAAATGTCGGTCACCGAACTTCTTGAAACCCTTTTCCCATTAGTGGCCATCAATGATCATGTGCGGGATATTCCAAGCCTTGCGACTTATGCCAGAAGAAGCCTCAAGGCTGGCTATGGGCCGATGCCCTTGCCGGATGGTTCGACGTCGGACCCAGCTTTCACCTATCAGGAGAACGTGGACTATGATTTGAGTGATGTTCGACTCCGCACTCTTTCTGCGAATACCCTGCTTGATATTGCAATCAAGTACGAGAACCTTCCGGAGAAGCTAGGTATCATTCCTTTCAGCCGAGCTCTAGGCGCAGCATTGACTCAGGCTCAGCTCGGAGAGGAAATTATTAAGCCAAAGATGCGATAGGCTTTGTATATAATATTTTGTATAGCATGTATAGTATGTATAGTATGTATAGTATGTATATTATTTGTTTATGATATAAAAGATTAAAATGTTTAATCTGACTCGGAGTATTTAGGGTTACATGTGGTTGGTTGCATCCGGCACGAGGCCGAAGGATTGGATGTTGAGTCATAGAAATGACCTTGGAAAGATTGTAAGATTATAAGATTATAATCAATACTCCGTACACAAACATAACTCATGAATATATACACTAAAAATAGACCATTAAAGGTTGACTGCCGTTGACAGCCGTTGAGACGCATGCGGAGGATACTCCAGAGCATTCGGCTATAACGCCGACTATTTACGGAGTTCGTATTTCTATACTCCGTATAAAAAGAAAGTAAATAAAACAACCGTAAAATAATACTAAGCTACTTTTAGTATTAAAAGGAAATGAGCCCGTATATTAATTTCCCACCGTTTACGGTCCCACTGGCACCGTAGTATTTTACTGTCACTTGTCGATCTTCTATCTTCTATCATTTTTGTTTTTTGGTCGAGACCGGAAGTGGGCCACAGGGTGTTTTTTTTTTCTTTGCTTTTTATTTGTTTTATTACTTGGGGGTTTCCTAATTATTCTTTGTATGGATTGTACGGCCTAATTTTCTTCTCTCTTGCCTTCGCTACCCTGTCATTATAGATCCGTGGGTGAGGCTTAATTTGCCTATCTCGACTGCCGGTGGCGCTGATATCACGATTTCACTGGTCTCGGCCAATCCTCCGACACCATATAGGGACCCTGAGCTGCTCCAAAATCCCTCAGACATTGCGCGAACTATGGTCAATCCCCCATTTCCGTTGTCGCTCCAAACGGCCCAAGGCAAAAGTCCACCACTATCTGCTCAAGTCCCAGCGAGTCTCACGCCACCAGTGACTCCTATAGCCAAGGAAAGGCCATCACAGGACTCAAAGGCAAAGCAAGCGGCCCCCATATCCAAGGACAATGCCGGAACTCTGCTCTTCACAGACGACCTCGAAATCTGCCACGATGACAACAACCGCTCTTTCGAGTTCGGCCGTGGCGTCTGGAGTATAGTATACAAAGCGCGCTCATCGTCGCGCCCTCAACCAAACCTCCCAGGCACACCCCCAAGCTCCCCAGTCTCAACATCGCAAGTGCTAGCCGTGAAAGCACCGTTGCGCCGAGATGCGCGCCCAGTCCTCAAAGCCGAAGCAATAACCCTAACCCGCCTCACTCAAACCCAAGGCCACGAGCAATACATCGTCCCCTTCCACGGCTACCACGCCGAACTAGGCGCACTAGTCATGACCGCCGTCCCAAATTCCCTGGCAACCTACATCGAAGAGCAATCCAAGGTCGCGCGGACCCGCCAACCAGTAACAGCAACGATGTTCGAGCCCGTCCAAGGCCCAGCCTCGTACCAAGATCTCGCGCGCAAGCTAATCGCCGGCCTGAACTGGTTGCACCGAGTCGGCGGCGTCGTGCACGGCGATATAAAACCGCACAATATCCTCCTCAGGCCCATCGACACGGAAGACGGCGAAGAACATGCTTTCCCTTATGAGCCTCTGTTTGCGGATTTCTCCGCCACGGTCGATATCCCGACTCAAGTGGATGCGCCGGTTGATACGACGCGCGCGTCGATGTCGTCTTTCACGCCGCCGTTCACGGCGCCGGAAATGCTTGCTTCATTGACGTCGACTGAGATGGCGCCGACGCCTGCGTCGGATGTTTTCTCGTTGGCGGCTACGCTGCTTGCGGCTGCGACGGGTGATTTGTTGCTTTATCCTAATATGAATCATCGGTTGAGGCTCGAGATGGCTAGGGCTGGACATCAGATTATTGATTTCACGAGGTCTGGGATGAGTGGGAGTCGGGTTCCGAGGAATGGGTTCGTTGAGAGGATTGTTAAGCCTGCTGTTGTTAAGGATCCCGCGCAGCGGATTGCGACGTCGGATTGGGTGGAGCTTGCGTCTGTTTGATGTTGAACATTTGTTGAGATCTTTTTGGTTATTTGTTTTTTTCTTTGCATTGTCCATATACCCTGTTTAGATGGAGTTTGGCGGGATATGTATGATATCGGGAGTACGTGGAGGAATTAGTATAATATTTATCATATCAAGTAATACCTAGTGTGGCATTAGGATATCAGTGTTTCATTCAAGCAATACCAATCTCATAGAGTAGTGAGTTCGGAGCAGAGAGTAGTGATTCTCGAGTAGAGTAGCGAGCAGAAACAAACAACGCCAACGCCCAAAACAAACCCACGCAATCAACTCGAGTTAATCAAGAAGCAGCATTACTGCCCTCAACAAACTTCTTCAAATCAGCAAGCCACATCTCGAAACACCCCTGCAGCTTAACCTGATACATCCACCGCACCACATAAGCCAACCACCCATTCTGCGCCTCCCAATTCCGCACCACAGTCCCACCCTCCACAGCCGTAAATTCATGCACTCGCTCCGCCTGCAAAAGTGATGGCGAAAATGCCCCCGGCGCTTCAGCGTCGGAAATCCACACGATACGTCCACCCTGGCCATCCGCATCCGGCGCACTGTATTCGCTTATGAGGGCATGTACGTCTGTTGAGGGCTGTGGCTTAGTGGAGGCTGAGTCCATGCGGACGTGCAAGGTGAATTTTGTTCCTTTTTGGAGAATTGGAGATAGGGTTGTGTCTGTTGACTGGGGTGTTGTTGTGGATGTTGATGTTGATGCTGGCGTGGGGTCTGGTGCGGAGGTAGATGGAGATGGGTCTGGGGTTGGCTGGGAGCGGATGGTTACGCGTGGCACGAAGGTATTCCAGCTCGGCCAGGTCGAGGTGTTTGTTAGGGCAGCCCAGACTTCTTGGGAGGGAGCTCTTATGAAGGTTGAGCTGCCGATATGGAGGGTTGCTTTCTCGACAGGGATGTTGGGGGTTGCGCGCGTGGCGTTGGTTGGGTCTGTGAGGGTCGTCATGATGGATTGAGGTTTGGTGATGAAGGATTGGGATTGAGGAGGGAGTTGAGGAGGAAAGGAAGGTGAGGACGAAAAGAAGGTAAACAGGTAAGAGTCATAGGTGTGTGCAACGCTAGGCTGTCAGAGGAGTAGTACGGGTGTGCACGGGTTGTTTGCATCCGGGCCGATAGCTTTGAAGTGGATAAGATGCGATAAGATAAGGTGATTGAAGTATGCCCAGGTGGAGAGTCGAGGAGAAAATAGCCGTAGTACGACCTTTTTAAATATCTTGGGCTTGCTTGAAGTCTAGTAGTTGGGTGCATTGTAGTTGTTCCCACAAACATCTTCAATTTAGCGCCAAGTGCAGCGTCTATGTATAAATTGATGAGCACACCTACTTGATAGAAATTGTAGACCGGGCTGCACTTAGTAGAAAACTACCGCCTTGATAGCTTCTAGACTATTGGTATATTATATTTAGTCGGCAGCTATTATAGCTGCAACAACATGGGTACGAAGTTCCCAGTCACATGCATGCACGATTGGTTGAGTACAACATTGTTGAATCTGATTTGTAGTTTCTGACAAGCATGTTATATCTTCAACATCAGTGCCTTAAGTATAAAGTCATGAGAAATGATCCGAAACATAGTATATCGTGTTTCTTGGGCCCAACTTGACCAGAGAGTGATCCATCCATCTCTTGAAAGATGACATAATGGTGCCAAGATCGGGAATATAACGCTATACCTATTACAGACTAGCGGTTATAGATCTATAAACAGATCATTGACCTTGATGATCTCTCTTCCCTTCAGATGTTTGCTTTTGGACACAGTATGTGTTGTACAACACCGGGATAAAGCCTTAGGTACGTGTATATTATACTCTATCTAGCTTTGGATCAAGCTCCTCTCTGAAGGTATTCCCATATATCTGCCAGTATCCACGTGGAACTACAGCATACCAATAGCACCCATACCGTTGGGCTCTAGGATACAAGAAATCATACTATGATCAGTTCCAATATGTCTTACATTATTCCTCTATGTGTCCCAAAACCTTGGAAACTGTCAGGGAATAGATACGTAATCATCAAGGTGCGCAACCTTGAGATTGCTGGATAGATGGACTACCCTGTTTGAAAAGGCTGCTCAACCATGACAATACCTGCTACAAATAAGATAGACTGACAGATTCCAACCTAATACCAACGAAATTAGAGCCACATTAAATGGTCATATCTCTCATCCATTTGGTACCAAAGATTCTTTGCTCTTTCCTTCCTACAATGCTGCACCTTCCTCAAAATTTCTGCAATAAACAAAACTACATCTTCCCCCTCTTCCTCTTCTCTTCTTCTTCCAGACCCCATACATTCTTTCATCCAACACTCTTTATACAACATTGAACACTTATTGTTCCATTACACTCATTTCCATCTTTCAGTCTCTTCAACATGTATACTTCCCCAGTTCCGATTTTTGTCCAAACCTCTCATCACCCCCCTACTCTTCTTGCCCGGCCACGGCCCCGATTTTGCATCCTGCGTCCCGGAGGCTTCTGGACACCTCTGGTTCCACTTGATGAGTTGCCTTCTTGGTTAGAGATTTGCAACTGGTCCCCTGACCTGTATATGGGGATGTACCCGGCATCAATGACATTCATCCCACGAGAAGGGGAATATGATGTTGTCTGTCATCACTGCTCGCACCGAGTAGACTCGCTGCACCAGAGCTTCTCAGAGCGAGGAGCTCCTTCTGTGGCCGCCAGTAATACCGCCACTCATGGCACCTCGGCCAAAGACTGTCCTGAACAACACGTCTCACCAAACGCTTACCACGCTGATGCTATTTCCTTGCCTACAGTGCTTCATCATGACGCAGACCATTTCTTAGAGCAGCCTCCTTTCAGTGCGATGCTCCAGACTCCTTTTGTTGGAATGTGTGTGGTCGACATGGACTCACAGTATCCGGATATTTCTCAAGACCCTCCTGGGCCAAAACGACGTATGAGCATCGGGAACTCGATTCCTCCTCAGATCTTCGGTGCAGCCGGCATTGGCAGCCCCCCTCTTTCTGTGGCCAACTCGGGGAACGCTCGCAGGTCAGACTCCCCTCATCCACATGCACATGATACTGGATCGTTTGGCAAGCCCAAGCGAGTTGAATCTCTGCGAAATGAAAGTGTTGCATCAATGCAAAGTGGCAGTGTTGCCTCCACTCGATCTCTCACGGTTGCTGCCATCGAGCAAATGAGGAGGATGCGGAGAAGAAGGCTCTCTCGCGGAAGCAGTTTGCTTGCCAGCATCAGTGTCGCAGAAGCAACCAATCTGTCTCAGGTCTCAGGCTCAAAAGTCTCAAAGGTCTCAAAGGCTTCCTCTATCCGTGTTATCTCAAAGCATCGCCGAAAGGTTATCCTGCGTCGTCGACGTGCGGAAGAAAGGAAAACCCGCAAACCACAGTCAGAGATCTCAATGGAGCCGAAGATCAAGCCGGAGCAAACGAATTCCGCTACCAAGAGACGCGATCGACGCGAGCGCATGATGCAACGCAGAAAGCAATCTGATCGAGGAAAGCAACCTTATCGAAGCATGATGCAGATTCCCCATTGGAGCCCGGGTATGTGCAAGCACTGAGTTGTGATTGAAAGTCCGCACAAGACATGAAGCTGTATCACTGTCATGGTTGTTGGTATTATTCACACAAGTTCACTTTGATTGGGTTTTCGTTTATAGATAAATATCCTTCTTTTCCATTTCGTTTTTGCTGGGTCTGGCTATGTCGTTCTTCCATTCGTGCTTTCGGCAAGGTTGCATTTCCTGGTGAATCCTGGTGAATCTTTCCCTCGTTTCCCTTCACGTTCTTTTCTCTGTACTTGCTTTCGGCGAGCTTTTGCTTTCGTTTGGTCATTTTGCTTTTCTCAACTGGTCACCCATATATGTAGTTGTCAACATTGCCTCTCGTTTCTCACTTTTGTTGTTCTGAGCTGCCTCCCAGTGACTTTGTCTCTCATTTCCTTTTTGTTGTTCGCAACTGGCCTCTGGTTAATGCCTTTGTCGTTTGTTTGCTTGTGTTATTCTCAACTGGTTCTTGGTTGACGATATTGTCTGCTTTCCTTCCCAGATTATGTACTTCATTTGAACCCAACCAGAATTGAGCCCAATGATTACACCTTTCCACCTTTCCACCTTTTCAGAGTCATAAATAAAATGTAGACTCCTTTCTCTTATCATGAAACCCCCTTAAATCGCCCCCAAAAGGATTCCAATGCGAGATCCACCTCGGCCCGGACAACCCCCGCACTTATAGTTGGTAGCCTTCCCAGCCAGGCAACTTCGCACACACCATGAAAGTGAAAAAGCCCCGTGGCATCCGGCATGACCGGGACTGTGGTCGCTGCAAAGCCCGAGGTGTCAAATGTGACCTGAACCGCCCCCGATGTTCAGGCTGTCTCCAGGGTGGAGAAGCATGCAACTATCCACAACGAGTTGTATGGGTAGATGATAAGAAGAAGTCCAAATCACCAAAAGGCACTTCACCACAGATTCCCGAAGAAATTCCAGAGGGTTTTGCCAAGTCAGCATCTATCAATCTATACGGCTTTGTCGACCTCCTCGACACTTTTTGCCAACAAATCCAATCCAGCAGCCGCGACATCCCAGAAGAAGGAATCCAACTTATTACACGCACGCTAAGCTTTGCCCGCTCACGAATTCAAGATGCAAACAACAAAGAATCCCTCCAGTCGCATCTGGTGGCCTTAACGAATCTAAGCCAAGTCATCCAATCCGCACACCCAATTGCACTCTTCGGTATCGCCACTTTCGCCATGTTCGAAGTATGCTGCGGATCCTTTGGCAATTGGCATTGTCATCTCCAAGGCGCACGCTCCCTGCTCGATCTCCACTGCCAACACAAAGCCGATCTCGACGACCTCTGCGGCGAGATCTCCGGTCTAGCTGATGTCCTCGCCTATCTAGTGTGGTTTGACGTTACAGGTGCCCTCGTCCGAGAAAGTCCATTAATTTTCGAAGACTGGCATCGCGAGACCTTATCGGCTGGCTTCTTCGACTCAGTCGGTTGTCCAGCAGATACATTCGATCTTTTTGTTTATCTTGCGAAACACCGCGACGGCGATGGAATCCGCACTATAGACCTGAGTGCTCGAGCAATGGCCCAAATCCTACAACTCAACCCGGGCGACTCGACGGATCGCAATCTGGCTGCGACCGTGTATAGAGGCGCCGCCGCAATCATGGCTTTCAGTCGCGCGGGAATGACTACGGGCGGTGATCCGTCTGCATCGACATACCATTCGAACGTAGTCTCTTCCATGGTTGATCGAGCTTGTCAAGCTATCGCGGATATCCCTTCCTCATCGAGATTCTACGTGCACCTAGCTACCCCGGCGTACCTGATAGCAATGAGTGCCTCGACAGCACGACAATGCGAGATAATCAGATGGTACTGGCGAAACTGCCAGTCGTGTGAATTTCCCCGTTACCCGGACGCGGAGGCGCAGTGCGAGCGGAGGTGGAGGATATGCGGTGTGGGGTTTAGCGTCGATTAGATTACCTTCCTATTCGGGACATATCCCATTCCTTATCTAGGCCTTGAATATATAAAGGTCTTAGAAACCCAACTTCCTAGCTTTGTAGCTCTCGTAATTTGATATAAGAAATCCCATCATGGCCTCGTACCAAGACCGTTGTGCTAAAAAGCGCGCTGACCAGCTCGCCCTCATCCTCCCCGAATGGCGCTTAGATCCCGTTCCCTCCATAGAATCCACGCCGAACGCCCTGGCATATCTCCGTCGCATTCTCAGTCCAGAGGAACTAGCTCTCACAGAAGAAACGGACATCGCCGTTCTTCTCCGAAAGCTTTCATCCGGAGAGCTATCATCTCTAAAGCTAACTCGAGTCTTCGCTAAGCGCGCCGCCCTCGCTCATCAACTCACAACATGCTGCACGGAGATCTTCTTCGAAGAGGCTTTCGCCGTCGCCAAGGAACTAGATGATCATCTCGCCAAGACAGGCAAGACTGTCGGCCCTCTACACGGATTACCGGTATCTATCAAAGATCTATTCTCCGTTGAAGGTTTAGACACTTCAATCGGTAATCCACCCCATCCTTCTCCCCAAACCCTCGTTTCCCATGTATAGCTATTAGTTTACTAACAAATTCAAATACAGGCTGGGTCGGCCTCACAAATAACCCAGCACCAGCAGACAAATCCGTAGCACGGACACTGCGCCGTCTCGGCGCAGTCCTCTATGTGAAAACCAATCTGCCTCAATCAATGATGATGTCAGATTCCTATAACCACGTCTTCGGTCAATGCGTGAACCCCTTCAACCGCGAACTGATCTCCGGTGGGAGTTCCGGCGGCGAGGGATCACTTGTTGCGGCACGCGGAAGCGTGCTTGGGATTGGTACTGACTTGGGCGGCTCGATTCGCATTCCGGCGGGGCTTTGTGGTCTTTATGGACTTTCACCTAGTCCTGGTAGACATCCTTATGAGAGGGGGAAGTAAGTTTTATTCTGAACTGTTGTTTATTTTTTTTGGGGGGAGTAGGAGAAAGAAAGAAAAGAGAGAAGAAAATGCTAATTGTGATGTGAATTACAGTCCCGGACAGGATATTGTCAGATCCGTTGCTGGGCCTATGGCCTGTACTCTTGCGACTATCGAGAGGTATATGGAGGTTTTGCCGGAGGCGAAGCCGTGGGAGGTTGATCAGCATGTTGCGCCTGTGGCGTGGCGGAAGGAATTGGCTTCTCCTGGAGCGAAGAGGTTGAGGATTGGGTATTTGGTTGATGATGGTGTTGTTAAGGTTCAGCCTCCGGTTGCGAGGGCCATGCGCGAGGTTGTTGAGGCGCTGAGAGCGGCGGGACATGAAGGTATGATAAATGACAACCTCCCTCCCAATGGCTACTTTGGACATCTACTGACAAATCCCAGTGTTTGAATGGGACGCCTCCTCGCATAAATATGCATACGATCTCTGGGCAAAGGCCATCTTCTCCGATGGCGGCGAGGGCTGTCGAAGACAGATAGAGAAAACCGGCGAGCCGCTTGTTGAGGGTATGCTCGTTGGTAAACCTGAGGATACATTGACTACCAGTCAAACGCACCATGTGAGCAGATTCCCATTTTAGTGCCGTTACTGTTACTACATGCTAACATATGTCACAGCTCAATGCGGACAAATACAATTACGAATCGGCATATCTCGATAAATGGATATCATCCGATATCGACGCATTGATCATGCCCAATACCCCATGGGTGGGATACAAGCCGTGGACGTGGGTGAAGTCCAGTGCATATGTGGGCTACACGAGTATCTGGAATTTACTTGGTTATGCCGCGTTGGCAACGCCTGTGACTACTGCTTCGAAGACGAAGGATATTCCCGATGAAGAGTGGCTGGCCCATGTTCCGAGGAATGATGGTGATAAGTTTAATAAGGAGCAGTGTGAGTAGTTCCTATATTGGAGTGGCCTCTTCGGAAAATGCTGATTCGTGTTTAGATGATCCTAACCTGGTTGAGGGTATGCCTGTCGGAATACAGGTTGTTGGGGGTCGGTTTGGTGAAGAGAAGTGCGTTGCTGTGGCTAAGGCGATTGAACTTGCTATGCAGAGGGATATTACCTTGCGGGCAAATCTTTGATTCGTTCACTTACTACAAGTAAATGAGGGATATATATACTGCATAGCTCTATATTCGTTTATTTCTTATCCACGCTGGTTATGTTTAGTACTGTGGGCCATTTCCATGTAGTTCCTTGCCCAATCTCGACGGCGAAGGTATAAAGAACAATATATATGACTTCGCGACTCGATACTCGATTCTAGATATTCAAGTGCACTAAATCCAATATAGTCCAGTCTATAAGATGAACATCGTTATTCGTATCGTCGCTATCTGAAATGAGAGCACAGGCCTTTCATGTTGCTCAATATATACAACCCAACTTTCACCAAACTCAAACAGGGGAATTCATTTTATCCTTATAGTCCGGAAACTCGAAATCCCCAAAATCCTGCTCAGTACTAAGCGTCACGTGTGGATTCTCATGCGCAATACTACCCCTCCCTCTCTCTCCCCTCTCCAAATCTGGATGGGGACCATTCATAGAAGGAATCGAAGGAGGAATAGTAGAAGGAGGAATGGAGGGAGGAAGAGAAGGAATAGAAGGAGGAATAGTAGAAGAAGGAATGGAGGGAGGAACAGAATCAGAGTGCAACCTCAACTCGCGCACAACACGAATTCCCTCTTCAGTCTCCTCTGCGTCATTCGTATCGACCTTGGAAATACTAGCAGAGTAACTAGCTGGTGTGGGATTGAAGAGATCGTTGCACCAGATCCCGTCATCCCGGTGAAGAGTTTCGGTCATCTCAGCTTTAGTGGAAAGTCGCCTCTTTGAGGCTGATGAGCGTACTGGTCGAGGGAGGAAGAAATATGAGAAGATGCGGGAGAGGAGGGGGTGGAGGGGTGGTAGACAGATGCAGATGATGGATATATTTGCTTCGAGGGAGGACCAGAGGGCTGCTTGGGCATTTGCTTCTGTTGGTCTGTTAGTATTGTTCTGCTGATTATATATAGCAGGGTGTGAACAAGTGTATATACTTACCGGTAAAGTCTCCTCCACTAACCATGATATTCAATTGATACAAGCGACCGGCACTGGTGGCAACAATACTATAAGAAAGTCAGCTTCGTTTTTAAGATCAACCAGAACTGTGTACTTGACGTACCAGATTCCAAGACTGAAAACTACAAGGATTCCCCATTTCTGTCTTTTCGGTAGCTGCAACTTCCACAATAGTGGCATGGGCATAGCCACGATCATCAGATCGGTAAAAGTCTGGATTCCGGCATTTGTGAACCAGGTAGGCGCGTCAGGTAGACAATGTTTCTTTCGGACCTCTTGGGATGGATTCCAGAAGTCGTGGACAGGAACGCAGTAGACGAAACCGCTCAGGGTTGTCCATAGACCAAATAGGGCGAGGAAGGCCATCAAGATGTAGGTGATTATGAGGAAAGGACGAGGATGAAAGACGCGGGTGAAGAGGGTTAGGGCGGAGATCTTGGCTAATATCATGGTCATGTTATAGAAAGGGACGGAAAGCCATAGCCACTGTGGTTGGGGTTCATTAGTGACTTTATCCCCGTAGTTTGATAGAAGAGAATCTTTTGTACATATAGTTGGCACTGGTATTTCTCCGTAGAAAGTTCTGTTGTGGGTATGCCGAGGCCATATTTTCGTTCTATTGAGGAGTTGTTAGATATGTGTGCTGGTTGATAAGGCATTGCTGGGATGGACCACTTACCAAGAAGTATAAAGATATAGAATGTCACATCGCAGGCCTAGCATAGATGATCAAAATTGGGTGCTTTGTCTGAAATGCGTATATCCTGGTATACGTGGCAGGGATAAGTACATACCAACGCAAATGATATAATCAAATCATCTAGCCCAGCAGCCTTCACCATGCGAAACCGAGTGTATAACCGGAGGGCGACGGTCAAAGCCGCCAGACCCGTAAAGATCGACGTGACAATCTCAACGTACATTGGATCGGCGAGAGAAATAACTGAACAATCTCAAAGTTATCAATAGAATCCGAGTGGGAAGCCGAAGACGGTCATTGTATTGAACTGAATGCAGTGGGACAGCACCACCATCACACTGGGACTGATTATTGAGTAGGTGAATTGTAGTATCGCAAGTAAAGACGCTCAGATTCAAGTTCAAGTTCAAGTAGAAAGTAAAGAGGAAGAAAGACACACAATCCAAGGCCAAAACCCTGAAGAGAGTTTTTGCAGCCACAAATCTGCAGAGCCAAGGACATTACACCCCAAGCCCCTATCTTCCAATCAATATTTCCCTTCAGGCTGTTACCAAAAGACCAAATGGCCGCATAGGAAGGTGGATTGGCCGCTTGCGTCAAGACCTCGATCTGGATCGACGACTAATTAAGTCAAAAAGGGATATGATTGGCTGGCAGAATAAAGTTGTGGATTCCTTTTATCCGACTTGTATCCTGATTGGTTGGAGGCTTTTATGGTTATTCAGCCTACTCTGAGAAAATTAACCAGATTCGATATCGAATAGAAGACCCTTGTTTGCTTCTCGTTTGGGTCATCCTATGTATGGCCGATTTCCTGTTTCGGGCTTTGGGTTGATCTTTCGGCTCCGAAAACTATCGCGAGTCATGTTAGCCTCGATGTGTGGGTTTCTGAGTTTTGAGGCGATTGTGGTGTCAGTGACGTTTTAAGTGTAAGTACAAATAAAATGTTTCAAGTTGATGCTCAGATATGGGCATGTAAGTGGTTATGTGTTGTGTCCCTTGCGATCGACAAGCACTATTTACCCCCGTGAGGTGAGGTAGACAGGGAGTGGCGGGCTAATAGAAGGCAACTTTTAAAGAATGTGCGACGACTTTATAGTCGGAATTTGCGAGGTGGGTATTAGGCGACTATTGTCTAGGTAGCACCTGAAACAACTATAAGAACCTAAAACTTGACATGACACCGTTTGGACTCATTGTCTACAACCTACTCATAGAAAAGAAAAGTGTACAGAATGACAATTCAATTGCAAACTATACAACAAAAATTACCAATCAAAGCCAGGCCAATGCCTTTCCACTAGGGATTCTAAAACGGGAGTATCTCAAATTTTGCAGCAAATGGGAAAAGAATCTACAGGCGAGCCTTGAGGTTGGCCTTCAGCCTCCGCTCAACGGCAGCCATGTACTCGCCAGTGGTGACCCAAGACTCGCGGTCCTTGCGACCACAGGCGAGAGCCAGATCCTTAGTCATGATAGCCTCGTCGTTGACAACCTCAACGCAGGCACGCTCGAGCTCCTCGGCGAAGGCGACAACCTCGGGGGTGTTGTCGAGCTGGCCACGCTGAACGAGACCACGGGTCCAGGCGAAGATGGAGGCGATGGGGTTGGTGGAGGTCTCGTTACCCTTCTGGTGCTCGCGGTAGTGACGGGTGACAGTTCCGTGAGCGGCCTCGGACTCGTAGGCTTGACCGTCGGGTGTGGTCAGGGCGGAGGTCATCAGACCGAGGGAGCCGAAGCCCTGGGCAACGATATCGGACTGGACATCACCGTCGTAGTCTGAGAGGTGTTAGATAAGAAATTAAAATCAACATGGGATGGACGGGAAACTCACTCTTAAGAGCCATGACGAAGCCACCCTCGGACTTGATCATCTGAGCGACCATGTCATCAATGAGACGGTGCTCGTACCAGATGCCCTTGGCATCAAAGTCCTTCTTGTACTCCTTCTGGAAGATGTCCTCGAAGATATCCTTGAAGCGGCCATCGTACTTCTTGAGGATGGTGTTCTTGGTGCTCATGTAGAGGGGAAGACCCTTCATGAGGGCCATCTTGAAGGAAGAGTGGGCGAAGCCAGCGATGGACTCATCGGTGTTGTACTGGCACTGGGTGATACCACCACCCTGGAAGTCGTAGACCTGGATGTGCTCGGGCTTACCACCGACGGGGGTGTAGACCAACTCGAGCTTACCGGGGCCAGGGATGACACGGTCCTGGGCACGGTACTGGTCACCGAAAGCGTGACGGCCAATAATAATAGGCTTGGTCCAGCCAGGGACCAGGCGGGGAATGCGGGGAATGACAATGGGCTCACGGAACACGGTACCGCCACTAGATATAGTGTTAGTAATGAACAGTCAAAGCCAATCGGGTTGAATTTACTCACAGGATGTTACGGATAGTGCCGTTGGGGGAGAGCCACACTAGAAATGGTTAGCTTTTTGGTGTTACGCAACACGTACTTCAAATGAGCTTAATGAGCTTACTCTTCTTCAGCTTGAACTCCTCAACACGGGCCTCATCGGGGGTGATGGTGGCACACTTGACACCGACACCGTACTTCTTAATAGCCTCGGCGGCATCAATGGTAACCTGATCATTGGTCTCATCACGGTACTCAATACCCAAATCGTAGTACTTGAGATCGACATCAAGGTAAGGCAGAATCAACTACAGACAGCCAATTAGTATCAAGCAATGAATCCGGGTCGACATGTGGTGTGATGTATCCACTGCATGCATCCTGCAACGGCGGCGATCATGCAGGTCTAGCCCGGGCGAGGGGACAATAAGCTTACCTTTTCTCTGATTTCTTGCCAGATAATACGGGTCATCTATGTTTCACGAAGATGATTCGGTTAGCACGTGTCAAGAACGAGAGTTTCAAAGCCTTGGGGCAGCGTCATCAAGAGGATTGACACATGAAGATGATTATTCCCCGTGTTTCCCCGCGTTTTCGACGAGAACGCAACCGCCGAGCACGATAATATACAGGCTTGTGAAACAGGCCGATTGAAAGTCTGAACTATAAAAGAGGGGCGTTGTCCCATACCTCATCACCATCCAACTCGACCAAAGGGGTCTTGACCTTGATCTTGGTTTCGGAAGCCATAGTGCGGGTTTGAGTGAGATACGTAGGGATCGATCCGGACCAGCGGGAAGAAGCAACAACTCGATTAGTGCGTTGAGAAAGGGAGGTAGATGAGATAGATCTCTTGGAAGAAGAAGTGAAGGAAGAGGAAGAAATAAGACGAGAAGTAGAAGAGAGAGGGGCAGGAGGGGTCGCAAGAGACCGACGAGCGACTGCGGAACTGGACCGGAGAGCGTTCATCGTGGAATAATGCCTAAGGACGTCAGCACCAGTTTCGGTGTTTCTGTTTGGCTGAGCGGGATGTACACCCTCAACCCGCCTGGTTACAACCGAGGGAATGAAGTTCGGCAGAAAGGAAAGTGTGGAGTCGGGAAATTTCCCGGAGAAAGGGTAGAGAGATGTTGCGATTTCCGGGAGTTTGGGGGTAAAGTGACCGGGGCAATACGGGATTTGATCGGGAATAAGATGAGTAAGGCAAATAAGAAAGGGATAATTACCGAATAGCAAAGAGGACTGGATAGTTAAAAGAAGGGTAGAAGGAAAAAGCCTTGTCCGGTGCAATGGAGGTTGAGGATCTTATTAACTCCGCAAAAAGAATCGCCGAAGCCGGAGTCACGAGATTATTTTGGGGAGGATTTTGGTTGGAATATTTTTGAGTAAATTCACGTGGATATCACATTTTCTTTATATCTTTCTCTTAAAGGTCTACTGACTCATCGATCTAACCCTTTTCTCAGGTAAAATTTGATGTCAAGCTCCATCAACCGACCCGCTGAAGAATGCCTATACGTGAATAGAGCGATTCCCGGAGAACGGAGCTCAACTCCGGCCTTGACCGGCTCTCCCTTTTTGACCCCGGAAAAGCTCCAACCGAGTTGTACGATCTAGATCAAAAAGAATATAAATTGATTATGACGAAATAATATATCAAAATGAATTTCCAATTGCCCCGGATTGGTGTTGAAAAAATCTCCATCTAAGCGCTCCGACGCCAATTATGGTATGTGTTGAAGAATCGAAATTCAAACCCTATATGCAAGCTCCAAAATATCTCCTATGATCTAGAACAACCCATCAATATCTCCAGTCTCGGTGTCAATGTCCACATTAAGGTAGCCGGGGGCAGTGGGTAGTCCGGGAATGGTCTGAATATCAGCAGCCAGGGCGTAGCTATAACTATATTAGCGTGGTGAATGTCCAATTGCGGGAAGAAAAGCTTACAGGTATCCAGCGCCTACAGCCAATCTAACATCCCGAATCGGTACAGTGAACCCAGTTGGGGCGCCCTTAAGGGCTGGGTCGTGACTGAGTGAGTACTGGGTCTTGGCGATACAGATCGGCAGGTTAGAGAACCCTTGCTTGGTGTAGGTGTCGACCTTCTTCTGGGCCAATTCACTGAACTCGACCTTCTCAGCGCCATACATGGCCTGACCAATGCGCTCAATGCGCTCCTGGATAGTACCATCCAGTCCGTAGAGAAGCTGGAAGTTCTTCTCCTTGGAGCTAGCGGTCATGACAGCCTTGGCCAGATCAACGGCGCCGGCTCCACCCTCAGCCCAATGATTGGCAGGGACAGCATCCTCGGCGCCGGCAGCGATCGCCTCCTCCTTGATGACAGCAATTTCAGCCTCGGTATCAGTCTCGAACTTATTGATCGCGACCACCACCGGGACGCCGTACTGTTTGGCGTTGGCAATGTGCTTCCGCAGGTTAACACAACCCTTGCGGAGAACATCCACGTTCTCGGTGCGGTAGACCTCCTGCAGAGGGGCACCGGGCTTGATCTCAGGGCCGCCGCCGTGAACCTTCAGCGCACGGACAGTAGCCACGATAACAACGGTGTCGGGAACCAGACCGGAGGAGCGGCACTTGATGTTAAAGAAGCGCTCGCCACCCATTGTGAAGTCGAAGCCAGCCTCAGTGACCACGAAACCGGTCTTGGCCTCGTGATCCTCATCAGGCTCAGTACCGGCAAGCTTCAGGGCAAGCTTATCGGCAATGGCAGAGCTGGCGCCAATACTGATGTTGGCAAAGGGACCAGCGTGCACCATCACAGGAGTGCCTTCCAAACTTTGCATCAAGTTTGGCTTAATGGCATCCTTCATCAAGGCGGCGAGGGCACCACCGGCACCAATGTCGTCGCACGTCACGGGGTCACCGTTTCTAGAAGTAGCAACCACCATGCGACCCAGTCGCTCACGCATATCATCCAAGTCGTTGCTCAGGGCAAGAATGGCCATGCACTCACTAGCGACGGAAATATCGAAGCCAGTCTCGCGGGAGTGGCCTTTCTCGGTGGCGGCCTGGCCGACAGTGATACCACGCAGATGACGGTCGTTGACATCGAGAACGCGGCGCCAAGTGATAGTCTCCGGGTCGATATCAAGGCGGGCAAAGCGGGTAATTTCTTCCTCGGTGAGCTCGTCTGGGTTGGTCTTCTCGATGCCCAGCTTCTTCAGACGTCGGAACATGATAGGCTTGAATTCACGTGTGCCCTTGCTGGCAGGGACAAGACGCTTGTAGAGAGCTGCGTCTTTCTGGGTGGACTCATGGAACATGCGAGTCTCAATAGCAGCAGCGAGAAGGTTGTTTGCGGCAGTAATGGCGTGGATATCACCTGTAAGGTGGAGATTGAACTCGTCCATAGGAATAACCTGACTGTAGCCTCCACCAGCGGCGCCACCCTTGATGCCGAATGTAGGACCTTGGCTGGGCTGTCGGACGTTGGCAAATGAAATGCGGTTCAGGTGGGCACCGAGCGCTTGAGTGAGCCCTAATGTGGTGGTGGACTTGCCCTCACCGAGGGGGGTGGGTGTGATACCGCAGACCAAAATGTATCTTCCGTTGCGGCGATGGGAGAGGCGGTCCAGCACACTGAGGCTGATCTTGGCCTTAGTGTGACCATAGGGCTCCAACTCATGAGGGGCAATGCCGACCTCGGTGGCAACCTGGGTGATGGGCTTGGGGTACTGGGCCCGCGAGATAGCAATGTCGGAAGGCACGGGGGTTTCTAGGCGAAGGGGAAGAGGAGTGACGTGACGGTCCTTCTGTTTCTCGAAGTAGGTCTTGGTGGAATGAACCACGTTCTTCAACAACATAGCCACTGTCATAGGACCAACACCACCGGGGACGGGAGTGATCTGCGAGGCCACTGCGGAAGCAGACTCAAATTCCACATCACCGACCAACCGCTCGCCGGACTTCTTAGTCGCATCAGGCTTGTAGTTGATACCAACATCAATAACTACGGCACCGGGCTTCAACCAGTCACCCTTCACAAGCTCGGCCTGGCCAATGGCCGCCACAATAATGTCAGCGTTCTTGACAATGCGGGGAATATCCGGTGTCTTTGAGTGGCAGACAGTAACGGTAGCATCGGCGTTCTTGAGCAAGTTGCTGACCGGGCTGCCGACGATGTCGCTACGTCCCAGGACCACTGCCTCCTTGCCGGCGGGGTCTACGCCGCTGGCCTTGAGTAGTTCCATAACCGCCATAGGGGTGCAGGGAACGAACAACGGGCGACCGCCTCGCTTAGCTAACTCGCCGATGTTGATTGCGCCGAAACCATCGACATCCTTCTCATCTGAAACAGTCGATGTGATTGCATGCTCAGACATGTGGCTTGGGAGGGGCAATTGAACGAGAATGCCGTGGATCGCGGGGTCATTGTTGGCTCTGGTGATCTCTTGGATGAGCTCCAGCTCAGTGCTCGATTCGGAAACGTTGATCACAGTGCAGATGATGTTGGCCTAGTGAATAAGGTCAGTAAATGCTCCAAATATCGCAAACAGCAAGTCATACCTCTTGAGCGGCCTTCAGCTTCATGCGCACATAGGTACCTAAGTAACATTAGTCTGAATGATCCCTCGATACTGTTTGTAGATAAACCAACTGGAATCTGATCGATTGCCGACTATATAGAATCATGTTAGTATACAATCCTACTGTGATCATACTCGAAGAGGGGTTATGCTTACCCTGGAAGATGACCAGGTTGGGCTTAAATCTAGGGTTGGTCACTTGGATCTGCTCGATCTCGGACTTCAATCCCTGGCGAATGCTCTTTGCGATGGCAGTGCCATCAATCTTGGCAGCCATTGCTGACCCGGAAAACGTTCGGGATAGTGAGATAGCGGGGATAGGAGAAAAGTTGATGTTCACTAAAGACTCAATTGAGGATGAACGAAGCCGGCTAACACCTTGGACAGAGAAAGAACGAGATAAGAAAAGATTTCGGAAAGCGCCCGCATGCACTTGGAGATAAAAAGTGCAGCGGGGTAAAGCAGCGGGGACGAATAGCATGAAATTGCTTGGAGCGAACCCGCGGACTTGCTACCGGCGTTGCGACAAGCAAATCAACAATTAGGCGATTTCACATGCAACACTCGGAAGATATACCGGAGTTAAAGCCAACCCTGTCAATTTCGAGTTATTACCTAAACATTCACCTCATCTCTTCCTTTGTTTGTAATTAAACTCATGCGGAGAGTCTGCGAGTTTCCCGGTTTCCCGGACACCTCCTGTTGCTGCCTGAGGCAGAACTCCCTATATGAGCCTCATGAGTCATCCAAAATGCATTAACCCTTTTCGGGAACACCAGTTAGGGCTTAGGGTATCCAGGTACCAGATCACGTGTAGATATCGGAATACGGAATATCCTAGCCTCCGATAAAGGCTTGGCATTGAGGGCCGAGTGTGCGATGAAATTCACTAGTCAAAGAAAGTGAGGTTGACGAGGTTGACCCCCCCCAAAAAGCCACTCCGCCTTACCCATTCTGAGCCGAGCGTCTCAGATTTTTCCCCTCCGATACTCCATCTCGAATTTCCTATCACCTACCCTTCGAAATGCGGCCTATTTTGCTTTCCGGCCATGTGCGTTGACTTCCTCGAAATCTTGCTGGATCCACAGAGACTGACCGCAGCCATCTATAACAACAGGAGCGGTCCCTGACCCAAATCAAGTTCAACAGCGATGGCGATCTCCTCTTCTCCGTCTCGAAGGATAAGATTGTGTGCGCCTGGTGGTCCGCCAACGGCGAACGTCTCGGTACTTACAACGGCCACCAGGGTGCTGTTTGGACAGTCGACGTCAGCCCCAACACCATTCTTCTTGCAACCGGATCAGCAGACAACACCGTGCGTCTATGGAACATCAAGACCGGCGAGTGTGTGAAGGTCTGGGAATTCTCGACAGCCGTCAAGCGCGTGGCATTCTCCCCCGATGGAAGCAGACTTTTGGCCGTGACGGAAAAGCGCATGGGTTTCAACGGTACTATCGCCATTCTCGATATCAACTACGGCGAAAACCTCAGCGCGCAGGCCACCGAGCCTACCTTGACCATCGTTTGCGAGGAGAGCAAGGCCACCGTGGCGGGGTGGAGTTTCTTGGGCAAGTACATCATTGCGGGGCACGAGGACGGCAGCGTCAGCCAGTATGATCCTAAGGTATGTTTGTATCGAGGTGATTTGAGGAGCGTGGAATGCTAATGCCATCTCTAGTCTGGAGAACAACTCGAGAACGTGCAAATCCACGAATTCGATAGCCAAATAACCGACATTCAATTCGCACCCGATCGTCTGTCTTTCATTACCGCGTCGAAAGACAAGTCAGCCAAGGTATGTTTTTGTGCAGATCATTCTATCAGGCAATCCCCGCTAATAACATGCAGCTCCTGTCCTCCCGCAACCTCGCCATCCTCAAAACCTATATCTCCGACACCCCTCTCAACACTGCTTCCGTGACACCGAAGAAGGACTTTGTCATTCTTGGTGGTGGTCAAGCCGCCATGGATGTCACCACCACTTCTGCCCGCCAGGGTAAATTCGAAGCCCGATTCTACCACAGAGTGAGTACAAATATGCGTTTGGCTTTACTCATCACATACTAATCATCATATTAGGTTTTCGAAGATGAAGTCGGTCGCGTTCGTGGCCATTTCGGTCCCCTTAACACCATCGACGTTCACCCCGCCGGTACCGCATACGCCTCCGGTGGTGAGGACGGATACGTTCGTGTCCACCACTTCGACAAGTCATACTTCGACTTCATGTACGAGGTCGAGCGGGAGCAAGCGCGGAAGTAAAGAGGGGATGTGGTGAAGAAAGTTGGAATGCGTCGTGTGTATGTGTTTACGAGGCGAAAAGACTTGGGACAGATCCCCCGAGTCCCGCATACGGAATGGGATGACCTTCCGGTCCACGATTTTCTCATTTCATTGATTCCATGATCAATCGGAGTTGGTACCTTGTGTTTGTGTCTTTGTTTAATAAAAAGATGACATGGTTCATTTTTTGAGCTCTTATGTCTGTCCTGGTCCTCCGCAAAAGAGATGAAAATCGGGTAAATAGACAAAATCAAAGCTTTGCAAATCTTCAAATTCCGTTCGGACAACCCAGGTGGTATCGAAAAGAGCATGAGGGTAGGATATGCCTATGTAGGAACGCACTACGTATAAACCGACCCCAGTACCTACATACGCTCGTTCGTGTGCAAGGATGATGTGCGAGGTATAAAAATAACATTCATTTACTCAAATTTACACTTAAATGCCAATGATAGGAAGAAAAACATATGATAATATCAAAACCTGAGGTATCTCATTTATACAATTTTTTTTCGTGATATCTTCTCTAAACCCGTTTCCCATGCAAGGCCAGCGCTAATCCGACCAGCAGAAAAGAAACCCGTAGAAAAAAAAAAAAAAAAAAGTGACGTCTCATGAAAATGGAGAAGGAACATGACAGTCATAGAGCGCAAAAAAGCAGAATGCAGAAAACTTGAGATTCGCCCCCGGCCTCATTCCCGAAAGGGATGAAAGACCACGGACTCAACCCCGATCGTCTATTTCTTCTTGGGGAACTTTTCTGAGCCGATGTCTGAACCACGCAGCTTAATGTTCAGCACACGCTCCATAGATCCGAGGACCTTCTGGTCGGGGGCGGCGGTGCCACGCTCGAAATCCTGGACAATGGTGATGGTGGTGTTGCACTTGGTGGCGAGTTCCTTCTGGGTCATCTTGTAGCCCTCCTCGGTACGGCGTCTCTTGATAGCGTCAGCGACGGCGTGGCCGATGGTCTTGGGCTTGACGATGTCGTCGCTGCGGTCGACCTTGGTCAAGTGTTGGCCTTCGGGGGCACCTGCCTTGGCACCCTGGAGAGTGTTAGTAAATATTCAATGTGTTTTTCCAGATTTCAAAGATTTCACGTACAATGTTACCGGTGGTGTACTTCTTCTCGGTGATGACACCACCGGAGCGCTGAGCAGCGTTCAGGGCACTCTTGCCCTTGACGACGGTCTCGCGGGGGCAGCGCCTGCTCCGCGGAACTTGCTGCCGATCTTGGTGGTGCTTTCCCAATCAGACATTTTGGAATTTGGATTTGGTGTAGGTGGTTGAGGTGGATGAGAATAATAGCTGAGCGTGGAGGGAGATGACGTTGGTCGTGTGAGGGTGAAGACAGAAATGCAATTTATATCGATGACACAGAAGCTTCTCGAGGGAGGGGAGCCCGCACTAGTCCGCTTTAGGTTTAGCGTATATCTGGTTCAAAGGCGTTTATCTTGTGGCTCGGCTCTCTTTTACATTGTAAATCAATTGTTATTTCTATGAGTTCTTTATGACTGATTGCAGTTTTCTGCAGGGTTTCATTTCTTTTCTGGGAGATTTCAATGGGGTCTTAGGGGTTCACTATATACATCGGCAGTTCCCCCACCACATCGATTGCCACCGCCACCTCCAATTATGCACACTATCACGTACATTCCAGACTCACATACCATTTAGAGTTCAACGTATAAATAGTTCTTCAACAATACTATCTCCCTGGTCATTTGCATATACAACATAGCATAGAGATATAGCCTGCTTTAAACCAATACCAAGACAATGATGTTATTCGACCCACAACTTGATGTCATAAGGCCTTATGTGCGTGGATATTTTCAGCCCTAATCACTGATATCATAGGAGACTAGTATCACAGAAGACTGGCAACAAATATGCCATCAAGGGCCAATCGTCATTCTCAAACGGCATGCCAGGGTGCTGCCCTGCACCGCAGTAAGCACAAGACACAAGAGTCACAATGAGTCCAATAACGGGTCCCCGCGATGAGGCTGAGCGCATGGTCGGGCACCAGGATAGGTTTAGCCTCTCTTCTCATAGATTAATGTATAGCTCTAGAGACAAGTCGCGCATATAGACTCCCGGGTTGGTGACTCAATCTAAGAACGAAGTACAAGACATGTTACTTTTTGTTCCTTGTCTGCTTAAGCAAATCTTCCTGGCTTCATATATACAATATCCTCTATCGATTTCGTCGTCATACCTGCTAGACCATGGCGTCCTGTGGACTTCATTTAAATCATTGCATCTCAGACGTTTGAGTTGGGTTAGCTACACACTCCATTTTATATCATCGTTCCACCTTTGGATGGCATGGTCGGATACATATACAGCAATGTGAACCTATTTCCAACCCCAACTCATGATTTCTATCATCGTTTATTTCCGCTGGATGTCAAAATCATAAAGTAGACTTGTGGCAGATTATCTACCCATCATATTTTTGGTTCGCTTCCATTGAGTGCTTTAATAACCTACATAGGTAGGCAAATTCGGATGTGATCCAGAATATCAGGAAAGTCATTGACTGTGATAAGTATGTACTATGTAGCCCTCAGTCGGGATCGTATCGCAATGAGCTAATTAGCATTTGAAACTGGGGACCCTGAAATCTTTGGCCGTAAGCCCGCCAATACGCGATGCTGATTGAACCCAGTCAATCCATTCAAAGCAAAAATCCAAGCCACCAACGCCATATCAATGAGAGTGAATACGAAGCAAAATGCCCAGCATAATAGCCCGGCCGTATGATTAGAAGATGCTGTTCACGATGTTGGAGCCAACAGTAGCACCGGCACCGAAGATTGCTAATATCAAGTTAGAAACCAAATAATGAGTACCAAAAGTATACAAGACTTACCAGCATTGCCCAGTTTCTTTCCGAACTTCTTGCCTCCTTCCTCGAACTTGCTCTTCTTTGGGTCCTCGGGGTTTTCAGGCTGTCCACTCTGGCTGACATCAAGAGGCATGTTTCCATAGTTTGTAGGCGGGGGCGGAGCGTAGCCAGCCTTCTCATTCACGACGTTTACGTAGCTTTGAGGGAAGATACCCTCCTGGCCAGTCCGCTCATTGCGACCACGCCACCCTGTTGATCACCAGTTAGCTTTGTTTCTGTATCAGATAGGAGGGGAATAACATACAGTCCTTGTTCATTTCCTCAATAATCTGGATGCGATCCTGCGGCTTCATGTTCAAGTCACCCGCGTCGGAAGCGTGGTATTCGTACACAGCCACCGCGAAACCCATGGCTGGCGGGACTTGGGGATAAGCTGGCGGGGCTCCCGGGGGCGGGCTTGCATATTGATTGTGCAGCGCGGCTTTCTCGTTCACCGATACATTGGACATTTGTGAAACAGGGGGCGAATATGAGGGCGTGTAGGCGGCCGGAGGGGGCTGTGTTTGCACTGGGACATGTTGAACAGGCACAGGCTGTGCGTGCTGTCGGGGCGGCGATGATGCATTCGCCGCTCGAGAGGCCTCGGAATCGGTAGGTAGCTGTGATAGAATGGAGGAGAGCTGGTGGGGAGTGATCACACGGGAATCGGCAAGGAATTCCAGTTCCTAATATATCTTGAATTAGTACCTGGATCGCATTTCAGGAACAGCAAGCCGGGAAGCCATACCGTCCGGACCATGCGGAGCGACCGGGTGGTCATGGCAGACGCGAAATCGCTGGAGGTGGCCATTATGAAAGAACAGGGGTCGTATGGGTTGAAGAAGACAATTCCAGAATGACGAGAGAAGTTCTAAAAAATGCCAGATTAGGGAGAGTCGGGAGAGACAGGGGGGTCGGGTGTTATTAAGTAGCCTAAATCACCTGGGCAAGATCTTAGAATCTCCGCCCTCAACTGCAACGTTTACATCTACACTATAAACAATTACAAATTCCCTGTCTGATTCAAGATTCCGAATGGATTGAATTTCCTCTTATACCCAATCTCATACTTTCTTTTCTTGATTTGATGAATTGGTCAACAAATATATATAAGCGGGTCAAAAGAGGAATCTATCTGGACATCAGCACAGTGATCAATATACAACAGCCCCCTGTGTTCAATCGGAAAGTCGACCTTGAGAGGTTCAATCCCTTGGAGTCTCCACCATCGTACAACAGCAGGGGCCTCCATTTATCTGCAACAATGCCACTATCATCGCCATGCCAAGGTAGGCTATGTGGTTGTCCTAGCCGCGAGTTCCGCAGATTTCACACATGTTCCACACCATCGGCCCTAGTGCAGACGAAAACGCATATTCCTGATCCTAAACTTGTCTTGCCCCTGATCTCTTTGCCCGGATTCGATCAACCCTGCATCCCAGAGCCCCAAAATAAGAAGCGGAAGTGCCAAAAAAAACATCACGATAGCCCGACAACCAACCATTCCACGCCACTAACATCCCTCCTTCCTCTCCCCGCATAATGTACGTCCTATATATATTAACTTCCCATAACTCACCTAGGCATCGAGGGTAAGTTACGCGCTGGCCGAAGAAGGGCACCATCTAGACCCGCAGTCCGTGATATAGCGCGACGCGGGCCGCAGCTAGTGCAGTGACAACGGGGACTTGCGCCAACATAGCGCTTACACGCCTGCACTAGGTATCCTAGTGGGTTTCATGCCCTGGCAAGATTACAGCCATGATCATAATCCTCTCGGTATCATTCGTTCGCGTTCTATTAATTGCCATGGGGGAGGCGTCTCGCATGTGGGCTCTGAATTGAGTGGTGATCGGCAAAATATGCCAGTCGATGGTCGAGGGTTTTTTCTTCTTAAGAGCGCAGTTGGACGCTTGTTGGAGGCTGTTTTGTTAGTTCTGTTCTATGGCCTATGTTTTAATATGAAATGATGTGCTGGTGATTTATGATGCTTTCTATACTGTTTTTTATATCTTTATTTTCTTTTGCCAAGGCTGATGATAACTGGGATGATTTTACGAATAATCTTGCTACCGACTTGGTACGTTTATATTTATATCGTCTGGATGATGTTCTGAGTGGATGTGCTGATGTTTGGATCAAAGGCTCCTTTAATCACCTTGTTCGGCGAACGACTTACGAAACAATTCCTCTCCGAGTCCATCAGCATTCTCGACAATGTTATATTCGCCCTTTCACCTCTTGGAGTCTTGACTGCTGTCGTGTCGGTAATTCGAATCTGTGGAAGTTCTTCTCTCAGGGCATTTGTCGGACGAGCACAAGAAGGTCCTGCCGAAGCAGAAAGCGAACTCCTTCCTTGCGTGTCACAATCTACCTCTGAGCTCTTCAACGATGGTGGAATCACACGAGTCTTTGGTAGACCCAAGATCCTGGAGATATTTGCTTGGGAGGATGTGGACTATAATAAAGAAAAGGTGACGCGGGTTAGCACTTTGAAGCATGCTCTTCTAGAAAATGCTTGGTCTTGCAATCGCGAGATTTCACCTTTTCAACTCTCTGAGCTGAACATTCCTAATCTGTCATTGAACACGGGAATCAAGAGGAGAGGACAATTTTGGTTTCATTGTGCTGCAATACTTGGGGGTCTACTCCAAACTGGTCAGTATCTTGTCCTTCTTTAAGCCCGATATGATACTGACAACTCTTACCAAGGCACTGTTGTATACGCTGCACTCACGGTGTTTATGTATCCCCAAAGTTTTCAGAAAGACGACAAAGCTGTCGCCTCATATGCATTCCCGCTTTACCTCATTGGGACAACTCTTCTATTTATTGGAATGTTCTTCTGTGCATTCATCCTGGAGCGTTCCTCAAAGGAGTACTACTTCAAAGCAGAAAAGCCAAGCAAGATATACTGGCTGCAGCCCGGTAACCAGCATGTGGGTGACCAAGTTTTCAATGCTTTCTTGGCTGTCAAGGAAGGCCCCGGATCTTCAATGAGCAAGGATCTCCGTTATATCAAATCGACCAGAGAGCAAGCATTTGACGGGAAGCATTTGGAAATTTACTCTACCCTCGCATCGACAATTTTGGGATTCATCTTCCAGTTTGTTGGACTGAGAGGCCTTCATGCATCTGTCATCCTAGCCCAGCTAGGGTCGACATTTCTAATGGCCATTATACGTACTTGTCTGCGCACAGAAAGAATGGCACCAGACGATAACAAGATGAAAGACGACCGGGATCTCATGGCCCACAAGCAGCAGGAGCTGGATTGCCTCGCCTTTCATCTTGAAAAAGTCGAGTCTTTCGATTTGGTACCACCGCCTGACCTGTCAGCCAATATGCCTGCAGAGAAGTTTATGCCTCATTCAAAAACGTCATTGGGCATGCGGTTGATTCAAAGACGGGCTGAGCTGGCTATTCTTACATCGGACTCGAATCAGAGCTTCAGTAACGTTGCCTGGGACGGAATGCCTATTCGACAAATGGCCCACAACCTCGCAAAACTGATCGAGTCGACGATGGATTTGATTACTAGTTGGGGAGTTGAGTTTGGGGAGACATTTAAGTTTCGACTTGCTTTTGAGTGTAAAGGTGCTTCTCCAGACTCTGAGACTCAATCTTCGCCACAATCCTGTATTGAACTTCTGCGGCATGGCGATAATATGCGATGGAAAGTGAGAGCCAGCGAGATGGAGGCAATTCTAGGCCTGTGGATTTGGTCTCTGTGCAAGTCAGATAATGGGCTGGCAACTGCAAAGCTCTCTCGTCTTGTTGGACTGGATAAAGAAGAGGCGGCCAAGGAGGAGACTTACCTCTATTTTCGCAAATGGATATCTCGACACCCAGTTAAGCGACTGATTCCCGACTTCATTGACGATTCAAAACGACTTTTCGGCTACGAGCCCAAGATTTCTCGCTCCCACAGGAAACTTCTAGCTGTTTGGACCACGAATGGGGTGGAGATGATGGCCGCACAAGATATTTTTATCCAGTTTCTCAAGACCGCCTTCCTCCAATTGGAGGAATTGGGTGGACAAGTGGACGTCACCCCTAGTATATACCGACATGATCCACCCTTAGGCTCCAGTACGCGAGTTGATGAGCTGGCATCTTGTTTTGAGGCCAACTCTCTTGGGTCAAGGCAGGACGCATTGCTATGCATTATTCCTGCTTTGAAAAACAGAGGTATTCTGCCCAGCCTCGCAGCCGACTCCCCCAACATCAGAGCGCGCAAAGAGGAATTAATAAAACAAGGAAAGTGGCAAGATGCATTTCGGTTACTTCATTGGCTCTGTGAACGATCAGAAGGTCACCAGCTTGAGCTATCAGTTTACGAGCTGGGGTTTCTTTGTCGTCGAGCTTTGTTGAGTAACAACCAAAATGCTCGCCAGCAAGGATTCGAGCAAATCTGCGAACTTCTTAGGTCCGATATACGAGATGGGTTTATTCTGGCCTGGGCACCGTCAGATTGGACGAAGTCTCAAGATCGCATCCGGTGGTGGGATGTGTTCTGCACCCAACTTGGGTGGATCGCATGGAACATCTCGGCTAAGGTTCCAGACTCAAAATTTATGCAGCCTATTCTGGCGTCACTTGGCGTTCCAGAAACGTTGAGTGGTTGGAATGATCCAGATAATGACGCAGAGGAGATTCGAAGAAGCGTGAAGGCTATTGAAGGCTGGCTCACATCGCCTACTCTCGACTTCGCACTCAATTGGACCAGGGACGACGATGAGATTGCTTTCGACTGGATTATCCGCAACAACTATCATGCCCTGCTTTACTTCCTGCTGTTAATATGGATCGAGCTCGGCGAACGTTGTCCAACCCTCATCATGCGTGCATATTCCTTTGCAAGTAAGAGTCGCTCTGTTCTGGCATTCCAAACGCTTCTGAGCTACAAAGCAGATATTGACGCAGCGGACCTCGATATTTGTACGGCGTTGATTGACCGCATCTTGAAAAGGGACTTGGATGGAGCTAGAATCTTGCTGCAATACGGTGCCGAGCCCAATGGCGGCGATCAGCCTCATATGCCCCGACCACTGCTTCTATCCTTGGGAAAGGGCGAATACGAGATTGCGGAATTACTTCTGCTGAACGGGGCCTCTGTAGAGGTTGTTGACAGAAAGGGATTTTCCGTGATGTGGTGGGCCTGCAACTCCGGTAAATTGGAGATGGTTGATCTGGTTTTGCGCCACAAGGCAGAGATTGACCCAATTGGACCGGACGGCAAGACGCCATTCTTTTATTACAGAAGGAAAGGGAAAGTTGATATAGTTACGTTCCTGATGAGTAAAGGAGCGAGCACCAACTTTCGTGGCATGAATGATCGGGCTGCACTCATGCCAGCTAAAGATAATTCTTTGCGAACCACTCCGTAATTGTTGGAAGGAGGAGCTGTTCTTGACGTTGACGACGAGGGGCGAACAACAGTTGAATTTAGCCACAGAAGACGTCCACCTCCAAGCTACTAGATCAAAGAGGGCTGGGTAAGAGACCACTTCGCATAGCGATTATCTGTTATTTAATGTTTTTAATACTTGTTCACCTTGAAAATGGCTACAATGATGACAACGTAGTTCCAAGAGTATTTCGGCTCCATACCAAGAGGTTGCTTTCTTTTTATTCCTATGGACTTGGAAAGTTCGGCCTTTCTTCTTGGCCTCATTGCACATAGTACTAGAACAACCAATCAAAATCATGGATCGAGCCGAGTGGGCTGTGAAGTTGACCTATCAAGTTGTGCATCGGAATGTTCCAAGCGCTCGGCGGGGATGAGCATGCAGTAGTCAAGTGTGATTGATTGTCTGTGGACTGCAAGTCTCGTCACACTAATATCTCGCTATGGAGTATCTCGGTCTAATAATAGTCGTGAGCCCCCGTCATGAGGGGAAGCTCCCCTTAAAAAGAGATAACCCCGCGGAAGCCCGCTTTGAATCTGAATATTTTACTTCTTACAAGGCTATTTGTAAAGCCCATCTGGTTAGCCATTGATCTATTGGCTCGAAATAGTACGGGAAAAACTATAGGTCTTGGGTTTCAAGAGTTTCTACCCCACAGTGAGTCTGATCTATTCTCCAGTGCCTTCAATCTGCCCGTGAACACTCAGATTCTGACTCCAAAAGTACCTTTATAGGAAAAGAAACACATTAGTGTTCAGATACTAAAATTGTACACCAAAATCATCCAATTGAGCAAAATGTCTCAACCAAACTATCCTCCTCCACCCAGTACAGGTCAGTGCCTTGGCAATACTGAGAAATCCGTATACTGACCAACTGTCTAGCTCCGGCCCATATAACCTGTAATTAATTCCAATCATGTCTTTACTGTCCCAGTGCTGAGTATTTTAGCATTTGCACAATCCCAGAACCAAGCAGCTGCGGCTCCCTCCTATCATTATCCACCTCCGCCAGGGCAACCGCCTCAAACTGGAGCATATATATCAGCCACTCCACCGACAGAGAGCCCGCAGCCCCATCGACACACTTCTTCGGTCGGGGGATACGCAGGCCCTTCGGGTGGAGGATACCCAGCGCCTTCGAGTGGAGGATATGCAGCGCCTTCGAGTGGAGGATATGCAACCCCTCCGATTGGGGTATATGCAGCTCCCCCGAAATCAGTGAGCCCGCCTCAGGATCCAATTACTCAACACAATGAATCTGCTTTCAAACAAAACAGTGTTATTGGAATGCAAAAAATGCCCGGAGGAGCCCCAGACTATGGAGAATTCAGTGGAGCATCGGGAACCAGCCGGGATGATACTGGGATCTTCAATGGTGGCAGTTACAGGATCAGCCACCGAGATACAAACTCTGTGTTGACAGTACAATTGGCAGTGGGCTGTCCTTTGACTATCAGACCTGGTAAGTTGATCACTCCGCAAGTCCTTGTACGCGGATATGCTTTTGATGTATAGCCGTGGAGCTAACCTTGCTTGATTCTTAGGTGCAATGATTGGAATGTCTCCAACGATTACATTGAGAGGAAGCGTCTCATTCTCCCTCAAGAAATTTGTCATTGGGGGCAGCATGACGATGTCTCACTACACTGGTCCCGGTGAGCTCCTACTGGCACCTTCAATGTTGGGAGATATCATGGCCGTCAATATGGAGGAACCAGACAAATGGAAAATTGGACGTGACGCCTTCTTAGGACATACCGCTGGTATCGAGCATAAGTATCAGGCCCAAAGTTTATCAAAGGGTGTCTTCTCTGGCGAGGGATTTTTCATCTACCACATAACAGGAGCTGGAATTCTTTGGATCCAGAGTTTTGGTGCAATTATTCAGAAAGATGTAAGTCTACATGTTCCGCTATTTTGAAAAAGAGAGTTTCACCTAACACACATGCTTTGCAAAGCTTGGAGACAAGGAGTCATACTTCGTCGACAATGGACACCTTGTGGCGTGGAACTGCAGCTACAAGATGGAGCGTGTGGCATCTGGTGGTATCATCTCCGGAATTAGCTCTGGGGAGGGTCTTGCATGCAGGTTTACGGGCCCTGGAACTGTCTTTTTACAGACCAGAAACCTGAATGCCTTCGCTGCTCAAATGAAGATGAGTACTGCAAGTGCTTGATTCTGGTGCGCTCATTCCGTTTTGCGAAATTTCTACGTTCACTTCTACGTTATGGGAAATGAAGTTGTCCCCCAACTTGTCATGTGTTTTTGTATACTTATTCGATGCATCGGGCACATGCCCAATCGCGAGCAGGTCTCCATTTTATACCAATTTGCTATGTTACAGGCGGATCTCTGCTCATATCAGTGCATTTTATGTGGAATTATTGTGTATTTTTGCAGCGTTCCCGTCGAAATTTCAAATCAGTTTGACATACTGCATACTTACGAGTCTGCGCTGTTGTCACTTTATGGGAAGTTCTATTCAAGAAGCATCCGATATCACTTCTTGGAAATTCTGGGTAGGAAGGATTAAAGAGGTCCATGGATACGATGCCTGGTAATTTTCAAGTCCTCGAAACAGCTATGGAGGTACGCTCGACGGGATACTATGTATCTTTTACCTCTATTCAACTGGGGTTGGGGCCAGGGCTCACCCATCTGAGCCGAATACTTTTTACAAGGAGTTAAATACTGGCTAGTCCATTACCTATGAACCGAGCAGCAGATCAGACCCGTAAGTGTCAGTTCCCTGGAAGAGTTTGTCTAAAGACAACATAATTGTGAAGAGTGGCAGGTGATTCTACCACAATCCTAAACGTTCCCCTATATGCAAGATCATACAGCCTCAAAGGCAAGATATAGATAGTGATATCAGTCCTTTTCATGCGAAACTACTTTTTATTCTTCAAATCGTTTCCTCATCTCAAGCACCTCAGGGTAGAAAGCAAAGACAAAGTGCCTTGTTTCCACCCCGCAAAAGCCCTAGTAAGTGACACGCCATAAGGAAGAGATAAAAACAAGCCCTTCCTTCGCAAATTGCCAGCACAGCTCCATCCGCTTAGCCCACACGCTTTCTGCGGCCGATCTGGGAACGGAAACCGGTCTTGATGGCGGCGACGGAACGACGTGATCCACAGGAGTTGCAAGTAACGAAATAGAGACGGTTCTCTCCCTTGTTGAGCTCGGTGTCGGGGCTGCGACAGGTCTTGCATGTGACGTACTCAACAATATAGCGACGCAGAACCGATTCGATACCCTTCTGTTGGAATCTTCCCTTGATGACCAGGCGACGGGAACCGTCGACACTGCCTGATGTACCGAGTTCAGCGAACAGGAATTGGGTGCAGTGTTCCTCGCTAATTGAAAACAAAGTTAAAAAGAAGATCTCAACGAAGAAATGGGGGGCATAACGAACCTTCGCTTCATGCGCTTGCAGATATCGGCGATGTTGGCGAAAATGGTACGACGGTTACCTTCACGCAGGCACTGGGGCGGGGGGATCTTGTAGGACTTGGCGCCGCTGGACAGAAGGTCGGGGTGGTGGCTCTCGATGAGGGAGAAGAAGCGGGAGACGAGGAGCGAGTAGGGGATGGCTTGTGTGGCGTCGTGTGCCCAGATACCGGTGCCGGCCTCGAGGTCGCCCTCAGGCAGGACCTCGGGTTGATCCTCGGCAGCCTCCTCAGCGATACCAGCCTCAGCAAGCTTGGCATCGAAGTCGTTGGGGTCGATCTTCTTAGTCTTCTTGCTGCTCTTCTTCTTCTTCAGCGCGGAGGGATCGAATTCGCCATCGGCGGCGGCGGGGGCTTCCTCGTCATCGCCAGCTTCGGCGGTCTTAGTCTTCTTGGAGGGCTTCTTCTTTTTTGAGAGACCCTTGAACATCTCGGTGACCTCGTCGACATCCTTCTCTGTATATTCAAGAGATCGTTAGTGGGGCTGAGGCAAAGGCGACCGGGGGACTGGCTGGGATCGGAGAGCTACTGCGTACCGCCTGTGGGGTTCTCAGCCGGAGGGGCGTCTGTAACTTGGCCATTGGTATCCATGATGACCGATCCTTCGCTGAATGCGACCGACTTGCGCTGCTTAGTTTCGATGTCCTGAGCGGAGCGGCAAAAAAAGGCGTTAGTTATGAGAAAAAAAGAGAATGAGTAGCAGAAATCGTATAGCCTGGCTTTTCAATAAATAGTTCCAGTCTTAACCCAGGGCTCAACAATATGTGTTCTTGAATCACTGTGGTTGGCGGCCGAGGGGTCGATATTGTGCAGACTCAAAGAAATTGTGGGAGGGTCGGTAAAAAGACAAGGGTGTGACGTACAGCGTCCGCCATGTTTTTAGGCTTCAAAGATGCTATTTACTCAACCACGGTTTGTTGGAGACGAGTTGAGGTTGTTGCGATTTCGAGTAGCTAGAGCAAGAGTGTAAAATGGCAAAATTGTCGCTGGAATCTGATATCGCCAGGCCTGAAGGTGATTCTGTTATCGCGGTACGGGCACGTGACCCTCAACTGAGTCACAAGATTACACGTCACGTGAGTGATTAGGTACGGAGCTTGGCTGTCCACGGGTGGTTGATCAACCTTGGAAGGCAAACAGTTGCTTTATCATTTACGTATAACCGCAGTAGGCAGGCCACTGCTTGATCAACATCGCTTTCCCTCACTTACTCACCTTTCTCTCTTTACAACGATCTTCATGATGTCTTTCCCCTCCCCAGAAAGCTCGAATCCATCCTTTTCGATGTCCGCGTACATGGTCCCCTCCAGACAGAACTCATACTCCGAGTCCGACGACGAGCTCGCCTCCCTCCCTTCAGAATCTACAAATGACTCCGACCTCGATACCTTGTCTGAATATTCCTCCGATGCCGAGGCAGAATGGCAAGAAAGCATTGAACAACTGGAGTTGCTTCTGAGTATGGTCCTGGTACCCTTCATTGGGAAATACCTGGGGCGACGATGCGCATATTGGAGTATGTGACACCAACAAGCTTCACAATCTACATGTGAAAGGATAACTTGCTAATTGGTTGACTTTCTAGGTTGGACGCGATTCATGCAGTGGCAGTACCCGGTCGAGGTTGTGATGCAGAACCCGGCCGCATTCAAGGTAGCGGGTGTGATCGAGGCGGCTGCGACTCTATGATAGATTATAGTCCCGCCTTGTAAGCACTTGCTGCATGTCACTTTCCTCAAGCGTGCCATCGTCAACCGTACGACACCCACCTCTCAGCGTTCGAATCCCTATACAAGACCGACCCGACTTATTTTCGTGGACTCCGCAACATATCCACGACCCAAAAGCTACAAGATTGCTTCAAATCAAATTCAACTCCAAATAATTCTTGCGCTGGTTGTATCTGGCGTTGCACGGGGACCCGGAATCGAATCCAGTGTTGTTTCTCCTGGCCTTCGATCTCTCGTGGTTTGCAATTGTTCTTCGTCCAACGGCAGCATATATGGATAGGTCAACTCCATAGCTTGAATAGAGACAAGCATTTGGATTTGAGCCATCTGATGATGTGTTTAATTTCCCTATCCAAGACTGTTATATACCCAATGAATTCATCAACCCTCATCAAGATTGATAAGCCAGCGCACCAGTGTGCTTTCTAGACCATTATTGACTTGCAGATTCCTTGGGGGATGGGATGTTGAGGGACCTGGTTGAGACGAACTGCGTTGAGTCAATCTTGGGCTAAACTAGTCCAGTCATTGTTATAGGCTCTGACCTAATCATACAAGTTCGAAGGGGAGGTTTCCATCATGCACGCTATCTTGTATCTCAAGGTACTCACAGTATCTATTGACAGCTAAAATTGAGCTAGCTAGGTATGTACATGAAGCTGACGATACTTTGTCTTGGTATGATTGATGATTGATGCAAATATGATCAAGTTGCTATTGACATTTTTGACTGTCCAATTTAATAACCATGCTGCCGATGAAGATCAATAGAGTTTGTTTCGTCGCCAGAAATCAGACAATCCTGGAGGCTGACTCTGTCGCGCATCAAATCCAGTTGACCCACGCGGTTGTGATTGGCCGTATCCAGTAGTCAGCCATGGCAAATCATTGTTCTGGTCGACACAAAGATCATCCGAATGACTGGTGGGGAATTTTTGTTGACAAGAAGGCTCAGTTGGCCTTTCATCAAACCCTTCTTGTATGATGTCTTGGGAGACCGCTGCCAAATGCTCTGACTCTCTTGCTTCTACCTGCAGGGTAGGAATATCGGAGTCCCGAATACCAGTCGATTCTGGGGTATTCGGAAGATCAGTGCCATTTAGTTCGGGGGATTCAAGTAACTGCTGTAGATCTGATGCAACTTCTGCCGCAACCCTAGGGTGCACGATGGCGCAGTAAGCAGCATCCAGCGTGCGATAGAATACATCATCATCATCGAATCGATCTAGCTCATAAAACTCGATGTCAGACATATGCGGCTGTTCGACCTCTGGTACGGACGGAGGAAAAAGGACTTCATCCTCTGTCGATTCGTGAGGCAAGGGCTCACACTGATCTTCGTTCAAGATGCCTATGAAACGATTTTGGCTTGATATGCTAGCAGGCTGGGGATTTAGACTGCCCGCTTTATCCGAAGCTTGACATGGTCCGCCTTGTTGTTGCTCGAGAACCGAAGGTTGTTGTGGTAGACCGTTGTTCACAATGCAAGACGTCTCACAAGCGACATTCGAACCCGGGGATTGTTTGGACATTTCATTTTGTAGAGTACCGACATTGACAAGATCCAAATCGTCTGGTGTAATGACCTCGGGAACCTCCTGTGCAGCGGCTTCGGCTTCTACTGCAGCTAGCTGCCCCGTGTTGGCTTCGGGTGAGCCTCGCTCTTTGTTGCCAGCTTTGTTCGACCATGATACCTTTCTCTCCTCTAACAGGGCCCATAATTCAGCGAGACTCCAATACCGTCTGGCCAAGACGGTGTTTGTGACCTCAGAGCGTAGCGCTTGGGGGTATATTCCAACGCGCAGCAGGTTCAGCAGGTGTTGTTCGAGAGCATGGCTTTGTTTCGTGTTGTCCGCCTCAGTTTCGGTCCAAGTGTATGGAACAGACGATGGCCGTTTTAATGTCTTTCTTCTTTTATTGGGGGATTCGGGGAAACCACCCCGAGAATGGCTGGAAGTTGGGGAAATCTCGCTGACGGGGGCCTCTTCACATGTGAACCGCGGTGTGACAGAGGAGTCAAGTTGGCCGTCCACATCACGCAACATGCGATTTAATTGAGAAGTGTCGAATGTGGAGTGATGTGCAGGATCATCGAACTGTTGTTCTTGTGGATGGTACTCTCTCTCATACTGTCCATCCAGAGTGTCTCTGGCGGTCGACGGTGGGTACGGGCTGAAATTATTCCTCCGGGACAGAAATCTCATCTCAGAAAATGCAAGGTCAGATTCCGCGGCATGCTTATAAAACTTGGCGCTTGGTGCGGGTTTTGTAAGAGCGGTTGACGGGGTGTTTCCGTGGTGATTAGTTGTAGAAGAAGACCTTCCCTTGCTGAATATACCCAGGTTCGTATTGCTGCGCAACTATTTGGCGTAAGTAACATGCAGTAAGACTTTGCAGGACCCTACTTACTGTCAATCTGTTTCCTGTGACATTGATGGCATGGAAGTCATCATTCATGGTGTGTCTCCTGCCCCGGGCTGTCTTGGCTCTTCCCTTGCGATGCGTATCCACAGCTGATGATGGACCTTTGTACTCGTAGCAATCCTCGCGAGTCTTGTGTCGGGGCCTCAGTTCGTAACTATGTAGAGACCTCTTATGACATTCGTTTCCTGGTATGGTCTCGTGAGCGGACGAAGCTTTGGTTTTCTCGAGGTGACCTGAATTTCTTTTTCTGCTAGCTGAATGTCCATTCCCACGCACACTGTCAGATATCTCAAGTGGCATGCGGATTCGTGGTATGCTCGTTGTGAGAGTTGTGTCCTTCACTTGTTCCTGGTTCTCAGCTAAAGGTCTGTTAGTGTGGAAGCTCCATAGTTCTTGCAGCAGCAACATACCTCCATCTTGATGGCCGCTTTGTTCGTGGTCCTCCACAGTGGAAAGCCACTGATAAATTGGATTATTGTTCTCCATTAAGCAAGTCCCTATGAGACTGTGCTGTATTCAGAAATGAAGACTTGAAGGGCAACTGGACAGAGTGAAGGTGACCTGAAAGCACACAACTTCACCGCCAAAGAAAGCGCGACCAGCTCAACTTCTCCCGCTCGTCCCATCTTTTCATTCTTACTTCATCTTTTCATAAAATCCTAATGTTTGCTCTTTTAGTGCTCTTTTGACGCCCTCACGGCTTACATGGGAATTAATGGTTGAGTCAAGTATGATATGCTTCTACTCAGAGACTTTACTATCCCCCACACCTGTTCATCCATCAACGTTAATATCGTATAGACGCAATCCTTGCGCCGATCGTCGCCATTGGGATATCTCCCGGCAGGGTACACGGCCCACGGCGCAAGCCGCATGTGGGCCCACGGAGCACTGCCTATCTGCCCAGATACATGCGTAAAACCACTTCTGGAGCTGATGGCCAGAGCCGAGATAGACCCATTGTGGTAATCAAATGCAGATCAGTCTGGCTAAACTATCACCTTTTCAGCACTCAATTCCCGAATGAGGAGAAAAATCCACAATGTATAATCACGCATACAACCAATCACGCATAAACCTGCGAGGTACGGGCAATCTACTAAAATTCCAGTCCATGCACGGAGACCCCACTCAAGATGGCGTTACTTTCAAGAATGGACCTATATTCGGGCCCTCATGGACAAGTACTGACTTACGGCATACTCCGTACTTCGTATAAGGATTCGCAATAGAATCCAGGTGCTATTCCAGATGCTATCCCAGCCCTATGCAATCCAACACAGAATCCCTCACATTTTTAGCCAAGTGAGGGGCAAGCAAAGGTACATCAGCCGTTGTTCTTAGTGCCGCCAATCCAAATGGTGCGTTGAATACCATCTGATTGACTGTTGCAAGCCCAACGAGACCCGCAATTCCATCAGCTCAAGGTTTGAGCCCATGAGACTGAATTTGGCGTATCTCTACACATCTCACCCCACTTCGGAGTCTTCTTGGGGCTGAGCCCGGACCTTTCTCACTCTAGTCAAGCTCCCAGCCGAAACAAAGACACAGTAAGCATTATATTGCGCGTTGTGGACTTTCCCGACCAGTGGAAAATTCCCAATGTGGGAGCCCTAACGCAGTGTGATTGTTACACGGGACTGGCTGACTCGCCTCTTAACCACTAGGATCTCCCTGTTATTTCGCAACCCGGACGGATTCTGATTTTTATCCTTCCCTTCTTTTTGGTCATCTCCTTCCTCTATCTTCTCGTGCTCGAAAAGCGTTCTCTCTCTTCTAGCTTCTGTGGGACATTTAACACGATGTCTAAGCTCTTTGTTCAGTGTGTATTTTCTACCTGAGAACAGATTCGTGCTGGTACAAGCCAGTCTAACCGTTACGATGGAATTTAGCGGCCTTTCTTGGCATACTAGCGATGATACCTTGCGCGAGGGTTTCCAGCAATTTGGAGAAATCCAAGAAGCCGTCAGTCTGCCTTGATTAAAGTACTGGGTTTCTTGAGCTTCTACTGACCCTAGTACAGATTGTCGTGAAGGACCGTGCGACTTTACGTAGCCGCGGCTTCGGCTTTGTCCGCTTTGCTACTGATGCGGAGGCGGATGCTGCTTTGAACGCCATGAACAACCAAGAGTAATCATTCAATCTCACATTCATCTTACTTCAAGAGAAATCTCATCCGTTGTTCAGATTTGACGGACGAGTCATTCGCGTTGACAAGGCGTTTGACCGCCCCCAACGCACCGAAGGTGGCTTCCAGGGCCGTGGTGGATACAATTCCCAGCCTCAATCTACTTATCAGGGTGGTGCGGCAGGTGGCTACGCTGGATACAACAACGGCGGGTACAATAACGGAGCCCCTGGTGGATACAATGGCGGGGGCGGCTACAACCGTGGGTACAACAACAACTTCGCCCCTAGCGGTCCCGCTGGCTACGGCGCAGGTCCCGGTGGTTATGGTTAGTTTTTTTTTATTCGGACGTTTGTTATTTTACTAATTAATTATATAGGTGGTGGCCCAAATACCGGATATGGCGGTGGTGGAGGTGAGCGATCATGATATCTTGATGGCGATATTAACTGACATCCAAAGGCTGGCGCGGAAACAACCACGAGCAGGCTCCTCAAGACGGTCAACATTAGATGAGCGTCCTTTCAGTTCCTCCTTCTGCGCCTTTCTTCTTCAGCAATTCTTTCTCAAAGAAGTGACGATCTATAACGGCTGGAATGTGGTGGAAGATGAGTCGGGAACAGCGCGTGCTACCCTGGTATTGAATTTTGTAACGGGGGATTTGTTATTTTTCTTTGCGCTCGATTTGTTAGGAAAGGAACATGGGTTTCTGCCCCGAACTTGGTTTTATTGGATGCAGATTTTGAGGTTTTATACGGCTGCATTTCGCTCTATCTCACATACAAAGCTTTGAGGCTTTTTTCTCCCTTGGGCAGAATGACCCATGTGGTTTCATATCTGCAATGCCTGTTCGTGTTTCACGGCATATTCTTCCTATTACGAATTATACAAGTCAAGGCGAGTGATTTGATGAATATTTAAGCATAATCTGAATATGTATCCAGCAAGGGTTGCGGGTGATCAACTACGGCCAAGAGGCTTTTTCAGGGGAGAAAATCAGGCATCGCCTGCCACTTCTATCTAAAATTCTATTATTTTTTTTTGGCGACCTTTTATACTTATGCGAGACACAATTCCCGGGCTAAGCAGAAGATTCCCCCACAGCGAGACTCTATAACAAGATCAGATAAAACCAGAGTTACACCAAAGCCCATACATACACTCTATAACGTGGAAACAATGTAGTTTCTATTGCTAAAGCATAAAAAAACTAGTAAGATAGTATATAGGTCATGTAGGCTTCTAAATTATAGTGGTTCGATTCATCACTATAGAGGATATCGATAGATTCCCTCACTATCTTCCGAAGGAAAGAGAACTCAAGTTTTGTTCGATCGCTTCTTTCGCTATCTATATATTCTACTAGCCAAATATGTTACCTACACTATATGCCAACAAAAAGCATCCAAGTCATCAACAGATCCTCAACGCATACACCTCATTCAATAGTCCCACGACCATCCCCACGATCCGACTCTTCAGCTGAGCCCTCCAAAGACCTAGTAACCTTCAATTCTGCCTCCTCCTCCTCAACCTCCGCAAGTCCCTCAGCCTCAATAGCCTTAACCCGTTTCACCAAATCGGTAACATGAACGTCCGCAGTCCCAAGCCCAAGACCCTCAAGAGCCTTCTCCAACAAGAACAAATACTCAGAACCCTTTCCGCTCAATCCATGTCCAGCACTGATAACCTGCGCCACATGCTGCGGCTCGCGGTGAGCTGCGTCACGCAGGAACTGTGGGTTAGTCGGTTGGCCGATGTAGACCATGCAGATGATTGGAGACAACCCGGCTCCGTTGACGTCCACTGTCGGGTGGAAGGGCGTGTAGTGCGCGCTGTACCCGTCGATCTCCCGTTCGTCGAGGTAGTCGTGGACTTGTTCGGCGTGTGAGGCTGGGATGTGGTATGCTGCGCCCCAGACTTTACCTGTGGTGGATAATTCGGATTCTAGGTGGGCGAGCTAGCGGGGTTTGTTAATGTGGTGGCTTGAAATAGGTGCGGGTAGGGAACATACTGGGTCGTCCAAGGTCTCCCAGAAGGCTCGCTCAATTACGGTGACTACTCGGCCTGGTTGCTCGGGGGTGCCGCGGTGATCGGTACTTTTGGGCAAGTTAGTGATTTGTGGTTATTATCAGGTTTGAATGGCAGTGTCTGCACATTAAACACTGTCAACAACATACCTAGCCTGTAATTCATGGATAATAACCACAATGTTAATCTGATGTGTGCATATAAAGTCCTTCCCTAGGTTAGGGGTTCACGTACCTGCCAGAAACGCCGCACATAGCCACTAATATAGCCCGGCACGCGCTGGTCTAGACGATATAGTTAGTCGATTGATGCTCTGATCAGAAGCTAGCATCATTTTAGTGCTATCATTGAGCACTTTCACATCGCAGTCTCGCGTACCATAATGTGGAGGCGGCTTCCAAATCAAACTCCTATAAACATAATCAGCATTTGATATTCGACGACTCAGTAACACCAATTCGAAACAATAAGTTAACTCACCCATAACCAAATACCCAGAGATCACCCTTGGGAAAATGACTCTTCCACGTCCGACCGTCCGGATGGACCTGGTGTCCTTGTGCAATGGCAGCCATATTGAATATGCCAATAACAAATGCGCTCCAATGAGTTTATTGGCTGCACTTTTCAATCCTCCGGGGAAGGGATGGATTAATAATTCGATCCGGCGACAGCTCAAGGCTGATTTTTATGGGAGACCAGCGAGCCAACTTCAAAGAAAAAAATTAGGGACTCAAATCTTCTGCTAAAGAAGGGATGCTGTTATAAATTGGATTTGATCACAATTGTAAGAACATTCTAAATGTTGAAGTTGGCCAAAATTGAGCATACACAAATTGTTTGCATTGTTTGTTCTTGGATGTCCCGCCATCTGCACTGTGGATGAGACGTTCATTACCAACGATTTGAGCGTATGTGGGATAGACAAGTTTTGAGATAGTCCATACTTAGAGCAAATCGATATTTCACATCCATTACCGGCAATACGGGATCCTATTCATGTGAGACGGCTCCTGTCTTACAAAATGTCTTGACCTCCTTTCAACGGAAGGGCCAAGTCTGAGTATAACATGGTAGAAATGAAGAATACAGGTGCATATTCTCGTGGCACGAGTGACAGGGTGTAAGTGCAGCTTACTACAAAGTTGACAGCCCTCGAGAGCTGCTTGTTGCCGCTCAGCTCCCCAACCTTGCTCTCTGATGCATCACAGCATGTGTTCATCTGCCTCCAAACACCCCTGGGAGCCAATGAGTTTGAGTCTGAGACTTCTAGGTCCTCATATTATTGGTCTGGTACGGGCTCTGGAACCTTGGAAGCTTTCGATGGCTACATAATCCAATGGCTTCTGTCGCTGAGACTCCCTGATGTACAAATCCCCTATATCTTCATATTTTAAGGAACAAAAGCCATGTCGATCAAGTTTTCTTCTCTGAGCAAGATGCTTAATCTAGGCCGCAAATCCAAGGATATTTTATCTCAATCGCAACGCATTGAGCACAAGATATCTGGGTGGCAGCCTTCCTACCTTCGGCGACGAGTGTTGATCGTATTCGTCGTCACATTCTGTGGAGTCATAGCTACCCTCGAAGCACTCAACCATGTCTCCCAAGTTCACGATGGAATTGCCTCTTCAATCGAAAGCCGCCACTATCTCTGGACTTACGGACCCACTGCCATCTTCACTGTCATCGCTACCTTGTGGTCGCGTGTTGAATTTCAAGTGAAGCAAAGAGCGCCATGGAAGTCGATGGCCGAAAAGCCCGGAGAAGCCAGGGAATCTATACTCTTGGACTATGTGTCAGAGATCCAGCTGATATCGATCGTCAAAGCCATAAGAAATAAGCACTTGGACGTGGCCGCTGGAGTTACCTGCTCTATGCTTCTGCGTCTCTTGGTAATTTTCTCAACCAGCCTCTTTTCATTGCAAAGGGCCCAAGTGCATCGTTCCTCGGGCTCAATTCAATTCTCGGCCGTTGGACAGGATATTGCCAATGAAAACCGAATTGCTATGACACAGCTATCCTTCCGCCTGATGGAGGTCTGCTTGATACTAGCAGCATTGTTAGCGGTTTCCATGATCTTTCTAGGGCCACGCACGACTATCGCACCTTGGAACCCGACTTCCATTTCATCTGTTACCGCAATTATGGGAAAAAGCGACGAAATTTGTCAATCACTTCGCGGGACCGGTGCGGCTCCACCGGATGCGCTTCATGATAGTCTGAAAGAGCAGCGCTACTATTCACAAATTACACCCAAGGGGTTCTTGATCAAAACAGAAGGAGGTAATCACAGAAGCCTCGGCGAGCAAGAAAACCACTCATCAGCATGGGCACCATTTCCTGGTCTCATTGGTCGCTGTGCCATCTTCACTGCAGTCGCATTGCTTATTGCAGCCTTGGAAATTGCATTGCATGTCTCGCAGAAGAACGAGGGACTGGGAAACGTCTCCTCTAATGAACATTACCATTACCTGTGGACGATAATCCCCTCGCTATTCATGGTTAGCATTGGTCTTTTGTTCGGGAGAATGGACTTCAATTCCCGAAGCCTAGCACCCTACGCGCAGTTGCAACAACCTGCCGGCGCGCTATTCAAAGAATCCGTGACGGTGGACTATCTAGATTCGTTCGCTATCACCAGCATCGTTCGTTCAATCCGTACAAGACACTTTGCTGTTCTGGCTACTTCCCTGGCTGCCTTGGTCACCTCGTTCCTAGTCATCGTTACAAGCGGCTTGTACTCTGCAACCGAGGTCCCCTACCAAATCAGTATAAATTTCACACAGGAGACCACTTTTTACGGAGGCAGTCTAGCAGACTCTGATCAAAGTTCCAGCATGGCTGTTGCCAAACAAATCCTTCACAAAAACTGGAATTTCCCCCGCTGGACCTACGAGGAGCTTACATTCCCCAAAATTTCCATGGACACGCCCTTGTCCAGCAATAAGACAGAGAATTCATTTGTAGACATTCGGATGCCTGCCTTAAGAGCTGCTCTTGCCTGTTATTTCCAAACGGGCAGCCAACTGCAGTGGAATTTCACCAAGGCCAATCATGGCAACGAGTCAACCTACCAACTCAGGGTTCTTGCGCCCAATATGCCCTGTTCTCTGTCAGAAGACCATATGGGATCAACTTCCTTGACCTCTTCAGTGGCTGTTCTCAACTCCCAAGGTCCTTTTGGGCAATCAAGCATGCTCCCATGTGGCAACCGCAACAGTGTCAAACCCGCAACCTTGTATCTCTGGGGAAATATCAGAAGCGAGTCCGTGGGGAATCTAAATGCAATGACGTGTGTTGAAGCCGCCGAGACAGTCGACACTGTGACACGATTCCAGCTGCCTGGCTTTGAGATCACCGATGACCATCCCCCAGTCCCTGACGAGTCATCTGCGAGATCAACCGAAGATGTTGATGTCCCGTGGATCAGTTGGAACAATTTCAATGGAACAGATGCTACAGCCGAGAACTCAAATCTGGATGGGTTCTTCACAGCGCTTGTTATGGGTAAATATGCGATCCCAGCAGAGAATCTCGTGAACTCAGACTCTAGTGACATGGTCATCAAGGCAATCAAGCACCAGGATAGGATCCTCAAAGCACAGATATTCAACGATTACCCTCGCAGTGCGGCAGACAGCGGGCTGGACCATACCTCTCTACCCGGGAACATCACGGTATCGAAACGACTGCGCCTGTTGCAAGACGCAACATCAACACGCGTTCTTGAAGCGCTTCTCGCTTCTATCCTCATCATGGGTATCATCAGTTCCATTCTCATGAACACGGATCGCGTCTTGCCAAAGAACCCGTCGAGCATTGCCGCCGTCGCGAGTCTCCTTGCTGACTCAAATATCCTCGCTCGATACGAGAAGGTCATGGGTGATCCGAATGAACAGTCGCTTGGTCAGGCTTTCTTCTCCCGGTGTCGCTTTTTTCTCGAATTCCGTGGGGACGCGTCTGGTCAGGGGGATCCTTGGCAGTTGTCAGAATATCAGGGTTGTGAGAAGTACTGTGTATACTTCTCAGAATGGGATGGTGAGACGATGTCGGGTAATGGGTCGATGTGGTTGAGGAAGGAATTCCGGGCAAAGGAAACAGGAGTTAAGGAGCAGGCAGTATGAGGCCTTTGGTTCTTCAAGACACTGTAGACAGGCCTTAGTCGCTCATGTATGCATCATGAGAGATGCCATACCCAAACGAGGAAATTATTTTCCTGCTCATCTTGGCATCGATGGATGATCTGCACTATGGTAAGGCGTCGGCGTAAAAGAGGCAGACTATACTCAATAATTATTGATGTACAATTTAATTCAACGAGCCAGTAGAATAGAGCCCGTGGGTATGTACGTAGTTATATACACTTCACAGCTGCTTTTGTTCCTTCCAACCTTGGAAGTGCAACCCTGCAAAAAACCTCCCTTATCTGTATCCTTATCGCTATCCTTATCTGCTTATCGTTTATCAGCACTGGTGTTATCGGCCACTCTTTCTCCCGCAAACAATCATCAGACGCGCCTCGGAAGCTTGGTATTTTGTTTACGTGAATTTTTTTTTTTGAAGATTTTGAATCAAGATTTTCATTATGGCCGGCCTTCTTCGTCTCCTCAAGATGCAGTACACCCCTCCCGTCGATCCCAAAAGCGTGTCCTTCGCTGGGAAGATCGTCATTTTGACAGGTGCTACCTCGGGTCTTGGCTTCGAAGCTGCCATCAAAATGCTCAATCTCGGTGTCGAGTCTCTCATCATCGGATCTCGCAGTTTGGAAAAAGGCAACCAGGCCAAAGCCGACCTCGAAAAGGCCACTAACCGACGAAACGTGGTCAAAGTGTGGCAGCTTGAGATGAACAGCTTCCAGAGCGTCAAAGGATTCGCTGAACGCGTCAATCGCGAGCTTGACCGAGTCGACATCGCTTTACTTAACTCTGGTCTTTGGAATCGAGAATACAATCAATCCCCCGAGGGCTGGGAGGAGAGTCTACAAGTCAACACACTATCAACCTCGATGCTGGCCTTACTTCTACTTCCCAAGCTGAAGAAAAGCTCCTATGCCGAAAATCCCGCCCACCTGACCGTCGTTTCAAGTCAACAATTTGTTCGTGTCAAAGCTGAAAGCGTCCGGACCGATGACTCCCTGCTCTCCCACGTGAACGACCCGGCCAACTTCAAGGGTCCCAAGCAGTACGGCATTTCAAAGCTTCTACTTGAATTCATGATCAAGAATATCGCCAATATGGTACGCAACGACGACGGCACTCAAACCCTCATCGTTAATACCGTCAGCCCCGGGCTGTGCATCTCGTCTTTGGGTCGCCAGTACACTCATTGGTGGGAGAAATGTTTCGTTTGGGTTATGCACAGATTGTTCGCGAGGACTACAGAGCAGGGAAGCCGCTCGCTGGTTAGCGCGACTATCCAGGGGATTGAATCGCAAGGAAAATGCTGGCGCAGTGAGGGATATCTTGAGTAAGACAGTCTTTCGCCATATTTCAGTGTCACCATTGCTCATAATTTTATAGTGAGTCAGCTGCGCTTACCACTGGCCCAGAGAGTGAAGAGCTCCAGGAAAAGGCTTGGGAGGAGATTATTGCCGTGCTGGAGGAGGCAGCGCCGGAAGTGTCCCTCATATCTCGTGGCCTGTACCAGGGCGTTTAGATGTTATGACGCCGGCGAGCCAACAAGACTCGTCAAAAAAGTGGTTTGTGCATGCGTCTAGCGCATCTTTGCAGGAAATCAAGCGTTCTTGCCTCTTTGAGATACCCCTGTTAATATTAGTGTGTCATTACTGAGAGCCTTTTGGCTTTTACTTCTGATTTCTGCAATATACAACATACATTGCACCCACACAGTCGTCAGATGTAGGTAGTGACCTCGGTTTCCTCTAATGCACTCGGCCCATAGTAAGCTATACTATACCGAGCAGCGGCACTTATCATGCTGTAGATGGCTGGTTCGCGGAGAAGCCACCGAATGTGATGAGCGTTTGATCATCAATATTCGTAGCAATTTGCTAATTTGGAGGTGTTGGCCATAGACTACTCGAGCTGGATGACGCGAAACTAAGAGACCTTGAATACCAGAGATTTGTTTAATTGTTTATGTGACAATTAACAAGAGCCGGACTAACACACTCAGAAGGCAATGCTATGAGACACCCAAATAACCCAAATTACCTACCAATTTCCTCACTTTCGATTGAACGAATTGCTTTATCATCAGCACCATTATTCAGCAGGATCTGGGTCACTTCCTCATGATCTTCCCAAAACGCAGCCTCGATCGCGCTGTCATATTTACCCCCTTGGGCATTGATATCGGCGCCATGATCTAGCAGGATCTGCACTATCTTCGCATGACCTCTGCATGCTGCGGCCTGGAGCGCGTTGCCATATTTACCCCCTTGGGCATTGACACCGGCACCATGATCTAGCAGGATCTGTATCAACCCCTCACGATCTGGCACTTGTGTGCCTCCACACGTGTCGGCATTGAATGAAATGACGGCCTGGAGCGCGCTGCCATATCTCCCCCTTGAGCATTGACATCCGCACCATGATCTAGCAGGATTTGTACCCCCTTCGTAGAAGCTCTATATGCTGCGGCCTGGAGCGGGTTGCCAAAATAGCCCCCCGGAGCATTGACATCGGCACCATGGTCTAGCAGGATTTGTATCACACTCTCATAATGTGAGGATGGTGCGCGTTCATATAATTCGTGTTTGAATGAAGCGGCGGCCTGGAGCGCGTTGCCATAATAACCTCCTTGAGCATTGACATCGGCGCCATGGTCTAGCAGGATTTGTATCATCTTCTCACGGTCAGGAAATCGGAAATCAAATAATGCGAAATCAGACGAAGCGGCGGCCTGGAGCGCGTTGCCATAATAACCTCCCTGAGCATTGACATCTGCGCCAAGGTCTAGTAGGATCTGTACCACATCCTCATGACCTTCCATTGATGCGGCCTGGAGCGCGCTGCCCGAAGGCCCTGAAGCATTGACCTCGGCGCCATGGTCTAATAGGATCTGTATCATTTTCTTATGGCCACTATATGATGCAGCTTGGAGTGCGTTGCCATATTCACCCCCTTGAGCATTGACATCGGCACCATGATCTAGTAAGATCTGTACTAGCTTCTCATAGCCCTTATTTGATGCAGCCTGGAGCGCGTTACCAAAAAGACCCCCTTGGGCATTGACATCGGCACCATGATCTAGGAAGATCTGTACTAGCTTCTCATAGCCCTTATTTGATGCAGCTTGGAGTGCGTTGCCATATTCACCCCCTTGAGCATTGATATCGGCACCATGATCTAGTAGGATCTGCGCTATATTCTCATAGCCTTCATATAATGTAGCACCAAGCGCATTGCTAGACCAGCTCCCTTTAGCATTCACATCGGCACCATGGTCTAGCAGAACCTGCACCACATTCTCATGGCCTTTAAATGAAGCGGCCTGGAGCGCGGTGTCATAGGTACCACCTCCTTGGGCATTGATATTGGCACCATGATCTAGTAGGATGTGCACCACCTTCTCATAGCCGTTATATGATGCGGCTACGAGCGCGTTTCCGTGTTGGCCCCCTTGAGCATTGACATCGGCACCATGGTCTAGCAGGATCTGCACCACCTTCTCATGGCCGCTGAGCGATGCTGCCTGGAGCGGGTTGGCATATTCACCCCCTTGAGCATTAAAGGCGGCAGATATTGTGGTATCCTCCGGCCAGCTCGCTATCAAGGCATGCAAGATGTTCTCCAACCCCAAAAGGGCTGTGTAGTATATGGGCGACGGGACAGGATGGTTAAAGTTCGGTACTCTGGAACCCCTCTGGTTCATCTCATCCAGCAGCACCCATGTCTCAAATGACTCTGGCTGGCCCTTGAATAGCTTCAAAATTAAGCTTTCAATTTCGGACTTCCTTTCCCCGGAATTGTTGTAGGAAAGGAACCATTGCATGGCGGCAAGGCAAGCGAAAGGAAACATTTCCAGTTTTTTCTCGTTCAAATTTCCAATCGACAGCGATGGGTCCAGCAGGTAAACGAGGCAAATTTGAGCCATCTCTGTGTACGTTGTTTCTTCTTGTATCCTGAATTTTGCTGCTCCTTTCTGGGAAATTCGATCTGATTCAAGATACTCCTGTACAGAGAAGTGCGCTATTCGAGCAATCGCAGTCGCTCTAGAGTCCCCTTCGACCACTGCAACCTCTATCAGACCAAGACAAATGTCGAGAATATCATCTTCGGTAAATGATCGACCATCACGATCTAGTTGTAACTCGCTAGCACTGACATCAATGGTAAGAGCGTCGATAAGTTGCTCCATGGTGACTGGCTGATCAGACACACAAAGTAAATTTAATATCAACCGTACTTCTTGAACGTATCCCTCGTCGATGCTACACAGCACTCGCTCATATGTCTCATCCAGATCACGAGGCAAAGAACGCAAACATTTATCGAGCTCATTTCGGATCCGGGCCCGTTTTAGCGCAAGGAGTTGACATTCGACATATCTGAATCTGTACGATTATTAGTCAAACTCCTGTGCCATCTTTCTATATTATCACTCACACTCCTTCTGCTTTATTTATCAGTTTCTCTTGAATCTCGTCGTGGCGTGATTTCCATCGTTGAAGTTTGGGGTCATTGCTGAGCTGGTAGGAAATGAAGTTTTGGATGTCCATATCTGTCTCCGGATTTCTCATTGGGATATCCTGGCAAGAGGGCGTTTCCAGAGAATTTCGGATGTCGATTTCGTTGCGGCTAGTCACTAGGAGGTGGAGAGTGGGCAGGTCCCATTGCCGGATCTTCTCTATCGCATCCAAAACGTACTCTCTTTTATCATCTCGGGGGCTTTCATCCAATGCGTCTAATAGAATGTAGGTAGAGCTGAACTTGCAGATTGTCTGTCGAAGGGAGTCGAGTAGGACTTTCACGGGTGGAGCACCCGATTTATACAATCCATGCAGTTTTTGTAGATCCTTTTCGCCTCCTTCAAGTTGAGCCGACAACTGCAATAGCAATGCGCGTAACATGCCGGAACAATCTGTCTTGGTCTCATCATTGAAGGAAAAGTAGAAAAATCCAATTCCTATACTGGACTGTTGACTGTCACGGAATGTATGTCGAACTGCCTCAATTGCCGTCGAGCATATGACCGACTTGCCACATCCAGCGAAGCCATTAATCCAGAGTAATGAATTGGGCTCACTCAGCCAGGTCCGAAATTTCTGGCCGTTGATCAACCATAGTCCTGTGCTTGTATGGCGTTTCTCGCATGCGACATTGTGATCAATGGTCGCATCTGGAGCCTTGAGCCAATCACGAATCATAGCAGATATTTGAATCGTATTTGTCTGTTGGACGATTATTTTGAGTTCGGATATCCCGTCTTCAAGCCCAGTCTGGTTTCTAAGCTGTAGCACATTTAATGCAAGAGACAAGTTTTCCCGTATCTCGGCGATGTCCTCTTCAAGTTTTTGCAGAGTACTTGTCCTAAATGGATAAGTCACCCGGCGTCCGGCAACTTGGATTCGGCCCTTCAGACTGAGACTGCTATCTTTTTGGAACTTTTGGCACTCGTCCCACAGTTCCTCGATAATCTCACGGCATCCCGCTGCCGCCTTGTCGATCTCCTGGAGTAAGGTATCCGTCTGAGATTGACGATTCTGTACCGCACCATCAATGGACTGGAGAATGCCGAGAAGGTTCTCAAGATTCACTATGATCTTGGCCAGAGCATTGTCTTGATCCTTGTATGCGGAGTAAAATTCGACTAGAGATTGGGTAACTTGGATACCGAATGATATCACAGACAGCGGATCAGCCATTGTAAAGAAGAACTTCCGAAATCTAGCAATTGAAGGTTAACAAGTGAATGCGGAAAGATGATGGCATTCGCCCAAGGGGAGTTGGGCACGGGTCTAGCGTAAAACTTCAGCCTCCTCCGTACTCCGTACTAGTATCTCACTTGCATAATGCCTTGGCCCCAAACTTGGAGCCTCTCCAATACAATTCAACCCTATGGAAGTGATAAACCCGTCTGCACTACGTATTGTTAGTGGGAATTTAACGCTATGTACTGTGGATACCTTAGGGGGTAGAATCCACGCACATCTCAAAACCCGTATTCGTATTAATCCCAACAAACAACTAGAGTAATAGGCGCTAATTCACTAGATTATTAATAGCTTGAATATAGAAAAAGTTAGGAGTATAACTAACTAATTATCTTATCACGTAGATATATCTATGGATATATCCATAGATATGTAGTATATAAATTGGACACAACACCCGTTTAAATATTTAGCCCTTAATAGGTTCGTTATAAAGGGGGTTTACCTGTCCGCGGGTAGTGACACGCATCGTCATCCCCGACTTATCACTTGGCGCGCTAAATATCGATGCCCCACGGCTCCGCTTTGAAACTGCCTCTCCTTTTATTCTTCCTTCTCCTTCATATACCTTTGTTGGACTTTACCAGAGTCCTTGTCGCATTCTTTCCCTCGATTGCGTCACCTACAGGACTCCAACCATGGCTTACAACAAGTCCTACAACCCCGATGCGCTCCCAGCGTAAGTGCATACATACTCGATCTAGGAGAGTCTACAGTTACTAACCTGGGAAATACCACAGTCACGCTGAGCCAGAACAGGTATAACGTTTGCCACACGCCTCACCTTCCTTTTGCTAACGGTCAATTAGGTCGCGCAGATGTTAGGCAACATGAATGTATCAGGCCAAAGCCACACCCCAAGCCACACCCCAAGCCTCAACCAAAAGCCGCTCCCCTCTCGCCCACCACCGCAAACAGCTCACAGCAGTGGTATTCCTCCCCGCGTTCCTGTATCTAGCGCTCCCCCGCAACACGCATACGCCGCAGCAGCACCACGCCTCGACGCCCAGCCCCACCACTCCCACTCCTACAGCGGCCGCCCCTCTTCAGCAACCGCGCCTCCCCCGAGCCAAACCAGCCAGTCTCAGTCTCGTCCTCACCCCCTCCACCCCTCCCCGCCACCCCAGAACTATGGTTTCGGGCCTCCGCCAGTGCAGCCCCAGCGCAGCAGACCCCCGTCCTCATCGCGCCCTCCCCAGTCGCCCGCCCCACCGCCATTGACAGCACCCAACAATGACCCGCAACAACTCTTCCCCCTCTTTCGCGCCGCGAACGCCTCTAACTCCGGCACCCTCACTGAAGGGGAGCTCGGAAGCGCGCTCGTGAATGGCGACTATACGTCTTTCCACCCGCGAACAGTCAGACTGATGATTCGGATGTTCGACCGTGACGGCAGCGGAACAATCAACTTCGATGAGTTTGTCTCGTTGTGGCGGTATTTGGCTGCTTGGCGGGAGCTGTTTGATCGTTTCGACGAGGACCGCAGTGGACGTGTCAGTCAGCCGGAGTTTGAGAAGGCGCTTGTTGCATTCGGATACCGTCTTAGTGGGAAGTTTGTTTCTATTATCTTTGGTGTCTTTGAAGGCAAGGCAAAGCAGATGAGTAATGCGCCTAAGGATCCTAGATCTACTGGTATGAGCTTTGATCTTTTCGTTCAGGCTTGTATTAGTCTGAAGCGTATGACGGATGTCTTTAAGCGGTATGATGAGGATCGGGATGGGTATATTACTCTGAGCTTTGAAGAGGCTTTGACTGGTAAGTTTTACTTTTGTTGTGTGGTTGTTGAGGATCAGTGGCTAATTGGGTGCTTTTACAGAGATTCTGCTATTGCAGGAGTAAGCATTCTGCTACATTACCATACGTATTATTCCGCTCCATTTTCTCCCTAGTTGTGACGTTCTCTCTACGCTCTTGCTATCTTCATTATACCCCCAACCCCCCGTTTGCTTTTGTCATAGAATTGCCAGGGAGCAACACTGGTTGTTGCATGTTCATCGAGGAGTTATTTGGTCGGGAATATGCTTGGAATATGAATGCATTCAGATCTTCAAAGTACTGGCCTTCTTCTCTAGATAAGGTATACACCTTCGAAGTAAAGTATTATGGATAGTAAATTTTACAGGGTTAGATGTTATATTATAGCAGGATAAATGGTTGCATTAACTACATAGACTATTTGGCTCAATCGCTATCATCAGTTTCCCATGAATCATCACCACTATCCTCATGTGGGTGAAGGTGTGCAAATTCAGGGTCCATCAAAGCCCGCTGCATAAGCAAATCGAAAAGCTGTGGTGGGATTGGACCCATGCTGGGTTCTGCTCCAGGTGGATACTCTTCGAAACCAGGTTCTTGGAAATCTTCCTCATAACCGAGATCTTCATCATAGTCGTCGAGATCACCATAATCATCAAAATCAGGTAATTCATACGGCAAGATCTGGAAATTCACTTTGGTTCCTTTGAACATATCCCTCAAATCAAGGAAACATTGCTCTGGAGTTTTCCCTTCTGGGACCCGTTGTCCGGGAAGCTTAATGGGCTGTGTAATATCGATTGCAAATACCTTGAAGTTAGTCAACTTCGGATAAAGACCATTTTTACAATCTGTCGCGACGTTCTGAGCCAACTCCCGGATAGATGAGTTGCAGTCGGTGATATGGAGTGTCTCTAACGAGCTGGGGAATTCAGGGTGTGGTGGAAGAGAAGCGTGTGGGATGAGGATTGTCTCGAGCGCGGAGAACTCGCGGAATGAGCCAACCTTGACGTGGCTAGAAACGTTTTCCTCGGCACTATCGGCGTCCCATACTGCCATTGCGAACTCGAGGTGGAAGAGCTCGAGGGTATCCTTGTGTAGGAGGACGGCTTCTTGGGCCTGTTTAGCATTAAACTCGGGCTCGGTTCCCGCGCGCAGGATCCGTCGGTCGTTAGGATCCAAGCTGAAGTTGTTGTAAGTAAAGGTTTTTAGCTTCTTGCATGCTTGCGTGAACTTGTTGATGGCGCCAGCATCGATGTGGCAGTGGTGGAAGGACAGTTCTTGCGTCTCCAATGTGCCAGGTAGCCAGGTAGATGGGAATGATGCGTCGAAGAGATCGCCGTACTCAAAGGCTGAAAATGTGACTTTGGGAAGGGTGAGGAATTTCTCGTAGATAGCAATATCGAAGCCGGAAAGTTCGTCATCGCTTTCAATCCAGATAGACTCAAGGTTCGACAAAAATTGCGGATTGCGACGGAAAAGCTGAATGAATGGCTCGGTCCAGAATTGGCGCACTGGTAGATGTAGTCCACGCAGATTCGGGGTCTTGTTGGCTAGTAATGCTGCGAAAACGCCGAGGTCGGATTTCTCCACGGCTGAAATCCAGGCTTCCTCCTGATCGGCCAATTGAAGGCCCTTGATTATGCCTTTGAAGAACTTGGAGTCCTCTGCTGAAAGAGGTTTGCGACCCCTTTCGTTGAATGGGAGAGGCATAATGGAGATTTGGTGCACATGTCGTTCGAGGTCTGGACGTTGATATATTGTTTTGGTGAACGAGATGGTTGGGTTTGGGTCGTCTCCAGCCAAACCATCATCATAAACCTCACGGAAGAGCAAAGGTTGAGCTACCTCGCGGAACTTCCGCGAGACTAAGCAAGCATTGCGCAGAGTTTCAATCCCATCAGCTTCGTCGTCATATTCGTCATCCACGTCTTTGGCATCCGTGCTTGGATCTCTAATCAGTTCGAGATCATCTGGGCGGATAAAAACAGACAGAATGAGATGTAGGATCTCGATGGGAAGGCCCTGAATGTCTACCATGATTGAAGATGAGCTCGGCACTGAAGATGAGGTGAGTTGAATGCTACACCCAAGTTAAGGTTGAAGGTGGGGAAGCCAGAGAAATTATCTTCACGCGTTCTGGCGCGTGAAGATCCATCACATTATCCCGGAAAGGCAGTTAGGGCTAATAGAATAGGGCTTTAGTCTCTATGTAGTTCACGCTATCCCCTTTCAGGTCTAGCGCTCTATCTGGCGTTTACCCCGCATACGTTCTTATGTAGATAGCCCTCTATAGGTGTATCCATCTAAAATATCTATGCTGAATGCAACATGTACTTCTTATGAGCATAAGGATTTTTGAGCTCCTCGCAATTCTCTATAAGGGCGGGATCGTAGCATATTCGCAACCAAACCGGCTTCCAGATACCACAAAACTCGCAACTCATGTTACGCTCTGTGGCGGGTTTACTGTCCAGAATCCGTGTAGATTTATTTTGGTATATAGTAGGTGGTTTATCTACAAAGTGTGGCTTGTGATACGGGTAGCAAGACTGTTGGTTCATCTTATCCTCCGTAAAATCCAAATAAAAGGCAAGTTCTTATCCCGTCTTTCCTATATGAAAGTCAGAAAAAGCAAGACCCAATAGCAAGGGCGGAGCAACAAGCCAAAGCAAAGAGAGTAAAAGGAAGGCATTCAAATAGGGCTTCTTCCAAGTGTGTTACAGGCATGATTACGGCTTCTATAAACATAAATATTGAAGAATTGTAGAGAAGAAAGAAGCAGAAGATTCAAATCACATGATGTAACTATGTACAATTTAGGAAACCGTGAACCCCAAACAGGAATAGTCATTCAATCATGGAAAGAATGACCTAGGCCTCTGCCCAAAATCGGTCAACACTGCCATCCTCCAATATCAATGCGTCAACACTCCACCTCTCGACACACTCCTCCGCGCGTCGAAGCGCACCCCTACGCTTCGAACGCGCTAAAATGTACTGGGTCATCACTTTCTTGAAGCCTCCTGGGATGAGACCTGGAAATTCGACTGTCAGAATACACCCATGAATGTCCCAAACAATCCAAACCATCATTCGCAGATTTATCAAAGGGGATATCCTTTACGTTTCCCTGAATCCTACTCCCCACAAAATTCCAGCTGCCAGATAGAAGCTCGGAAAGTCTCATACACTCTGAGCTATCCTTCATGGCTTCACCTCTGAGCTTCCCTTTCCAATGCGCGGCGTCCGCTTAATTTGATTGCTATCGTCCGTGTGTTACCCTCTGATATTCATGAACACGACACATCCAATAAACAAAGCACGCTCATCGGAAAACCATCACCGTGAGAATTCCGAGCTCAGTGCGCAGATCTACACGAGGAATTTTGTCATTCTCCTCTGCAACATCGTGGTCACCGAGGTTGCATGCTTCGGTATCCTTCAAAACCATGGTTGCCACTTTCATCCCAACACCTCCTAGTTCCTATGTTGTCGAGGTCAATTCGAATCCCCTCGCCATGACCACGAGTTCACTAGGCTCAGACACTCTCTTTCAATTTCCAATAACTTGCATTGATTCCCTGGACAGCCATCGAATTCGGGTATTCAGAATCCATTTCCCAGCTGTACTTTACGATCTTGCTGGCCTGCAACAAGGCCTCCCTTCTACAATTCCAAGAGCTCTCCGACTTCCTGCCTTAAGTCGAGTTAAACATCTGCAATGACTCTCATATTTGGACAGTAAATCGTGTGGTTAAATGGTGGGCACTGTGACGGGCACATTATTGCGTTGCGTGGAAGAGATGCGAAGTGGTCAATGAATGTTAATTCGGACGGGGACATTTACTGACTAGTGGCGAATTGGTCACCCAGTGGTCCTATGGGAAAATTACCCCCGGCCCCCATTTGCGGCCGTCTTCTCAGATCTGAGATTACTATGTAGTGCCCGACTTGGCACTTCGGTCCTACTTCTGGCTACTCGACGAAAACCACATGCCTAAGGAGTTGACCCATGAGGGACTCCACTTCAGGAAGATTATGATTTTGAGCTTGAGCTTGGACGATCGACGAGAGAGTATAGGCGGTAATCAATGAATTATTGTCCTCAAATTGTCTGTCCGAATTATACAAAAGCTTGAGGACAGTTGGAGTCTTGTGGCTGTCATTCCTATTTCAGTGAAGAGACTACTGTCTCATCAAAGCGGTTCTGTCTGAGGCCTGGGCTACCCATTACACTGAAGTATAAAAGTCAAAAGATGCCTGCTCGGAGAAAGACCTACAATGGAATCAAACTCGAGATGAAGGACACATCATTTGCAAAAATAATTTCCCTGTAGTTGTATGCAACATGTGTAGAGAATCAGAATAGTCTCAGATTTGAATTAGAATAATAAAGTGCAAGCATGTGTTGACACCGCACTTCAAATGTGGCTTGGAGCTCCTCTAGCGTCATATCAATTTCTTGTCCGGCAGTGCACAGTCCGGTTCAGCTGTACGTTTTGGCGGCGAAATATGCCAAGTTGACAAGAAAAGTACCTTTTAGCCCCGTCTGTGTGATAGGTAGAAACATATGGCGGCTACGTTATTCGCTCGGTAAATTCTCTTAAAGCCAGAGACATTGCATTAACTCCGCAAAACTCGGATCTCAAATCTATTCTAACTGTGGAGTCATTTTTGGACAATTATGGGTTAACCTCATTTTTAGCGCATTTGATTTTGCTTTTTCGGTATGGGAGATGTCGGAATATATCTCGAATTGTTCTAAACTGACTATAAAAGCTCTGGACGTCGGTGCTTATCCAATCCCCGACGCCGATCCACTGAGAATCCAGAACAAATTCCTTCGGCCTCGCCTTTCTCCTCTAAACCCCGAAAATACGAAATCCGAGCTGTTGTCCCCTTTAAATAGATGTTGCTTCCCCGTATTCTAGAAAAAATTATTTTCCGATCGTGATCGATCGGAAAACTTTTATTAGCTTCCCTTGTTTGCCTGGAACGGGTCTTTATCTCCGAATATTTTTTTTTTCTAGAGAACTTTTTCTTCCCTTCTATCCTTCCCCCTCCAAACACAGGCATCATGAGTGAGCGCCATCAACCAGATGCTTCGAGCAGTAACACAGATCTCGATCAACCCCACGTGGAGAAGCCTCTTGACACACGTGCCGAACAGGAAACGGTAGCCGACCAACCCAACGCGGAGAATGTGACGGAAAAGACAACGGAGGGTGCGCCCTTGGATCGCGCACCCTCACAGGCAGCAAAGATGGGCAAGAAGAAGATCATAGTCGTGATGACGGCGCTTTGTGTAAGAAAATCTCTGGGATCTATCCTATGAACGGAGAAAATACTCGGGAAGTACAGGCAGCTAATTCGGACATGTAGTTGGCGCTATTCTTGGCGGCTTTGGATATGGTAGGTCTCTTTTATGCCCCTGCTTCGGACATTTTTTAACCTTTCTTGTAGACTATTATTTCCACGGCCCTCCCCACTATCGCCGCGCAGTTCGGTGCCTCCGAGAGCGGTTTCTCATGGATCGCATCGTCATATCTTCTCGCAAATGCCGCCTGTATTCCCCTGTGGGGCAAGATCAGTGATATCTGGGGAAGAAAGTCTATCATTGTCTTGGCAAATGTTGTCTTCCTGGTTGGCAGTTTGATCTGTGCCTTGGCGCATAATATGGCCACCATCATCGCAGGTCGAGCGGTTCAGGGTGTCGGTGGTGGTGGTATCATCATCCTGGCGAATATCAGTGTTTCGGATCTCTTCAGCTTGAGGTATGATAGCTTCCTAGTCTGAGGATGGAATGAAGCTAACTTGTATACAGAGATCGCCCGATGTACTATGGTCTTTTCGGTGCAGTCTGGGCTGTCGCAGGTGCTCTTGGCCCTGTTGTAGGTGGAGCTTTCACTACAAATGTGTCTTGGCGCTGGTGTTTCTGGCTCAACCTTCCTGTCGGAGGTGTCTCGCTAGGTATCCTTATCCTCTTCCTTCGCATTGAGTCGCCCAAGACTCCCTTCTGGGCTGGTGTGCGCTGCATTGATTGGACAGGAACAGTCTTGATCATCGGTGGAACCCTGATGTTCCTCTTCGGGCTGGAGTTCGGAGGTGTTAACTATCCCTGGGCCTCACCTACTGTCATCTGCCTGATCGTCTTCGGCGTAGTCACTTGGGCTCTGGCAATGTTCCTGGAATGGAAGGTTGCCAAGTTCCCGATTATTCCCCCGCGCCTGTTCAACGAGTGGTACAACATTCTCATCCTGCTCGTTTGTTTCTGCCACGGCTCTACCTTCATCGCCGCTACCTACTATCTACCGCTTTACTTCCAAACAGTCATCCAGTCAACTCCCATCATGAGTGGTGTGTATGTCTTGCCTCTGGTTCTGTCCCTTGCAGTCGGCTCCGCAGCCACAGGTGTCGTTATGAAGAAGACTGGCCGCTACCGCGAGCTGATCATCGGTGGTATGTCCTGCATGGCCCTTGGCTTCGGTCTTTTTATCGATCTCAAGCCCTACGCTTCATGGCCGCGTATCATCATCTACCAGTTAATCGCCGGTATCGGTATTGGGCCCAACTTCCAGGCACCTTTAGTCGCTTTCCAAGCCAACATTCGTCCCTCCGACATGGCCACAGCAACAGCCACTTTCGGCTTCATCCGTCAACTCTCCACTTCGATGTCCGTCGTGCTGGGCACCGTCATTTACCAAAACATCATGAGTAAACAATCAGCCCAGATCATCGCCGCGGTAGGCCCCAAGACCGCCGAGATTGTTTCTTCTTCCTTTGGCGGCGCCTCCAAGTCCCTCATCGAGAGCCTTGATCCCTCCCAGCGCGCAGTCATCCTGGGCGCCTACACACATTCCCTGAACCGCATGTGGATCTTCTACACCTGCATGGCTTGTACTGGCTTTATTCTCGCTTTGTTCATCCGTCCTCGTGAGCTGACTCGCCATCACACTGTCCAGAAGACGGGCCTTGCTGAGCAAGAACGTGCCCGTCAGGAGCGTATCGACTCTGAGCGCAAGGATCAGTCGAAGCCTGAAACCGAGGTTTAATCTCTTCCCTCTGGATACCTTATTAATTTCTCCACACTGTGGTTCTTGGCACATATTTTCCTTCAAAGTTAATACATATTATTTAATCGGGCTTTGCCATTGCAGCCTCAGACACTTCTCACTTGGGTTATTTTGGAGTTATATTGTGTTTCTCTTTGTAAATGAGTTATGATGTATGTTGAGCCTTTGTGTACAATAGATAAAGCTAATCGCAGAAAAATGCATAGAATTCTATGCAAAGTTTGATCCTTGTGTGTCTTCTTTGTCCTGCTCCGTTTGCTCCTGGACTTCACCTGTATAAGTACATGTCGACATGTCAAAATTTATGACTCACGGATTATACAATTTTAGCTTACGGGCATCCAGCAGCCCTCCATCTATGACTTGATTTATACCTGGTCAGGCCATGCATAGGGTCGTGGCGTCCAAATCTCTATGCCTTCCCTTTCTAGTCGAGATTCGTTCTAGAACACCCCGACTGCCTTTATATTGGGATGAGCAATATAAGACATATATGTGCCATATCAAGATGGCCTGGCTTGGACTTATGCCGAAGAAATGCTCTATATAAGTTATACACTCAATCAGAAAGTAAGTGAGCTATTTAAAAATCCTTACCTCACAGCAAACTGATTTACACCTCTAGCATTTCGACATCTTATTGAAGTTTGTTTGTGCCTCAGTCCGATATATAACCTTGTTCCTATATAAGCTTGCTCTCACTTCGTCTTCCCCATCTCCCTCTCGAGCATCGGCCTACCTCCATCCAAGATCTTTCTCCCCTTTGCTTCGCCTTTATATCCCCAACCTTACTTGAGCTTCAGGATCCAGTACTGATCATCTCAGGCCATCAGCAAGCACATCTCTCTTGAGTTTTATTTCTTATTTATCCTTCTCTCTTTCTTTACTTCTTTCTCGCACTCACCTCTCTATTTTCTCGGTTTGTTTTCATTCTTCTATCATCTTTTACGCACAGCAGGTGCATCCTATCCCTGCTCCACTTTAACACATTTGCTTCATGGCCCCGTATCATAGCATAACAATGGCATGTCCTGGACGAATCCCCCCTTTAACCTTTTGCTTAAAATGACAATAACTTAGCAACTATAGTTCAAACACATCCCGCCTACTCCTTCATCTACACGCTGTAGATAAGACATGATGGAAGTAATTCCATTCATACAGGCATCAATCCGTCCTCTCATCCATGTCTGAGAGCATCGGCAAACAAGCCCGGACGGAGGTTTTGGAGCAGAGCTCCGTGGTACGGAGCCACGAGTTCACGGTTCCGAGAGACCCAGGAAGTGTCGAAGAAGACCAATTCAGAATACACCCCCAAAATGAGGCGAAATTTCACATCGAATGCGAAGATTTCACTGACAAAACGAGCTGCAAAGTCTACGTCGTTCCAGCAGCATTCTTCAAAAACACAAGCTGGATTTCAACTGTGGAGCCGAAGCCACTCCTACGAGAACACCCGTAACCCTTGGTTGACCTGACCAAGCAACAAGCGAGAATGTCCCTGGGATACTTTGAATTCCTACGTGCGAAGGATGTCATCATCGATCGCGAAGCTCACGGCTGCAAGCTCGAGGACCTGAAAGACTTGCCGACACTTCGATCTCGATGGCAAGGCCAGCGATGGAAAGTCACATTTCACTGTCTTAGTCTCTGCGACTCTAGCTCGCATGCCCGAGGGTGCTGTTGTTCCAGCTCGTATTCCGCAAATTTGGTTTAAGAAGCGAGAACGTGGTCGACCGGCAAGAAGGCCCCTGCCATCACATCGGTGACTATTGATAATGCAGCTTGGGAGACGAAGAAGGTCATGTTTTTGAGCGGCAGATTCATTCGCGTCACTTCGTGGCCGTTCCAATGACACTTCGAGACCCTTATGCAGGATACCAAGAAGGAGTACAAGCAATTATGTGCCTCTCGTCTTCGTCTGATGCCTGTGCCCACTCCGCTTACACCTCTCGGCGGTGGTGCTTCGCACCCTATTCAGGCGGTTCTCGCTCATAAAGCGACTACCTACCTGCGCGGGGACCTAGGACTCCTAGGTCCCTGCTGGTCTTGCCAGCAACCGGTACGAGCTCTTGTCTCTGCTGAGCTGGGCTGGTGAATTCTGGTCCAACTCGGTTGATACTTATGGTGTGTCCGTCACCAGACGTGGCCATCATATCTTTTAGTTCCGTACGTAGTTTTACTAGTAAATAGGATCATTTTCCACCAGAATTTGAACAGGAATTACGTTGGTAGGCGCAATTAAAAAAAAAGCGGTAAAAATAAAGGCATAAATAAAAACAAGAAATCGACAGTTGCAGGGTTCGAACCTGCGCCCTCGAAAGGACTAGATAACATGAAAGAGTTCAAGTCTAGCGCGTTAGACCACTCCGCCAAACTGCCGTCTGGATGCCGAATGTCTCCATGGATAATTTTGTTACTCCACAATCCATTGGCAATCCAATTAAACAAAAAAGAGTATCCCGCAGCATGGATGTCACACCAACTCCGCTGGACACTGCCTGCGTATTTAATTGTTGTAACCCGGATATTACACCTAGGTAATATACAAAGAATGCGAATGACAGATCGGGAACAGATTTCTGCATCCAGTGATGGATCTGACCGAGATCTCTCGTAAAACATTTTACGGTCACGGGACCTTAATCTGGGAAAAAGAGTGGGGCAGGTGAGCCCAGCTTTTCCCAGATGTACCCACCTGCACACATTCAACCCCATCCCTGAATAGTGCCCTTGATTCTGAGCTAATGGGCGAGGCCCAAAGATTTTTTGGAAGGTCAACGGAGGACGCGATTGAAACGCTTGACATTGATCATTTCTTAAAAGTTTTGGGAAACTACAGATCCAGCAATGAAGCGATTTCTCAGATCCATTTCGGATAGCTGCGTTGTGCTGAGGTAGCCGATACTTTGGTTCGCGTAGTCACCTTTGGTTGTTGCTGCGCTTGGCACGAATCAATGATCTGGTAGGCATTTTTCAGAAGATGGGTTCTTGCTCTAAGAGACCTTTTGGCTAAAACAACCGCAACAGTGAGTTGCAATGCATACGTCTGGACATTCGGTTCTAGAAGGGAAGTGGATGTTGCAACTTTTGCAGGTTGGGCCACAATCTGAAAGCACGAGTCGGTGACAATCGAGACAACAGAATATTTGGCTAGCCTGCATCTGAGCCTGGTGATCGTCCTCCTCGTAGCGAGGCGTGGCGTGGCTATCTATGATAATAGCGTCGAGACATAGCTGACACAGAAGTGTGCATATACAAGGACGTAAGAAAAGAGAGTTAGAGCGACATAGGTGGAAGAGAGGCGGAAGGAAGGTCACTCCCAAAGAGAAAAGAAGATAATGGACATTGGTCTGTCTAACTGCTTATACGCTTAGGTGGCGTCTCAGATACTACCCAGATAGTGAGGATGGTTGAGTTGCGTTAAGTGATCCCATCCCCTTGATTACTAGTAGACTGAGCGACTGTTTGCTAGACTTCAGTATATAAATACCCTGCTTTTTCATAGATAGATGGACCAAGACTTCTTCCTTCTCCCTCTCCCGCAGGTAATGGCTCTTACAGGTTGTCAGGTTCTTTTACTACCCCTGATCTATCAATAGTCATCAAAGGTCTACTACCTCCAGTACCCCGAGAGCTTAGGGAAGACCACTTTTATTATTCGCGCTATCTGCGTATTTTTATCAATTACTATAAAGGACACTTCTTCAAAGAGATATACCTTGATAAGGCTTATGACAGAAAGCCGAAAGTGAAATGAAGGTGAGATTAAAGCGAACTGAGAGGAAAGTCAAATTTCTAAGAGATATATGAGTTAGAGGATTATGAAATACTTGCAAGCCGACGATGCATACCTATCGATATCTATCGAGATTATCAAATATCATTAAGGATAGCACGTCAGAGTACTATACCTTCATCAAGAGAGACCCCATTTTCAAATCCACTATCAATGTGAGAGAGAACCTAATCATTTTTACCAGCATGCCAGGTGAGGTGTTGGATTATCCCATCTCCTTGCCTGCTAGTAGACTGGGCGATTGTTTGCTAGATATCGGGGTATAAATACCCTACTTTCTCATAAATTGATGAATCAAGACTTCTTGCTTCTCCGCCCCTCATCTACTAGCCACAACAGAGCGGTTTCCCAAAAGCCCGCAGGGGACGGAGTTCTACGCGGCCTTTGACCAAACCATCGAGTTGGACGCCGTGATGCGGCAGCAGGAGCGGATGATACTTTCCATTTTCAGGCAGCACTCGACTTGAAGAGGCTGAGTTGTTCAGTGACGCGTTACAGATTCACCCGAAGCGCACCTGGCTTTGTGAGTAACTACACCCTTACATCATCCATACATGTAACGGTGCCGAAAACACTTACACTGATGAGGCAAGTGATACCCACCGTATAGTCCAGTTGTCGTTTAATAACCGCGTTTTGCTGCTCGAAAATCTCTCTGGACGGAGCATGGGCTGGTGACGGGTCCTTAGGGGCTTTGAATAATATCGTGGCTCGATATGCCAATGTGTCCCTATGCATTCACGATAAATCCTCCATGCTAGCAAGAAATACGATCTTTGACAGATGGGATCGAGTCAGAAACGAGGCTTGGATGCTCTACCCTTACGCATGAGCACATAATGGCATTACCAAGGGTTGAGCACTCGTTATCTCTGCTAGGCGTGTATTTGATCTGCTTCAAACGGACAGATGACCAGGTGCAGTTCCCCGAGAAAGATTTGATCTCCCCACGACTGATCAAAAGTACGGAGTACCCAGTGGGCTGTATGCAGGCTCAAGTATTCAGAGTATCTCTGGGTGCTGTGTGGATCATGGTGTGATCTCAGAAGAACAAACAGCAAGAACCTAATCAACGGTCGGTACTTGCCCAGGGACAGGAAAGTGATGTACCTTTATTGCTATGCCGGGAGACATCAATCTCACGCACGTCTCTGCGGTAGGATGTCACCGTGTCAGAATGAAAGAGAGCCCACAGAGAACTCATCCAACTATCCTCATTTCTGGCGATCATATCAGGTACCCCGAGCAGTCGATCGAGCTCGCGATATCATCAATGCAGTTCTCGAAAAGCAGAATATGGCGGAGCTCCGGGATGGGCTTAAAGCAGGTTGGCCCCATAGGGATTCACATGCATCGGATGCCAAATCAGAAGATGAGCCGAACCATGAGGTTGAGAAAGACAACGGCATCTTTGACTCTTTGACACTATTACGGTCGACAAGTCCCAGGCTATTTCTGTCGATCGGGCCGTGATAAATATCTCCCAGAATCCACAAGCTTCGGGGCTTCATTAGCTGGCTGTCTCCCGTATCCGAAAATTGTGGTTCCACAGCTTTCCAACACACACAGTATTGTCTCATTCTCATGTTCTGTACTAGCTAGTAGTACATTCAAACACTATAGCTCAGGGTAGTCGCCTATTTCAAGTTGTTTGTTAGCTTTTTTTCCTCGACATAGTTTTTGCCGAACCTTGCAGGCTTATTTCAGACTTATTTTAGCCTTATTGATGTGTTTCGGTAGTATAAGTACACACATGCATGTAGTGGCCAGCTTAGGTTATCGCCCCCAACCGACTAGCTCCCACGGTGCGTAGACCTTGAGAACCTTTGAAGGTTGGAATCTGTCAGTTGTTCAGCACTTGGGTGAATCCAATCCTGGCAGAGTTATCAACTTGTCAACGCGAAGTAAAAGATAAGGTCGCAGGAACAAAGATCCTGAAATGGCTGGTCTGTGTATTGTCTTGGCCATACCAGGTGGATACGTCAAGGTGGGGTTGGGCATACTGTGGTCAATTCGTCCAGGTTTTCGATCCACAATGCAAAGGAATGACTGGATAGTAGAAACCTGACACGATCTAAAAAAGGGATATGAGACATGCTGGGGAAAGATCCGGGGAGATACCCACATTTAGATCTCAGGTTACATGATATCTATGAGGCTCACTAAGAGGCTGATTTCATCGGAGATCTTCCAAGGTTAGACCGGGTAAAAGGCCTATCCACCTCCGGTTTCTCCCTCAATTTCCCCTTAAATACAGTCTACGTCACATATCTATCATCTGGTCTATATACTATATATTATTTCGGAAAGACTTGGGATCTATTCAACTGTCTAGACCTCGATTACTCCACTGTCCAATTCACTTTCCCCTATTATTGGCCACGGTACCATCTCGTACATCCGTAGAACATCGTGGCTTGTAATAAGGTGAAGCAAAGTCACATTCCCATACACTCACTAGTTGGGCTCTTAACGTAACATCGCCGTTGGAATTTCGAATTTATAAATGTCATATCCCCATCCGACTGATCTAACCAGCAGTGTCCTGCACGCTACTTTGGTTCTATAGTATCAATTTTTACGAATTTCCCACTGTTCTCATATAACCATGTGGTCTCCATACGACCTCTCTTCAAACGCTTCCAGTGTGCCTGGCTACGATCGGAGTGCCGGAGATCTGCACTACCCCTATGGGTCTGCTGCTCATCAATACCCTCCCTCGCTGGCGACGGAGCCATCGATGTTCTCCGATAACCAATCTATGTGCAATAATCTAATGCAACACCCCTCCACACCAGCTCATCCCAGCTACTCCATGTCTTTTACCCCAGCACATGCCGACTTCAATCCGCCCAACCACAACACGGTACATTATCCCTCGATCGGGAACAATAGACCTGATCAGCCCTCAACCATGGGCTATCTCAGCTCTGGATATAGTACTGCGCGTACTACACCATCGGCATCGGGAGTATCCACCCCCTCTATGCAAGAGATTCCCAAACCAGGTGTGAGTAGACGCGAAGTCCAGACTCTCTTTGGTGGTAAACGACCACTCAAACGGAAACACTTGCAAGCCTTCCCTCTACTGTCAAGCTAGCATATCATCGCCAGGCTAACATCATACTTGTCTAGGGATCTTCACGGCACCTACCAATGCAACTGGAAAGACTGCAAGTATCGCGGGGTGTTCTCTCGTAAGGGAGTTCTCATGCGTCATATAGAAACGCAGCATGTCGCACCGCGCTCATTCGATTGCCCAGTCTGTGGCCATCTATTCTGTCGGCGGGACAACATGACCGAGCACATAGGAAGAGTTCATTTGAAACGATCCTGATGGAGATCTTCAATTTGTGGCACTGGAGTAAGTCACTGGGAGAATTTGGGTTTTGGTATTTGGATTATGGTGGATCGGTTTGATGTGGATATTCGATGATACCCGGAGCGTTGGTATTTGAATTTTTTTTTTGTTTTTGCATGATCTTTTGATTGGGAGCAAGCGATAGTGGAATAGGCGGGAAGTAGAATAACAATTATTATTATTATAGTAATGATAGGACATACCAGCTGAACTGCGCCCCATTGTGTGCATATGGATACGAGCCCAACATACGTATGTAGCTCCCGTCACATGAAATCACAGGCGTTTATGCCCCAGTATTTGAGCCTCTTTTTTATGATTTCCGGGGTAAATGCGGGACCGTCCGATCTGGATTGAAAACTCCCCGGAACCCTAACTTTACGGTGAAACGTCTCTAGCATCAACATCGGATATTGAATGTCTCGTCATGCTGTGGCTATAACTAACTAGAGTCCATAGGATAGATATGTGGTAATATTATTCTAATATTATAATATTTCAACCGACCTGAGGCGCTAGACCTCTTTGATGCAATGTAACCTTGATCCCTGTCACACATCCATGTTCAATCTATATGAATTGTTCACACAGTGAGGCTTTTTAGACAAATCTTCTATTTGCATCATCAGAGTCTAACTGCATGACAAAAAAATCGTAAAGAGAGATGCCAAAAAGTGTCAAAAAAACGAAACTAGGAATGAGCATGTGCCGATCGCTCGTAATCCAATCCGCCTTGGGACTTTGTGGGGATAATGATCTGCGTTTTTTCAGGCAAAATGAATCTGCCAAGCAGGTCAAGTTCGTTGTATTGGACAGGAGCCGGTTCCCACAATGTACGCCCGGGCTTGTGGAGATGCGTCGACGCTTCAGCTGCTTGTTTATTTTACAACCCGGAGTAAAATACGCTGTATATCCCATATGAACTAGTAATAACCTAACGAAGTTCAAGGATCATTATACGTGTCGATCACGCTCCGCCCCTCGTCTTCAATTCCTTTCTGTGTCAATACTGTGTCAATTTGGTTGGCTTGCAGTCTGCAGGATTATCACACTTCAAATGATCCTTCTACCCTTTTGTTTTCCAATTCTCCGGGCCAGAAGACTGAGAAAGTAAGGTCACAAATAAAGAGTTTCCTGTACAGGACTGAGATACCAGGGTGTTATACTCAGCCCACTAAAAGAAAGCCACGACCAATGATACTCGTTGTATTTGGAATCGTGCTTGTCTAGCTTGTCTCCATTTAGAAATGTTGAGCCTGAAATCGATGCAGATACCTAATCCCTGTTTCTAGAACGTAAGATAGGCTTTCTGGAACAAGATGAGTCTTCTGGAACAATTCCGGGGGTCAATCCAGTTGCGTCCGTCTGGTCAAGTTTGATTTCACTCTTTTTCCTTTTTCTGTTTTTTTTGCCCATCTACTCTATCAGTGGTGTGTATTCTTCCAGAGTGCGGCTTTTAGTGAAGTTAGCCTGCCGTGTGCCCAGGACCACATTCTCGTAAATTGTATAAATATTTAACTAACCCTTCATCGGCTCGAAGAAGTATTTTTCTATCTAACCGCCCACTTATCATTCCTATGATAACATTGTTTCCGCCTTCTCAGCGCTTACTATCTACATTCAAGTCGGCGATTATACATATGATGGCGTGGTCAACACGTAACAACTCAACTATCCCGGAGGCCGCATTGCCGTGGTCCAATGTCGAGTTGGAGAATTGGAGTACCGAGTATCTCCATCTCAAACAGCCCGAAGCTCTTTTCATTCCTCCTTCGTCTGGTTTATCTATCACCACGAGGATGCCCACTGCTCGACCTCTTCCACACAACTATCAGCTGCAGCTTCCCTCCACACAGTTCCCATCCACACCGGTTGCCTTTGGGACTATGCTCTCTCCTACTCCTTCGTCATCATACCTAGACACAGGCACCATCAAGCAGCCCATCAATAACTACAGTCCAAGATCTATTCCAGCCCCAGCAATCGGCATTGTACCAGCACTCTCCCCAGCAAGCAACTATGACGCTGGGTGTCCCAGTCCTTGGGATGATCTTCCCGTCTCAACTCCCATAATACAGGAGACACTTGAGTCGGATGAGGCGAGCAAGGAGCTTAGCCGTACCAAAAGGACTTATCGTTCCCGCCGCCGTGGATCCAAAATCAAGTGTGTATTTTCTTCTTTTCCGAAGACTATGGTAATCATCATACGCATATACTGAACGCATTTCATCTAGGGACAGGGACAGCGAAAGTTACGGAACCTTCAAATGCGAATGGAAGGATTGTCAATATGACCGTCTGTTCTCGCGCAAAGGAGTGCTTATGCGGCACATCGAGACTCAACATGTCAATCCACGGGCTTTCAAGTGTCCCAATCCCAGGTGTAATCATGCTTCGAGTCGACGGGAGAATTTGAAAGCGCATAGACAATCGGTTCACAAGGAAATCTTGTAAGATTCATGATGGGATATGATGGAATGTCTTGGTGTTGGGGGTTTGGAATACCTGGTTTTCTTTTTTTACTTTTATATGCTTGGGGATATATATACTTCGGCTAGAGTGGAGTTCGGATCGGATTTTATGTTAGAATATATATTGTATGTTTTTTTCTTCTGTGGACTTAGTGGGAAAATCGAAGATAGAAAATAGCATGTAGGCGTTGCAATTGAAATTGGAATAGGAGATAACATAGAACACCGATATAATACCTGATAGACGAAAAAAGAGTGTACTCTATTTCCAAGTCCAGGTCGTTGACACGGGGAGGATCCACACCACAACCTGGGGAATCAGGCCGAATACGGCCGCACAGGGCCTATGGGTGCTAGAGCTATAGCTAATTTTAAAATATTACGGTCTGTTTATCCTGTTGCCATGGGAGTATAATTATGTTCGCAAAACAAGATGCCATGGTAGATTGGAGCCAGAGCAAAGAAGGAAATACAATTTCTTCTAAAACAATAGACGGACGGACGCAAAGAACGCACGAAGAAGCGGATCGATTGACCGGTCTGTTGAAATTTGAAATGGTATGGAATTTGGTGCGTTTAAGCGTCAGATACACAATGGGAGAAGTGACGCTGCGCGACCAGACACATCATGCTCGCCAATTGTAAGAACAAGGAGAAATATCGAGACGAAGCTCGTTCCCAGTATCTCGGGGTCGACACAGCTATGAAAGTGTAAATTTTTTTGATTCGTAGGGCTTTGTTGGCCCTGCCTTCTCCCACGAACAAAACGTTATCAACCCGCCAACTCCATCACCTCAAATCAACATCGGCTCGTTCCGTCGACTTTTCCTTGCCTGACCGACCGTCTATGCGAAGAAGGGAATCGCCCACTGAAAACAACACATAGAAGCCGTTTAGATGTTGGAGGGGTAGAGCATAACGCGGACGGTAGCGCCGAGGGACTTGGGGGGAGGTTGTTGCGGAACTTGGCGCGCACAACACCGGAGTTTCCTGGAACGAGTCAGATTAAACGAAATTCGAGTGAGGTTTCCCAGACCCAAGAGGTTCATTTCCAGTCGGAAATGGTTCTTGAGACTGGTTTCCAATTCACGTACCGTGCGGCCGGGTGACCTTGCCCCAGATCACCCGAATGTTGGAGCCGCGGACCTCACGCTTAGCACGGTAAACGAAAGCGACCTTCTTGCCAAGGTAGAACTTGGCGGACTTGGTGTCATCAACACCCTCGATCTTGACCAAGCTGTATAACCATATATCAGATTCCATTCATCGTATTCAATTTTTGTGCGCAGGGTGTAGATACCTGGTGTTGGGGGTGAGGGCGTGCTTGCTGCGCTGGAAGCTCAGGTGACGTCCCCTGTGAGAAAGAAATTCGTATTAATCCTCTGTTCATATCGTTGTGTGTTGCTTCGATTTGAGTGGCGATGTCTTGTGTCCCCCAAATCGGTCCTCCATGTCGAACTGGTGTATCCTTTTGAATGCGATGATGAAAAGTGCGGTGGTAACTTACTTGACGTAGACTAGAAGAGAATAAATAGTTAGCACATATTTTTTTTTTTTAATCCAGCGTGGTCGCACACAAGGCGTCTGCTTGAGATGCGACTTTGCGAATTCGAGACCACCAAAACGACGATCGATAAGAACTTCGAGGGTATCACTCACGGCGGTGTCCTTGTTCCGAAGGCATTGTGTCGGCGTTTCTCTGGGGAGCGGGCAAGGAAAGAAAGTCGAAGGAATGACCCGCAAGATCAAAAGTCGTTCCCGTTTGTCGTGGTTGTCGTCGCTTCGATAGAGTCAGGCGCACAATCAATTTCCAGCCGGTGTGTTGGCTTTCGCCCTAGCCCAAACGGGATCTTAGCGAGCCACATTTTCACGTGACAAATCAGGGCTAAGCGAGATCCCGTGATGGCACACCGCTCTCTGTTTTACATATCAAGATAGGCAGAATCTGAGATGAGATAAGCTTTGGACTTTTGTTTCTCCGATCCCAGATTTACCCACCTTTTTATTTTCTGCCACTCGGGCTACAGTAGTCCGACTCGGCTTTCCAACCCTGCAGCTTCCCAGCTGACAAACCTAAGCCATGACGACAGGGGTTCCAGCTCTGGAAGGTTGGAAGGTTTCAAAAAGCAATTTGCACAAGGCTATTGGTAGATCTACGCATATTAGAGATACCGATTGCTTTTATCACAGTTTGAGAACACAGAGATAAATTATTGATATCTTTAACCTGGAGTGACATGATCCGGGTAGCATTCCGGTGCATATACTTCAGACCGAGACCAGATTGGGAAATCTAGAAGTTCCTGTATGCCCCACCTCGTCGGATCGATGATTACATTTGCGACCGGGTATTGATCAAAACTGGGGGCAGTTTACAAGCCGACTCGTCCGAGAGACCTCAACCAACTAGACTAATATAGAGTATAGTTGGATAGAGTATAGTTATATAAAGTATAGTTAGCTAAAGTATAGTTAGATAGGGTTGTATAGTGTATGTATATAGCCCCCGAGCGGTTAATATGGTCCGGATTCGGGGCTTCAACCGGGTTAATAGCAGCCAGGAAGCCTCGGGAAAATAGAATCCGTCTGGCTCGAGAAAATGACAAATGCGCCGATCCGTCCCCACGATTTGGGTCACCGGTCGAAATTCTTATCGAGTTGCGTGCTCAAGGTACGTGGTATTGTACCTGTTCTTGCAGATTCGGTACTTTAATTTTTAGATATTTTGGGATTTTAGTGCACTGCAACCTTCCCCTCGATGCGGTGGCTTGTTCCAAAGCGGAGCTTTGGATACATGTACTATACTGCATTGTGTACAGGTTGACCGCAAAGCTGTCTATAATATAATCAGTACTCCCGTATACAACATTGAACATACTACTGGTTATGAACACGTATCAATCCACAGTCGAATTCAGCCTGTTTTGGCAGTTGTGATCCGCACCTATAAGTGAACTGCATCTCTATAAGTCAGATGACCTTCCCCCCCCCCCCCCTGCTTTCTTCTGAAAGCTGGTAAGAAGAATAAGCGACTTGCTCACGTCGGACTTGACAAATTGCTCCGATGTATCACCCCAAGCCCGACCCCGAAACCCAGTAAGCAGCGCTGATAGTCCTGACGTTCTAGTAGCCTGCGCGGGGTTGATAATCGAAACGGGTAAGATCCCGTGGGATTTTAGTGAAGTCCAAAGTCCATGGTGATGAAGGTTAAGCAAAAGAACTTGATATAAGAAAGCTGGAATTTGCCAGGGCAGCAGTTTCCATAGAGATAGTCAAAAGAGAAACAAATACTACATCGGTATATGTAATAAAAAAAAAAAGTAATCAAAAAGTGATTAATACCTTGAAGTCATAAAACACATACAATACCCAAAGCCCCACCAGCCGAAGCTGTGACTGACTTCTGTTAAAAAGTACTCCGCCGGATCCTGTTTGTTCTCAACATTCTTCCTTTTCTTCTTTTCCAAACTCTCTCAAACATTTATTTTGATTAAGCGGTTGCAAGATGTCTAGTGTGATCAACCAGACCGACGACCGCCATGGTGCTGGGTGAGTTTCCCCCCCCTGTGTCTCTGACATCACTCCCCCCCTCCGGCAACGGAACACCGATTGCCTCAATTCAACCTCAACTTGCCCCTCAAGATTGCTGTTTTGGACGTTATTTGCCTTCATTCCAATAGCCAATCCTTTCCTTGGACGCTTTTGCAGAATTTCTCTACCTAGAGAGCTTGCTCAACCCCTCAATTGCCGCGAATGCAAATTCTTTTTTCGGTCAATTCAACCCACTAACAATGGATATCGCATTCAGCACCGTCGAACTTAAAGATGATACCATCATCGTGGTACTAGGCGCATCTGGTGATTTGGCGAAGAAGAAGACCGTTCGTACCCCCTTCAGGATGCGATGACTCTTTGACATACTAACCAATTGATAGTTCCCTGCACTCTTTGGCCTTGTACGTGCTATTTCTACTGACTATTCTAGTTTTTACCCACTGACACTTTTGTCATAGTTCCGCAACAAATTCCTCCCCAAGGACATCAAGATCGTCGGATATGCGCGGACAAAAATGGACACCGAAGAATACCTAAAGCGCGTTCGCTCGTACATCAAGATCCCCACAAAGGAGATTGAAGATCAATTAGATCAGTTCTGCAAGATGTGCACCTACGTTTCCGGCCAATACGACCAAGATGATTCGTTCATCGGCCTGAACAAGCACCTCGAGGAGATTGAGGACAATCGCCAATCGAAGGAGCAGAACCGCGTGTTCTACATGGCACTGCCTCCCAGTGTTTTCATTACCGTGTCCGAGCAGTTGAAGCGCAACTGTTACCCCAGGAGCGGTCTCGCTCGCATTATTGTGAGTTTCCCTGGATAAGCTTGCCTGAGACGAACCCCATATTGATGCACCTTTCTTTAATAGGTCGAGAAACCCTTCGGCAAGGACCTACAGAGCTCGCGCGATCTCCAGAAGGCTTTGGAGCCTAACTGGAAGGAGGATGAGATCTTCCGTATTGATCACTACCTTGGTAAGGAGATGGTCAAGAACATCCTAATTCTGCGATTTGGCAACGAGTTCTTCAACGCCACATGGAACCGTCACCACATTGATAACGTTCAGGTATGTGACGAAATGATCTCATTACGGCATATGGGTTCTAATATTGGCTGCAGATTACATTCAAGGAGCCTTTCGGCACTGAGGGTCGTGGAGGTTACTTCGATGAGTTCGGTATTATCCGTGATGTTATGCAGAACCGTACGTATATCCAATCGCACTGACTAGACGTGAAATAAAGATACTAACACCTTTATAGACCTTCTCCAGGTCCTCACATTGCTCGCCATGGAGCGCCCCATTTCCTTCTCTTCCGAGGATATCCGTGACGAGAAGGTCCGTGTTCTCCGCGCTATGGATCCTATTGAGCCCAAGAACGTCATCATCGGCCAATACGGCCGCTCCCTCGACGGCAGTAAGCCCGGTTACCTGGAGGATGATACTGTGCCCAAAGAGTCGCGTTGCCCGACTTTCTGCGCGATGGTTGCATACATTAAGAACGAGCGTTGGGACGGCGTTCCCTTCATTCTCAAGGCTGGTAAGGCCCTGAACGAGCAGAAGACCGAGGTCCGCATCCAGTTCAAGGATGTCACTTCCGGTATCTTCAAGGACATTCCCCGTAACGAGCTTGTCATCCGTGTCCAGCCCAACGAGTCCGTCTACATCAAGATGAACTCCAAGCTGCCCGGTCTGTCCATGCAGACGGTGGTTACCGAGCTGGACTTGACTTACCGCCGCCGCTTCTCCGACCTCAAGATCCCCGAGGCCTACGAGTCCCTGATTTTGGACGCCTTCAAGGGCGACCACTCCAACTTTGTCCGTGACGACGAGTTGGATGCCAGCTGGCGCATGTTCAGCCCTCTCTTGCACTACTTGGATGACAACAAGGAGATCATCCCTATGGAGTACCCCTACGGTGAGTTTACCCGCTTTTTTTCCCCTTTTCTTCAAACCATGATACATAGCTAATTTGCATTGATTCTAGGCTCCCGTGGACCCGCCGTCCTTGATGACTTCACTGCTTCATACGGTTACAAGTTCAGCGACGCCGCTGGCTACCAGTGGCCAGTCACTACCTCGACCCCCAACCGGCTGTAGGTCTTTGGAGTATAGTTTACGATGATTACGGGAAGCGGATTCGGGATACGAAGGAATTAAAATCTCTATTTTCTTGACTCTGGTCGGCCGGCAGGAGTCGCGTCATACTGTGATACTTAGGTTTTCGAGACCAATTCAAAATTAGGATTGGATGCGACGCACGCAATGAAAGATATTTACGCCTTATTTGTGGATATTGACCAACTGTCATCCACCATGTTTATGTTTATGTTTATTTTTTTTGACAATAGTAGAAAGAACCGAGCAATAGCACTCTCTCATGATATCAGAGCCCCTATAGAGCCCCTATACGAACTTTGCCGAGTGCACGTACATCCCGTGTCTACAATTCCCCTGTTCTATAATTGGACGTTCCCGATCTCGGGAGGACCCCTGTATTACGTCATCACACGTGGCCAATCAGGGCAAAAGGACCCACGAGGCTGACATAAGGTTGGCCTCCCTGGCTGCAAACAAACTGCTATAGAAACCTAATGCATTGATGGAGAATGACTCCGTACACAGACAAATAAAAGTATATGCATGGCCGATCCTGGCTGTCATAAGAAAAGCCGGATCGGCAGATGAAAGGGTTCCAGGGTTAGCGGGTCTCGTAAATTAAATCGATAAGCCCGGGGGCCCGCATAGAGACGCTCAGGCCAAGACGGATTTTCTCTCCTTCTTCTTCGACTGCGCCAACGTCTTTCTTTTAGAACCTATAGACGTATTCCGACTGTATAGAAAACACCCACTGTCACCTCCGTCGCAACCCACGTCCCAAATCCCTGCTGTCAACAATCCACGAATCCCCGGACGTACCGTGCGTTTTGGCCCCCGCGAGCTCTCACCCAACGGCCCCGAAAGGCACGCGACACAATTTCCCGGACCGATCAGATCCCTACCGGCCCCTTTCTCAACGTCCGAAACGCATCCCCGATCCTGCGATCACACACTCTTTTGCTCGATTCTGAACGGCGCGTCGCTTTCCGCCAGGCCCTTTAACGTGCGATTCGGTCACTGGCTCGGCCACCCACCAGCCCCCCGGACGATTTTGTTAGGCGCGGACAAAAGCTGAGTGCATGCTAGCACGTGGAAACTAGGATGCCGCAGGCTGCGAGGTGGGCGGGGACGCCCTCCATCAAGGGTCGGAATGAGTCTACCAGGATGGCGCTTTTGACATTTAGTTTGGTCGGATTGCAGTGCGTATCACCCATTTCTGTTTTGGCGCTTGGGTATAAGGGGTTAGATGTTGTGCGATATTGTCTAGATTGCGGTTCTTGGAGGCAATCGGAGGATCCCGGGGATTGTTGTGGCAGTGGCTAACTCGGTGTTTTGGGAATAGGTTCACGTGGGGTACTGAGATGACTTGTAAGAAAAGAATCCACAATTCAAATTGTCTCCATTGGGACTTGGGAATAATTTTCGCTAACTTTATTCGTTTTCCTTAGATTGTACACCTTACCTTCTTCAGCTTGGTTTGACGAAGTCCAAGACTTCGTTGGTGTGGATTGCTGGCCCTTTGTCTGGGTTGATTATCCAACCACTTATTGGAGTTATTGCCGATCGATCACGATCGAAATGGGGTCGGCGTAGACCTTTCATGATATTTGGATCGTTTGTTGTCGCTTTCTGTCTGCTGGTCTTGGGGTGGACGGCAGAGATTGTTGGTTTATTTGTTAAAGATCCGGAAAAGGTACATATCATGTTTATTGAAACACTCGTTTGGCTAGGTCTATGGTTATATGGAAGCTAATATTGATTTTCTACAGGCTAAGAATGGCACAATTGCCCTCGCTGTGTTGAGCATTTATGCGGTGGATTTCTCCATCAACGTCGGTAAGTGGCACACTTGCCCGCACCTTAATTGAAGGTGGCTTACAATGTCTTAGTTCAAGCGTGCTGTCGCGGTCTGATTGTGGATACACTACCGATCCCATCGCAACAAGCTGGATCCGCATGGGGTATGGCCCTTCCCCATATGTCTCAGCCTCAAACCCTAAAACACCACTGACCTTTCTTCTAGCCGGGAGAATGTCTGCCATTGGCCAGCTCTTTGCTTATGTGGTTGGTGCCATTGATACCGTTGGCATCTTCGGTACTATCATTGGAGATACACAGTTCAAGCAGATGACAGTGATCGCTGCTTTTTCTTTGGTGGTGGCGGTGGCAGTCACCTCATACTCGGTAAAAGAGCGAGTTCTGATATCGGCAAGGTGGGTTGGACTCGAACCGATATTTATTGCCATCAACTAATCCTTTGTGATAACAGGGATGATGGAAGTGCTGGTGCTATTCAGGTCCTCTCTCAGCTGTTCAAAACTACTTTCGAACTACCGCCTCGTATTCAAGCAATTTGCTGGGCCCAATTCTGGGCTTGGATTGGTATGGGAAATTCCGCACCTAGAAAACCAACAATACTAACATTAAATAGGCTGGTTCCCCTTCCTCTTCTACAGCACAACCTGGGTTGGCGAGACCTACTTCCGCTATGAAGTCCCAAAAGACGACATGGCCAAAGCAACAGATATGCTCGGTGAAGTCGGCCGCGTGGGAAGTCTTTCATTAACAGTCTTCTCGGCCATCACATTCCTCAGCTCTGTCCTCCTACCCTTTTTCATCCTACCACCAGACAGCAAACGGACACGATTCACCGCGCGGCCTCCACCAGGATTTGCAGCAATCCTCAAATACGTCACCGCAATCCGACCCGACCTCCAAACCGCCTGGTTCATCTCCCAAATCATGTTCGCCGCCACAATGATCTTCGCCCCTCTAGCCCACTCCCGCGCCTTCGCAACCTTCCTGGTAGCAGCCTGCGGTATCCCCTGGGCAATCAGCGGCTGGGCTCCATTCGCCTTCATGGGCGTGGAAATCAACAAATTAACAATGGGCGGCTATTCCCCCGTGATCCCATCCTCACGATCCGGCGTGACGATGATCACATCAGCCAGTCTGCGCAACGCCGCCGCAGACAATGAACTGGATGTCCTCCGACTGAACCACCGTGATTCCTTCGACAGCGACACAGACGAGGAAGAACATTCATCCAACATCCCCTCAACAGGTGAACTAGCCGGTATCTATCTGGGCGTGCTGAACGTCTACACGACCCTACCCCAATTCGTCGGCACCTTCATCAGCTGGATCGTCTTCAGTATCCTTGAACCAGGCGCAGCGCCCGCGTCTGATAACGCTGCAGACAATCCTTCTGATACCCACTGGATGAATCTGGACAAAGATAGGCCGAACGCTATCTCCATTTGTCTCTTTATTGGGGCGATAAGCGCTCTCATCGCGGCCGAAGCCACACGTCGACTGCGGTATGTACTATGAGCTAGCAGTCCAGAGCGAAAGCCGAATGCTGCAAAATTACGATCCGTTGCGATGAATAGCTATTGATTTTTGCTCGATACCCGGTGTATATTGCGAGCTTTGTCTTGACTACGGTTGAGATTTTGTGTGCACACTATAGAGAGAGTATACATGTACAGTGAACCCCTTCGTCTCCGCAAAAGGAGCTTTGTTTTTCTTTTTGGTTTACATCTGCACATACATAATACATAATACCTACGAAGTTATACGTGCCATATTCTCTCTGCCAGATGGGGCTTTCCTATCTTCAAATCTTGTTTGAGCGAAGAGAGGGGAGAAGAAAGGACTGGCTCTCTACAAACAAACAGGGAGCTGGTTAAATAGCTCCAGGACTATGTAAAGCCCGTCAAACAAGGCACCAAGCAGGTGCTTCCAACCATGGAAGGTTGGCCCCCTCAACAGTGCTTATGTAACGCATCCTATAGGTTAGGAGCCCCCTGTCAGTCTCTCATTTGGCCTTTCGGTCTCTCACGTGTTTGCTGATTGTTCGTTTGTCATAACCACTGTCATCACCCCTCCTTGAATCGTAAACCCAGTATGGATGGCTGGTCTGCACTCGGGGCAGCAGCAGCGATCGCCCAGTTCATAGACTTCGGCATCAAGCTTGTTTCCACAACAGTGAAAATCCACAAGTCCCCCCGGGGTGTAACTGGGCTACAGGAGCACAAGCTTGTTGTAGAGCGTCTGCAGGCTCTTGTCGATCAGCTTACGGACTCAAGTTCACTGACTGGGCAAAATACCGTTGAGAATGATCTCGCGATTCAGGCGATCTGCGATGAGTGCAAGCGCACAGGCGGGGAATTGCTCGCTGTCGTGAAGAGAGTCTCTGGAGATCGTTCAACCGGCGTTGTGACTCGACTAAAAGAGCATGGCAATCGCAGGAAGTGGAAGAGTTTCCGACAGGCTCTAATACAGGTCTGGAACGAGGATAAAGTGGTTGAGCTTAGCAATCGATTGCACATTCTCAGGCAGGAGCTTACCGTACATTTGCTGGGCGCACTCAGGTAATGGCTGTCTTGGAGAGTCTTTCTCATCCCGCTGCTAACTTAGCAACAGCACTCAGGCCGACCGAAGGGCCTGTGGAGAAGGTCAGACGAGTCTTGTTGGCCAAGAATTCCTTCAGACCCTTGCCGAACCTGAGCAATGGCGAGAGTATCTAATAAACGCCCTTCAGCAGAAAGGGGTTGAAAAGCATCTGCCGCCGACGGACATGGAGCCCCCGGGGGCCACCCATTATTACGAAGATTCCACCATCGCTGTCATGAAGAGCCTTGAATATCCGGGAGTTATGGATCGCGAAACGAGTATATCAAAGGCACACGAGGAAACTCTGAAATGGATTTTCAGAGACCCCGAGCCTCAGGGGTTTCAGTGGGCTAGCTTCGTAGACTGGCTGGAAAGCGATACATCTCCCAATCTCTACTGGGTCACCGGGAAGGCCGGTTCTGGTAAATCAACGTTGATCAAATACATTCACCGGCACGAACTCACCATGCGAGCTCTGGGTAAATGGTCACCGAGCCAGCCCGTGGTTACGCCTGTTTTTTATTTCTGGAATTCCGGCAGGCCGACGCAGATGTCCTTGCTCGGTCTACTACAGACACTCCTCCTTGGGGTTCTTCGTGAAAGACCAGAGTATATACCGCTGGTGAGCAGATCACGATGGGAGGCGCAACGTTTATTTGCCACGACAATGCCGTCCTGGACTCAGGAAGAGGTTCTAGAGGCTTTGATAGTGGCTATCCGTCATTGCGCCCAATCCTCGAAATTGTGCCTATTCATTGACGGACTTGACGAATTTGAAGGAAATCCCGAAGTTCTCATCACATTAGTGAAAAGCTTCCTAATACAGAATGTCAAGGTCTGTGTTGCCAGTAGGCCGTGGCCTGTCTTTCGCGATGCATTTGGTCAAGACCCAGGTCTCATCCTAGAGCACTTAAACCTACCTGACATTACGCTCTACGTCACAAACTGTTTGAATAATAACGCTGGGTTCCTGGAGTTGAAGGCACATGAGCCCACGCATGCCGACGCTCTGGCGCATGAAATTACCCTACGGTCGTCGGGTGTGTTCCTTTGGGTTTCCTTGGTGGTTCATGCACTCCTCCAAGGGCTCTCACGGGGAGACCGACTTTCCGACATGCAGCGGGCATTAGAAGAGCTTCCATCCGAGCTAGAACACCTATTCGATGTGATGATTAACTCCCTTAGCCTGCCTGCTCGCAAAAGAGCGGCGGAGATGTTTCGTATCGCAGAGGCAGCAAGAGGTCCACTTGCGCTCCTGGTATTCGGAGACGCAGACGAAGAAAACCCAAAATACGCCCTTGAATTCGAGCCAAGAGTCCGCTCACAAGACCAGAGGCTTAGTCGCTGCCTTGGAATAGAGCGCCGCCTTAATAGCTATTGCAAGGGACTGTTGGGGGTGAAGATGCTTCGGATATCCAAAGATTGTACAGAGGGCAAGCCTATCAAGGTGAACGATGCACAGCAAATGCTTTCTTCACTGCATGACCCTGAAGACATCGCCGATTACGTGGATGGAATCTGCAACTCAAGGGTAGAGTATCTCCATCGAACTGTCAGAGACTACCTCACCCGACCAAATGTCAAAACGCAGCTAGACGAATGGTCTGCATCCGCCTTCCACCCGGACCTCTCGCTTGCCAGCGCATTTCTCATCAACCTTAAAACTATTGACCCTATAACCATAACCCGCACTGGGTTTTGGTGGCCGATAAATCGGTGCTTGGCATACGCGGCACGTTTTGAGAAAAGAACAGCTTCAAGTCCAGACACATTCCTCAACGAGCTCGATCGAGTGGCCTGCAACCTGTCCCTGAGTAGAACCGGTGATAACCAGACAGTCTGGCGCTCCATCGCAAAGGTCCCAAAGCAAAAGACAGCGCCCCCCTGGCCAAGCACACTCGCGCCGATAGGGAGCATCGAGGAACGATCTTTTCTCGGACTGGCCCTCCAATGCAACTTATACAGCTACGTCCAGACCACCCTACAAACCCGCCCGCTGACGGAACTCGAAATTACCGGCTGGCCTCTCCTATTAAGCGCATTAACCGGATACAACGTAAGCGGCGCGGATGTCCCCATCTTCGAAACACAGTCCCCACCAACAAGTCTCCTTGAAATGCTTCTTCGCAAAGGTGCGGATCCTCGCGCTTCCTCTGTTGCAAATCTCACAGCCTGGCAATTTGTGCTACAGGAATGTCACCGCGCGTCTGGGACGAACGCGGCTCCTGGGGATTCTGTACCCTACTGGGTCGACGTCTTGTTGGTGTTCGCTGAATGGAGTGCTGACAGCCGGCAACCAATTCCTATTGATGCGTGGGCTGTGATTCAACGCTACTGGCCGGATATAGCGAAGGCCCTCAGGGCCAAGATCCGTAAACATCGCCCGTCTGGTATAATCCGGTGGCTGTCATCCCTACATCAAAGCACCTAGCCTAGCATCGTGAACAACAACCCAAGTCAATATGGTAGGAAGGCTTAACGATAGACACACGGCCCTACCATCCATTAACTCATCATCATTATTCTCTCTGCTCCATTTGGATTCGGCTGCGTGCTCGTCATGCCAATGATGAACTACCTCATTTATGCGTACACCATTTTCGCCGCCTCTGTGCTGGCGGCGCCATTTTCTGCTTTAAATATACTCCATAGTCGGGCCTGGTAAGGGGTACCCCGCAAATTTTGGTCATTGCAGGGCGTGGCCTTCGTCTCCGCAAAAGGAGCTTTATGTTTTATTTTTGGTTTGCATCTGCACATACATAATACATAATACCTACGCAGCTATATGTACCATATTCTCTCTGCCAAATGGGACTTTCCTATCTTGAAATCTTAGCTGCCGATTTTGTGGGAGCGCTTAACGTCAGGCAAACGGAGTAAATTTTATGGTCGCTAGTAGCAAAGCCCATGTTAGGGCCCATCATAGCGCATTGAAGCCCACTAATTGATAATTATATATTAATTAGAAGAAGAAAATATTACCCCGATATAAGGACTAGAAACGGGATCTAAACATAACGTAATTAATTTTTCAAAATGTTTCCGATGTTGCACTTTTTGGTGACTAATTGGGCTATGATGGGCTTAATGTGCTATGATGGGCTTAATGTGATAGGATGGGCTTAATGTGATAGGATGGGTGTAATGTGATAGGATGGGCTTAATGTGCTATGATGGGCTTAATGTGCTATGATGGGCTTAATGTGCTATGATGGGCTTGATGTGCTATGATGGGCTTAATGTGCTATGATGGGCTTAATGTGCTATCATGGGCTTGATGTGCTATGATGGGCTTGATGTGCTATGATGGGCCCTAATTTATGAGCTTTGAAGAGCTCTAATCGCTAGCAAACTCTGGGAACGTGTTCGAGTACTCCGGGACGCTAATGCCGTTCATTCCCACTCGGCGATGTTGGTCTGTTAGGAGACCGTTAATTTTAAGATTTAGTGGATCCGTGAGACCTAAATAATAGCACGTGTATGGGGGCGAGTCGCGCCGGGATAAGTAAAAAATCAACACTAAACAAGTGTTAACTATGAAACGAGTACAGTTAGAAAGAGATCCAAATCGAGAGGAGAAACAAAGGCAGCCATAGCCCACTAGGGAGTGATAGTGATGGTCCGCATTACAGTCGCGGTTGGACTTGGCTTACGGGATGTGGCTGTGTTCGCCGGGGTTTTCCAAGCCCCTGTAACAACGCAGCCGATTTTGAGCCTCTACCAAATGGGAGATCGTGGCAGGGCATTGCTAATCAATACTTTTAGTATGTGCTGGCTTGGTGGCGTACGGAATCGTGAATAGGATCAGATCTCCTGGGCCCCACATTGGGTTAGGAAGCCAATAACTGGAACGGGGTCTTCTGAAGAGATATCACGAGAAATTCTGATACAAGCCTCCGGGTCTGAGACCCTGGGAACTTACTAGCGTCGAGGCTAGAGTCGATAACACACCCTTGCCAAGAAAATCCTGGAGAATAAGAGAAATTAAAAGTTTGTGTCTTACCGCTAAAACTCCATCAGATGTATACTCAAAGCTCATCACCAATCGCATCATACTTTGTAGCTAAGAAAACCCCCACCTTCTCCATGCAAGATCCAACAGAGGCCACCCCTGCGCTCTAGAAGTCACGTAGAATTTCACCCGGGTAAAATATTTTTCTTTCTTCGGTCGCAAGGTTCTCACATCAGCGTAACACAAAGCCATTGAGATTTGGTTTTTAGTTTCATATTGGAGAGCTTCAGGCTAGTATAACCTGGAAGACGCGCCTGGAATTATAGTCTCTCATCAAACGTTCATGTCTTCATCTAGTCAACCAAAATAGCAAGCAAATAGCTAGAACGCAGAAGGGAAGCAAATTCCATCTTCCTGACTTGGAAGTGAACTCCTAGAGCTGTAGCAAATTTTGAAACTAGAATCATACTGTTCCTTGCATTGGCATAGTTGTTTCTAGGTTGGGCATCGGTGGCCAAGAATTGACGTGTAATGAACATGGCTGGTCGTTGAAATTTCAGGTCCCACCCCGTGATTCTCAATAACTAACCCGATTGGGACTTTTCCTCTCTATAGCGATGGGGTATTTTAAGATCTCGGGTTTAAAAGTGTCAGATTCCCCCTGGAAATCCCTTCTAATAAATATATCTCAAAGCTTCCATAGTATCTCAACTCTTCTTTTTTACTCTGTACTCATTATGGAATACACACCGAACCTCGAAGAATATTCTAGGATATACCAAATGCTTCAACCTCGCAGTGAGCAACTCAATTCCAATACTGGAGCTTCTGCTACGCAGCCACTTGCCTCTGCGGTTGAAGAACGACCTATACTCTCGGCGGACTGGTCTCATTTCGACCCTTCTATGGGCCATACCTCAACGGTCGGACAGTCACCTGCGCACTCTGAGGACTCGTCTCATTGCTACCCTTCTATGACCCATGCCTCCACTGTCGGACAGCCACCCAGACTCTCTGCGGACTGGTCTCGTTACGACCGTTCTATGAGCCGCGCGTTCATGATCCGACAGCCACCTACACCCTCTGTGGACTCGTCTCATTGCTACCCTTATATGGGCCATGCCTCCACGGTCGGACAACCACCTGTGCACTCTGTGGACTGGTCTCATTACGACCCTTCTATGAGCCGTGCCTCCATGGTCGGACAACCATGCGCACCCTCCGCGGGTTATTCTATTCACCACCCTTCCATGAGCCATGCCTCCACAGTCGGAAAACCACCTGTCCTATCTGTGGAGTGGTCCCGTTCCAACCCTTCTATGGGCCATGCCTTCGCGTCTCTCGACCCCAACAGGGCTATGCATACCATCCTCCGTCCTCCCACGGTCGACAACTTGTACCAGAGCAACATGCAGTCCTCCTCGGTCAGGCAGTATAGAGCCACCGAGTTTGAAACTGAAGATCATCTCGGTCCCGGTCAAACCACAACTCGGATCCGGTCCTCGGAACTGAGTCTCTCCCCGCAAGAGACATCTCCAAGCAAGAACAACGTCGAGTCTACTCACGGTGAACCCCAGGAACAAGAGTGAGTCGTATATTCTCACTTTTCCCACTTTATCGTTAACAGTCTTCCCTTTCAGTGAATTGGGCGGTCCATTAAAATGCTTCTGGGAGGGCTGTAAACACGACGCCACATTTAGCAGCCCTGCATCGTTGATGCGCCATGTCAGAGTACAGCATGTCGCACATCGCGCCGTCAAGTGTCCGGAGTGTGGTCAGGCGTTTGGCCGTGTGGATAACATGAAAGAGCACCGGGGAAAACGCCACAGGAAGTATGACCAAGATTGATGGTGATGCTGAGGTTTGGATTTTTCCGGCACGAACGTTTAAAAGTTTTCGGGGTTTTCGTTCTAGGTATATGACGTAGGGAAAAACCTGCGAATTTGAAATGTGTTTTAGCAAAACATCATTCTCATTGAAGTCTGTTGTAGAGTGAGGTCAAACTTAACCATCTCCCAAGCCCGAGAGCCCCACCAATCCCGTTCCAGATATCCAGAGCGAGATCATCTCCCAAGAGCATCAAAAGACATCTGTTCACATAAAAAAGAGGGGTTAGGGGCCATAAAAGAGAATTGCTGCACGTGATGGATTAGCGTGTTGCTTTTTATTGAACAAAGTACGTATAGAATCATAACTTATCTCAGGTTGGTTCATGTCTATATATTTACGACTACCCGGCCCTACGCATGGCCCAATTTCTTCTTAGATTGGGCCGCACGGGTCTAATACAAAATATATGTAGTCCAATTCAAAATTCTTGACATATATAGCAGGTACGTTTCGTATGGGACCATTATATATAAGGTACTTAAGGTCAAAAGTTCTTGAACTTCTTGTAACTCATATTTCTCAACCCTAAGATTGAATACTTAGGAGAGCCAGGAGAGATGTTGATATTAAGAATCAAAACTAATCTATGATTTGATACAAGCTAAGCTGTTTTCTTCTGAAATCTATAGAGGATCAAAAACTGTACTTCCAAAAACCCTCCTTGGCTATACTATAGACCATAGATTTTCTTCCTAGAAATCCCCTAAATAATGGAATTCTAATATCATATATTGTGAGGCTTTGCTTACTTCCTATCTACATAATATTATGGTTGAGCAATATGAATTTTGAAAGAAATTCGGATCGTAAGTACCTTTTGTATGGTGGCCCCATATAGAAGATACATGTATGCATCTAAAAATTTGTAGCCCGTGCGGCTCAATTCCCGGGGATTTGGACCATGTGTAGGGCCGGGTAGAGATTAAAATAAGCAAATAGCAGAAGTCATGCGACCTCAGTCATGTAGCCTCTCAACAAATATACAGCGTTAATTAATAGTGGTCTTATATATGTACATTCATGTTAGTGTATGATATCCTATAAATAGGTCGACCTTGGGAGCTTTATAATCTTCTTCACGGCCTCTCTTACCAATAAACTTTATTGTGTAATCCATTGGCCTTAGTGGAGCCAGTGACGGGATAGTGATACATGCAGTGATGGCGATCGCCGCAAGCGGCGGGGAGGCATATAAGAAGATCAGAGCTATCCCTTACCCTCAATTCAATTAGAACAAAACATTTAACACAAGATATTCATATTCATACTATTCAATCAATACCTCCATTCAGAAAAAACAGCAAAAAATGGCACCCAAAGTCCTCGTCGTCCTCACCTCCCAAGACAAGATCGACGCCACCGGCAATCCAACCGGCTGGTTTTTGGTATGTAACTCCAATTACAGCTTTAGTCAAACACCTACACATCCTGTTCTCAAAAGAAGTCAATCAGACAATAAATCCCAATGAATCCCTACTAACCATCCACCAGCCCGAATTTGCCCATCCCCACGAAGTCCTCCATGACAAAGTCTCCCTAACAATCGCCTCCCCCAAAGGAGGCGAAGCACCCCTAGACCCAAAATCAGTCAAGATGTTCGAGGGAGATGAGGTGTCGCAGAAGTTCCTGAAAGAACAGAAAGCCCTATGGACGAACACTCACAAGTTGGCGGATATGCTTCCGCGCGCGGATGAGTTTGATGCTATTTTCTATGTTGGTGGCCATGGACGTAAGTCGCCATTACATTTCTTTCTCACTGTCTCCCCCTTTCCAGCTATAGCTACAGCTATACATGTGTTATCCAAAACACCTCTACACTACAAATCACATATTCTAACAGTGAAATATCTAGCCATGTTCGACCTAACAAACGACCACGTCTCACTCGCTCTCATCCAAACCTTCGCAGCAGCCAACAAACCCGTCGCGGCCGTCTGCCATGGCCCCTGCGTTCTACTGAACGCGACAGCTCCCTCGGGCGTGCCTCTTATCTCTGGTGTTGGCGTGACCGGGTTCTCGAATGCCGAGGAAGATTCCATCCATCTGTCTTCTGTGATGCCGTTTATGCTTGAGACGGAGTTGGGTCGTGTTACGGGTGGGAAGTATGTTAAGGCTGGGGAGCCTTGGGGGGAGATGGTTGTTGTTGGGAAGGCTGCTGGGACGGGATCGACTATTATTACTGGACAGAATCCTGCGTCGGCGGCTGGGGTTGGCAAGGCGATTTTGAAGGCTTTGGGGTTGTAGATAGGGTTTGGAATTAGGGCAAAGAAGAAAGGAAAAGAGTATGTGGATGTAATGTTACATGTTACATATTTGCTGTTATTATGATATTCTGGTTTTGATATGCTTGAGACAAGTTCAATATTACATAGTACTTTTCAATCAAAAGCACAAAGCGATTCAATATTGGTAGCGAAACCAGAATCAATAGCAGTAGCGAAAGGGGAATAGAGCAAGACACAAAAAAAGCAGCAGATAGCCCAAATTCGATAGATGGGTGAAGGAAATAAAGCAAGACAGATTTGTCCAGTCGAAGATTGAAGACCGGAGGCCAGGAGACATTTGAAAGAGAAGAAAAATAAACAGATGTCGCAACCAAAAGAATCCATCAATCGTATCGCAGTATTCGTCGGTCTGTCCATCTCCAGATGGAGATGCGGACCTTGTTCGGTCATCAGACCGCGCTTAAGCAAACACGACCAAGGTTTGGTCGGGAGAAGGGTATACGATTAACAAAAGATACATCCTGGATCATCACGAGCGAATATAGAGCCAGGGGAAAAAAGTGAGGAAAAATGGACAAAGGAAAGCGGAAAACTGGGATGGGGACGTCGCAGGCTAGCGCCTTTGTCCATCCTCGACGTTGCCGGTCAACTCGGCTACTCGGGCCTTGATGCGGGCGACACGGGCTTCGATAGCTGTGACAACAATTGTTAGCGTGGGGTCGGTTTGGGGAATGAAGTCACTACTCACTTTCTTCTCCGCTGGTATCTCCCTCGTCAGTGCGCTCTGACTGGCTAGTCCGGGTGTTCTCGGCCTCGTGCTCGTGTGCCTGTTCCTCCTGGGCAGCGGCAGCCCGTTGGGCAGCAGCCTCGCGGATGGCCTTCCAGCGATCCTGCGTAGCTTCGCTTGACTCAGGCGAAGTGGCGGTCTCAGGGCGGACACCATTGCCGTTAGTCGGGGTCTGGGGAACCTCGGTCTTCGGTGCGGCAGGTGCAACCTCCACGGGAGAAGGAGAATCCTCGGGGATGAAGGCAGGCTGGTCAGTCAGGGGACCCTGGTCGAACTTGGAGAACTCCTGATCGGCCGCGTCGCGTTCATTGGTACCAACGCGCGAGAGGGCATCATACTCGACGGCGCGTCTGGTCTTGGGCGGCGCACCGTTCTCTTTCAGAGAAGTAGAGGGTTGGGTCGGGGTTGGGATTTTGGTCGCAGGTTCCTTGACGGTCGGTTCAACACGCTGGGGCGTTGAGGGCTTTACAGCCTCCGCAGCCACGGGGGCAGCGGCGACAACGGCGGCCTTGGGGACAGGCTTCTTCTTCATGGGACTGGACTCCTGAGCTGCTTTCGTCCTGGCCTCAAGGGCCGCACGGGCAGCTGCCACATTGGAGATTTCCTTGGCATCAGTGCTCTTCACGGGAGTCTGTTGCTGTTCGGGCTTCTTCTTGGCACTAAACATGCTCTTAAAGGCGGAATTGCCAGTCTTCTTCTTCAGCTTCTTGCCCGCCTCGTCCACCGAGTCACGACGCTCAGTGGGTTGTTCGACAACCACAGGCTTTGTGGTGGGCTTCTCTTCTGCAGGAGTGGCGACATTGACAGGTTTAGTTGGCGCTTCCTTAGGAGAAGGGGGAAGGGGGTGGCCACAGCAGCAGCAGCGGCTTCTTTGGGAACTGGAGCTGGACCAGTCTTTCCAGTGTTGGTTGGAAGAGGTGCCAACGGCGTGGCAGGCTTCTCCTCGGGGTCCTTTGAAATCGGTTCCGGTGTGTCCTGGAGTTCTTCAACTTGACCAGTGCCAGCGCGGTTGTCACTAAGATATGCCGCCCTGAACGCACCCTTATCGTAGTTCTTAGTCCACTTCATGGCCTGAGAGGCCTCGTTCACAATAGCAGGCTGAAGGGTCATGACAGAGTTGGTCTTGGAGTAACGGCTGTTATTCGGGGTGGCACGGTTCTCTGTCGCTTCCGCTTCTTGCTCGCGGTGCTTCTTTTGCAGAGCGGCCGCAGCTGCCTGGATTCGCTTGTGCTGATCGGGTCCAATGCTAGTCTTGCTGTGCGGTGCCTGGTTGTTGGGCCGCTTGTACGACTCCTCAATCGAGGAGGGCACCTTCTTGGCCGACGACTTGCGGCGGTTGAGCTTACCTTTGCGGCTACCAAAGCTGAAGAATCGCTTCTTCTCAACAATCTGAGCACCAGCCTCAGGTTCTGGGGCAGCGCCCTTGATCTGCTCTTCAAGGATCAGCCATTTGGTATCCCGAATGCGGGTCTCCAGAAGCGCGCATCGACCAAACACAGCCTTGCGGGCGGCCGGCTCATCACCTGACAGACTGCTGATCCAAACCCACCAGAACGAGTCGTCCATGTCTAGGGTGTTGATACTCGCCAACTCGGCAGGCTCGAGATCCGGCTCGATATCCAAAGAGCGCTTGTGCGACTGAGAGCTCATGCCACGTACAGAGGCAATGGGAGGCAGAATCTTGTCAGGAGGCAAGAGCAGAGGGCCTACGTGGCCCTTCAATTTGTTTTCATCCGCGAATCCGGACGACATGAAGTCTGCCCATGAGGGGGTGGTAGGACGGCCAAGGTCACCTCCTCCAGACTGAGGAACGGATTGCAAGCCCCCGGCAGATCCACTCTTTGAAGTCCTTGCAGTCGCCGGCGGAGCAGTTTCCTTGGCTTCATCCTCCGGGTCAGAATCGATCGAACCACCGAATCCAATATCCTCGAAGCGAGACCAGGATGCATCCCGCAAACTGGTTGACTGCTTGGTACTCGAGACGCTGGATTGGTTCGCAGATGAGATGCATCTGAGAACACGGAGACACTCGTCGGTCAATGCGCTGACGGGGTCTTCGTAGTTGGCAAACTCCTGCAGGTGCCAGTCGTCGTCGCGGTATTCAAAGTTCTTAGCGCGTCGCAACAAAGAAAATGGCGTCGGGGAAACATTCTCCACGATCATCACCACCTTTGTGGTCGTAACTTGCAGCAAAGTCGGGGTTTCGGGAGGGTATTCGGTTGCTTCAACGAGTGATTGGAGAGAAATGGGGAGTGAGGAGATGCCACTCACGCCGCGAGGGACATCGGGAGACAACGAACGAAGGTAGGCGAAGAACAGATGACTTGTCGCATCGGCGGCACTAAATATTGATGTTAGAATACCATCTAGAACCATCAGATCAATGGAAGTCCATACACAGCCCAGTTCTTATAGGCGGCCTCGAAGCCATTGCCTGTATCGACATGCTCAAAGGCCCACCATCCAGCGTATCGGGAAAGCTTGCGGCCTCCCAGTCCATTGGATTTTCCATGAGCCGCAACGGCAGCCAAAAGGTCGAAGAAGTCCAGAATAATATTGGTGCGTGCATCGGAATCGCCGCCGATCGGAATGAAAGTCGAGAAAGCGTCGCGGGCCATATCCGAATCTAATGTTTCATCAGCGCGTATGTTCCCCGCATTCCATTCAATAACGCGTACCATGTTCGCCCATCTTGAAGGTCTCGTATGCCTCCCAAGTGACCACACCGCCAGGAAGTCTGCTCCAGCACCATTTCATCACACCGCAAAGAACCTATCGAAATGATGTTAGTCCCCCTGATAGCCCCCAGGAAAGACATTGTCCCTCACCATTGGCTCTGTGAGCCGGAGCTCCTGCGACAAGACATCTCCATTGACCGGCGAGCCCTTATCGAAAGATTGATTAAAGTAATTGCGAATGAACGTGCGGGCTGCACTGGGATCGGAGCTAGGACGGAACGGTAGGAGAAGGAATGGGGTGTCAAGAGCTGCAGCGACGAATGATCAGCAATCCGAACAATGATTTCGTATCGGTCAAGATATAAATCCACCTACCTCGGGCCTTGAGCTCATGCACACACCCTCGTACAAGGTCTTGGACTTCTTCCGGCGCGACCTCTGTCCGCAGCCACGCATCGGTCCATTTGGGTTTCGCAGGGGTCGGGTTCAGGGCCGTGGTAGGCTTGGCCTGCTTCTTTGTCGTAGTGGCATCCTTGCCCCGAAACACCCGAGAAAAGAAGGACATATCGGAAATGCGACTGAAAATTGACGTTGTCAGAAATCGGACTGTGGGGATAGATTGAGGGTCCGCTTTTTTTTTGCTTCTGTTTATCAAATTAGCAGAGGTTTCAATCCAACGACAATGCAGACAACCGACACGGTAATTAGACCGAGTGAGTAGTTAAAACGTCTAGGACGTGTCCGGGATGTCCTGCAGCCCCGGTAACAGCAGGACAAATTAAATCCCAGGTCAGGAATCTCTGTGCTCAAAGTGGAAACCACAGCCTCAGAAAGAAGAGAAAAGAAGAAAAAAAAGGGAAAAAGGAGAGACGAAAAGTGAAGGGTTGGGAGAGAAGGGGAAAAAAAAACACGAAGCGATTCACAAGCTCAGGGGTAAACGAAACTAAACTTACCCGCGAGTCTCGACTCCGTTAGATGCATCCACACAAAGGATTTCAACGTTTTTCTTATATTATTTCCTTAGAACTTGAACTTGACCTGAAGGGATTTTAAGTGAATGATACTGATAGTGATCATTTGATCAGGGTTTTAGGGATCCAAGGTTATGTATATTTTTATGTCTATGGGCATTAGGGCTATTCTATTGGAGGAACTGTCATTCAGACGTGTCGATATGTCTATATTACCTGCCCAATTTTAGTGGGGAGAGATTATAAGGACTTTGTACGGAGTACTGGGTGCCTACATATGTTTTAGGTACATATAAATGTCTAGTATAAATTGTCTACATTACATCCTTACATATGTCAACTCCAACTTAATCTTAGATGGTGGCTTTGTCAGATTATAAGATCTAGCGCTTTACTCTTTATAGGAAGATAGGGTAGGGCCACTTCTAGATTACCGGGATAGCCTATATATATTGTACATAGCTTGGAAATATAAATCTGACAGCTCTGTGGATCCTTAGTCCATGCCCTGAGCTTTCCCCGTTGACATCATGAAGGGCTGAGAATATCAAAAGAGGAACAGCTTCGATCAACTAAACTTGTCCAATAGGAACTAAAGGAGAAGACTCCACTGTGACAAGCTGCAGGGACAGTGGGATAAATATAGAATGATGAGTCAGCAACTAAATCTTCTCCCTGTCTTTCCCTCGATTCTATCTTTAGAATCAACCTTTCCTGCATCGTCAATCATCCTTTCTCCGCTACTATCATTTACTTCGTTTTTGGCTTTGTCTTCCCTTGTTTTCTAATATTTTATTCAATCTCCTCGGGTTCACTACTGTTTGAACGCCGGGGGGTCATTGTTTCCCAAGTCGCGTCCAGCCCCCCCTCCTCAAGTATCTACAGGGTTTCTTACCTTCAAAGACCTTGGTTCCTCATTTCACATACCTTTGTTGAACTAGTCCCATCTCTCAGATATTCTTGTGAAAAGACGAAGATTCTTCACATACCCGTGTGTCACTGTGCGTGGCTAGGATCGCCATCGCGTCGATTCTACATCCTGGGTAATTAAAACATAATCGCGCGAGGTATCTCGCAAGTCGCTTCGCGGCTTGCTGTACCGTCTATTCTCAGTCTTGCTATCGGTGCGCAATTGATGCGCCCGTAGCCGCCCATCATGGGTCGGAGAAAGATTGAGATCAAGGCCATCAAGGATGACCGCAATCGCTCAGTGTAAGTTGATCATCCCACTTGAGATCATAATAGTCACTGATCGCAGCTTCGATTACAGCACATTCCTGAAACGAAAGGGAGGTCTGTTTAAGAAGGCTCATGAGCTTGCTGTTCTCTGCTCCGTTGACGTAGCTGTCATCATTTTTGGCCACAACAAGAAACTATACGAGTACTCATCATGTGACATGCATGATGCTCTTGGTCGCTATCAATATGTGAGTAGAAGCTTCTTCGATCCATCCCGAAAATCTCTAACTGGTAATTTTTCAGTTTGGCCCTCCCCACGAGCATAAAGGTCCGGAAGATTTCGCGGGTAAGCGAGACGACGACGAGGAGGAAGATGAGGTTTCGCCAGCTCCCGAGGACATCCAAGCAGTTCAACAGAACCACCCCGCCATTCCCCCTCACCTCCAAAACCAGCCCGCCTTCCAGCACATGAATCATGCACCCTCCGCGTCACCCCCGATCCATGCTATGACACGTCATGGCACACCGCAACCCCAAGGCACTTCGCGACCCTCGTCAAGGAATCATATTCGCCGAGTCAGTTCAAACCTAGGCCCCCAGCAACATGGTACACCGCCGCCTCCCGGTCCCCAAAATGGCGGGTTTACGTACATGCAGAATCCGTCCATGTACAACCCGAATGTTCATATGAACCAACAACCTCGGCCGGGACAGTTTGCGCACTATGGACACCCACCGGGACAGCACCAAGGCACGCCTCCTATGCACCCTCACGGTTTACCGCCACAGCAAATGCCACCACAGCACCAGGGACAGCACCAGGGACAGCACCAGGCACAGCATCAGGGCCAACAGAATTTCCAACAGCATAGCCATGCCGTAGGAATGCCTCAGGGGCACCAGCATGTGCAGGCATATATGCAGGAACATGGGAGAAATTCGATGCCTCCAGGGTTCGCACCCGATGGTCATCAAGAACGGACTGCCTCGGAGCACCCCCAGGATGATTCCTCGGGTGCAATGAAAGCAGAGCACAGCCAGTCGCCGCCCCAAATGAAGTCCTTATCAAAATCACGGAGTATTTTCACGCCTATTGATGATCGAGGATCGGTGCTCGCCCGTTTCGGGCCTGGAATGGGATCATATGAATCTCACAATAACCATTCTCTCAAACTCGAAGCACTACCACACGCCTCGCCTGGTTCCAAATCAATGCCGGTTAGGGCTGCGACGGAGGCTCCTCGTGGAGGGCCAGTTGCTCCGGCGCCAAAAATCAAACCACCATCCCGAACTAACAGTGGACCGTTGCCCTCAAAACGACCGCAGTTGAAGGTGCAGATTCCTAGCGAAACCTCCGATGGTGGCAGTGCCACGGCCGACTCGTCACGCGATTCCGCTGGGAATAAAACCTCGACGCCTGCGAAAGGAAGTGCCGAAACTGGACCCCCGGGCGTCGTCTTACCCCCTCCGTCGCCATCAGCCGGTGCAATACTGAGTGCGGGAGCGCAAGGGCCTCCAAATCCGTTTGCGCGACCGCCTCCACCCGTTTCCACAACGCGAAACGACTCTTACGGCAGCAATAGTGGGAATCAGAACAATGGGAATAACTCGAATAACATTGAAACGCCCATCTCCGCCCTGCCGAGTCGCTTTGTATCCGATGCACTCCTCCCGTCACCTTCCAGCTTCTTCCCCGAATGGGGCTTCAGCCGCTCCGGCCCAGATTCCAACATGCTGCCGAGTCCCCTTACCTTCCCGACTCCGGCAGTGCAAAGCGGTCCCAGCTTTTCTCGAGAAGACGAACAAGACAAGAAGAGAAAAAGCCCCGACGGTGGATCCGCAGGGGAAGGTACACATAAAAAACCAAAAACATGAATGATGCTTGGCTTCCCTGGGGAAGTTGTCCCTATACTGTAAAGTGCTGGCATTTTGATCAACTGTCCCCGTGGACATACAATCTCACTTTCTTGTCAATACCCCATAACTCCTTTTTGCCCCGGGGGCATTTGAATGTCTCCAATTTCTAGTTCGATCAAGCCTCGCAGTCATGTATCCTCTCTATACCCTGGTTTTTTTTTGTCATTCCTTTCGCCATTTTCCTTTATTTTCTTTCCAATGACGTCTCTCACGTGGATCTTGAAGTGATATACCTGCTATCTTGTGTCAACTTTTTACCTTCATTTATTTCTTATCTCTGATTCTCTCTAATGTCGCGTTGGTAGAGACCTGGCGTTAGGTCTGACTGCTTTCTTGGATGTACATAAAGCAGGTTCTTGTTTCTAGGAATGATGCCAATCTTTTTTTCCTGCCATCGATTCCGTTGTAGAAGTAGTAAACTTACACTATTAAATGTTCGGTGTTCGATCGGACCAAACACCGAAAGGACATATAAAAGGTGACCCCGCTTTCTCTTTGATTCCCCTAAGGTACACATTCTTTGCATATACTACTTATACTATCTCAATTCAAAATGCCTTTTACTGGAAGCTGCATGTGCGGTGGCGTTACTTATGCCGTCGAAGGTACATTGATCGAATCCATATACTTCCAGAACTAACAACATACTAGCTGACACGTATATGGCCGCTCTGTGCCACTGCACCGATTGCCAGAAGGTGAGCCCCAAGACTTACTATTGTATACCAATGCACCTTACCTTGAACATCTCTAATCCCAAATAGTGGTCTGGCGGCGCATTCACCTCCAACGCAGTCGTTCCCCGCACCAGCATGAAAGTGACAAAGGGTAAATCTACCTCGCCCCAGTATCAATTTCTTTTTCTAATTCTTTCTACCTCCTATACAGGCACCCCCAATTCCTACGATGGAGTGGGAAACAGTGGCAAAATCAATAAGCACTTCTTCTGCCCGACCTGCGGCTCAAGTCTCTACACAGAATTGGAGATCATGCCCGATATGACTTGCATCAAGGCTGGAACTCTTGATGGAGGCGAGGCGAATTTCAAGGGAAAGGTTGATGTCGAATTTTATGTTAAGGATCGTCCGGCTTATCTTGCTGCTGTTGAGGGTGCTAAGCAGGAGCAATTGCTTGGTTGAATGGCTTGGTTGGAATTGATATTAATTCGAGAATAATCAATTCAAACATTTATCATCCATATGCCTACTTGAGACTCCGAAAGTCCCCATCGTTTCTTCCATCATTCGATATCCCGAGGACTATTTAAACCCTCGAAATTCCTATTTGCATCCTCTTATTCTTCCTCTTCCCCATCAAAAAACCATCATGTCATCCCTCAACATCACCCTCAGAAGCCACTCCGCCAAATGCCGCTTCCCAGAACGAGCCATGGCCTACATCACCATAGAATCAACAGGTGAGTCGGAAAATACCGTCTCGTACGGCGTCAACGTGACCGCCAGCCTCCTACGACACTTCCTGGAATCCCTATGTCCCAGCGAAGAACCCGAAACCACCCAAGCCGAAGCCGCAGTATCAAGTTTCTCCTCTAGCCCCATCCTCATCGTATCCAAGAACCCCAATACAGCAGACGCCAGGGAAAATCGCCATGGTCGACCCCGCATCTACAACGCCGTCATCACCACCTTCGCTATCTTCTGCGACTTCAACGAGCTGCAGAAGTTTATCGTGAAGGTCGATGAATACTCAAACGCGAAACTGAATAATGTCAGCTGGTTCCTCACTGATGCTACTAAGCAGAAGATGGGTGGGGAGTCGCGTAATAGGCTGTGCTTGATGCTGTTATGAAGGCGAATCAGTATGCGAAGGCTGCTGGGTTTGAGAGGGCGACGCCGGTGGATATCAAGGAAATTGAACCTCAGACTATGAATGCTGCGGGATATCCGCAGAGGCCGATCTATCGCCATTCTAGTGGAGTTAGTTTGACGCCCCAGGATATTGTGTTGAATTGTTGTGTGGAGGTTGCTTTTGAATGTGTGGGCGATCTTGGATCTGGTGATACTTAGGCTTTGGGGTTTGATGTGGTCAATCAACGCTTACAAATGGGGTGAACTTTTGAATCCAGCATGTTTTGCGCTTTATTAGAAAGTTGACATACACTTGGTTTTGCTATTGTTTTTATTAAATGGATATGCAAAGAACGACGGATACAGCACTTGGAGTAGTAACACAGATCGACTAGGTACTTCGGGATGTCCAATGGTCACTTTTCCCAACTAATAATTTGCACAAGGCTAGTCGATCTGTGATACTTCAAATACCGTGTCCGTAGTTCTCATAACTATTTTCTGAACAAAGGCCTTTGTAGTTCGGTGTTCGGCGTTTGATGCGGGGACATCTTCACGAAGCTTGGCATTTGACGTCAAGAAAGAAAAAAATGCCATTGAAAGAGGTTTAGATAAGATATAGCCGGAACAGAAAAATAAACCAGGGAGTTCATGCTTTACCAAGAATATCGACTCTGATGCCCTAAATGATATTGACACCCGAAGCTGTCACCGCCCACGCCCTTCGGGTATGACAGATATGGAGAAATTAAATTCAGACTTACCATTTGCGGAAGCCGGTAGTAACCGGCTTGTAGATATTTAAAGAACTTATCTTACTGCCAACTACTTTCAACCCATTATCTACACCCACCAATCTGGCCTCGTGTTCTCAATCCGTGAAAACTCTTCCAGCTTCAAAATGACTCACTCAGTTCTCTCCCGCCGCGCACAAGATGTCGTCGATGCCGGATCCGAGAACCCCATGTGGGACGTGATGAAGGATACATGGGATGCATCATCAAACCCCGATGGATACGTTAATGTGGGCGTAGCAGAAAACACACTGATGCACTCCGAGCTCTTAAAATTCATCAACAAGAAGCTCGACCTACCCGCAAAGTATCTCACATACAACGACGGCGGATGCGGTTCTTCTAGATTAAAGGCCGCCATCGCCGGCTTCTTGAACTACAATCTAAAGCCAGTCACACCTCTCGAGCCCAGCCATATCATGGCGACCAACGGTGTCTCGTCTGCGGTTGAGCATGTTGTATGGTCATTTGCAGACCCCGGAGAGGGAATTCTTCTAGGAAGACCGTACTACGGGATGTTCATTCCTGATATCTCGCTTCGTTCGGGGAGTTGTGTGGTTCCTGTTAGTTTTGGCGAAGAGGATCCTCTCAGTCTCGAGGGTGTGGATAAGTACGAAGAAGCATTGCTAGAGTTTCATCGGAAAACTGGCAAGAAAGTCAAGGCTTTGATGCTTGCTCATCCTCATAATCCGCTTGGACGATGCTATTCCAGAGAAGTGCTGGTCAAATTGATGCGACTGTGTCAGAAATACCAGGTTCATCTCATCAGTGATGAAATCTATGCTCTTTCCGTCTTTGAAAATACCGTCGATGAACATCCCGCACCTGTCAAATTCGAATCCGCCCTCTCTATTGATCTTACTGGCATTATCGACCCGAGATTGGTTCATGTCCTTTGGGGTATGAGTAAAGACTTTGGCGCAAACGGTATCCGCCTTGGCGTCATCATTTCCCAGGCAAACCGTGATGTTCATATGGCCTTAACCGGGCCCGCGCTTTATTCTTATGCTTCTGGACTCACGGATTACCTGACTGCTCTCTTGCTTGAAGACTTCGATTTCACAAATCGGTATATTCAACAAAATCAGAAGTTGCTGTCAGAGTCCTATGCATACACGGCCAACTGTCTGAAAGACCACGGAATTGAATATGCAACAGGATGCAATGCTGCATTCTTCGTCTGGATGAATCTGGGAAAGAAATACCGCGAGGTTCACCCGGAGGATGAGTGTGAGGTTGTCGGGGAACGAGTCATGCAGCGCCTTTTGCAAAAGAAAGTCTTCTTAGCCAGCGGCTTTCTGTTCGGGTCAGAGAAGGACGGGTGGTTCCGAATTGTGTTTACGCAAGGCCATGACTATTTGAGCGTGGCTTTAGAAAGGATAATCGCAGCAATTGAGGAATAGGATAGTCTCATGTCATCACCACAAAACAATCATGCATCAGTTCGGATTTGGGATAGTTGATTCGCATGCTAGATCAAACCTCAGCACTTTTCTTAGCTAGCATCTCCATAATTTCCGTATGGCCTTGTTCAGTTGCCGCATCGAGCGCCGTGCCATAAAGCTCCCCTTTGATGGTGATATCGGCCCCATGTTCGAGTAGCAATGCAACAAGTTCTCCATGACCTTCTGCCGCAGCCATCTGAAGCGCTGTGCTCTTCCCTTCGCCTTGGAAATTGACATCAGCTCCGTTCTCGAGTAATAATTTGACAATAGCTTGATGCCCATAGTATGATGCGTCCTCGATTGCTGAGCTACCATATCTGCCTATGAAGTTAGGATCGGCTCCAATCGCCAGAAGTATTCTGACGATAAGCTCCCTGCCTTTCTTAGATGCTGTCTGCAGTGGTGTGCCGTGAGTTTGGTGATTATAGCGTATGTCAGAGTAAACAATATTCTCTAGCAGACAAATTGCAATGTCCGATTCCTCGATATCATTGCATGCTACGTGAAGCGCCGAGCCGTAATATCCGTGTTCGAAATCGACGGCCCCGTTCTCGAGGAGGATTTTGACGACTTCCCCGTGGCCTTGGCAACAAGCTCCAAGCAGCGCTGTTCCATCCATTGGATCGCAATAATTGACGTCTGCGCCATTTTCTAAGAGGATGGTAACAATCTCTGGGTAGTTTTCAGTTGAGGCTAGGTAAAGCGGTTTCCCGAAACGTCCGCCTTCGCTGTTGGCGTCGGCCCCATTCTCGAGGAGGATTTTGACGATCTCCGAATTTCCTCGGTAACAAGCTCCGTGCAGCGCTGTTCCTTGCAATTCATGTCTATAATTGACATCTGCCCCCCTTTCTAATAGGATGAGGACAATATCTGGCTCGTTGCGACTTGAGGCTATGAAAAGCGTTGTCCCCAACAATCCACCTTTGCTGTTGACATCTGCCCCATTGTCAAGGAGGATTTTGACGATTTCCTGGTTGCCTTCGCGACAAGCTCCGTCCAGCGCTGTTCCGTGCATTCCTTCGCTATAGTTGACATCTGCACCGCTTTCAAGGAGGGCGAGGACAATATTTGGGTAGTTGGAAGTGGTGGCTATGTAAAGCGCTGTTCCGGACTCTCCGCCTTTGCTGTTGACATCGGCGCCGTTTTTGAGTAGGATAGGAACAATGTCCTGTTGACGTGAGAGTAGAGCTATATGGAGAGCCGTGCCATAGCGTATGTGACGGGAGTTGCAATTGGCACCTTTGCTCAATAGTAGCGTGACGACATCTGACTGGCCTGCAGAACATGCCGCGGAAAGTGCCGATGCTGAAGACTCGTTTTCAGAGTTGACATCAATGTGTTCCTCTGACAATATATGCTCAACCACTTGCTTCAACCCAAGATAACTTGCCAAAGACAAATCTGTCATGTCCTGAAAGTCCAGCTGGCCCCATCCAGAGGTTGCTGCCCACACCCATGCCTGGTGGCGATTACAAAGTGTACGCGCATCCTTTAGGGTCTGGTCAATGATTGCGGCTTCCTGGGATAGAAAGTGCAACGACCAGTGATTGGCGGCGTAGCGGAAGAACGGGGACATTTGGTCCAATGTAGGCCTGTTTGGGCCATCTTCTTCATATCCGTTATCACCCCGAGAGGCTATGTCCTCAACAAGGGCGCGGAGATCAGGGAGCATCAAGAACTGCAAACAAGTTCTTGATATGGTTTTAGTCGCTTTAGACATGCTCAAGCGCCCTTCCCATGTACCCCGCCCCGAAGGGTCAATGAGGAACTCTCTTGCCGTTTGGTGAATGAGGAACAGCTTTGAATCGTGAACGCTGATGAAGAGGCCACTTAAACCTTTGACAATGCTTTCAAAATTATTCTTAGGCCATAGATCATCCTCCAAGGTTGCGTGTGAGTTGAAAGTTTCTTCAGCTAAAGCCAATGTCAAGGCGACATTGGCCTCGTCAAGAGTTAGAGGTCGCGCCGCGGCAAGGATGATCTCAAGAAGACGCTCGGTTTCTTCTTGACATTTGCTTCGGCTTAGAATCTTTTCGTACGCCTCGGATAACTTTGATGGTATATTGTTCAATAGCTTTTGGATGCTGGATCGCTTCCCGTGGCGGCTCGGATCCTCTTTGATTGTTTCAAAGATGACATGAAGCCATAAGTAGGTGCGGTTCTCCATGCTTTTGATGCGTTTAGAGATCTCCTGTTGATCATCAAGGGTGAAGTTGCCTGCAATTTGGCTCACATGCTCATCAATGACCAGGTCAATCTCCCACCTGATAGCAGGAGACTCTTTATCGCCGTCAAAATGCAGGTATTCTGCTGTAGAGAAACCTTTAAAATCTCTCTCTATATCAGCATATGGTCGACTGGTTATGAGGAAGCTGAGCTTCGAAGATAATGCCGAAGAACCGTGTGGTTGGGAATAGAACTCTTCGAGTTTTTTGATCAGTTGCAACCTGCTTTGTTTCTCGCATTCATCCAGAGCATCGAAGATGCAAATAACTTCTCCGGCGTGAGGGCTCTTGGCACAAGCAAGAAGGATATTCCATAGTTCAGAGAAGCTCCTTGTAAGAGCTTTGCCGTAGTTCTTGTGAGCAGGCAGAGCTAGCTTTATCAGGGTACCGCTCGAGTCGCGAGTAAATAGCTGGTGAAGTACTGCACATAAAGCATTGACGCCATACATGCGGTCTTCGTAGCCATCTTTGAAAAAGAAGTGACAAACGGTCGAAGTTGTGACGTTCAAGGACAGTCTACGTTCGTCAATGAGCGATCGCGACAAAATTGATTTTCCACATCCAGGGCCAGCAGAGAGCCACAGAAGTCCAGATGTGTTACTATCGCGCCACTTGCAGAACTTATCATCGTTGAAAAACCATTCACATGTGCCTTGAACTCTGAGTCGGTTGAAATCTTTGTAGCCTTCATAATCGGAGGCTAGATCTTGTAGGAGCTCTTTTTCCGCCTGGCCCTCGTAGTTCCGCTGGGTTTGTCTTCTGCTTTCATCGAGGACTTGTTGAATCTCTTTGAGGATAGCACTTGACTCTTGAATTTCACGTAGTTGGCGATCCCAGCGCTCTCGAACCTCTTTCTCGTTATCGAGCGAGATTAGGCTGCTGTGAGCCGTTGATAAAGCTTCAATCTCGCCCGTCTTTCCAGCCCAGTCATTCCAACCCGTCACATTCTGCCACCCCCGGGAAAGTTGAGCCTTCGACAGATGGCATATAGCACGGGCTTGATATTCGATAATGTGCGAATAGAGCTTGATCAAAGGCTCAATTAGGTTTTCGTAATGTTCTCGATGGGCGGAAGTCAAGTAAGTCTCTTCGAAAATTGTCCAATAGATTTGAACATCGCTGATCGAGTTGAACCCTTTCAGCATAGCCTCGTTCGGTGTGGCAGCACTTGCCACTAGCTATATATATATATATGTATAAGCATGCAATTTCAGAGCAAGAGATATCAAACTTACAGGAAGAAGGATGGAAACACTGGACCATGCAAGCGCCGCATATGGTTGAAAGCTAACAGCACGTTTGATGACAGGATCAGACCATAAGAGAACTTTTGTCAATTTCTCGACTTGCTTTCGAATAATGACATTATCTCCCAAGAGAGGAAGCCGCCATTGTTTCTTCTGTCTGTCTTCCAATAGCTGATTCACAACATCTTCGACAAAATCCGAGCTCGATATATTTCTTTTAGTTGTGGAGTTAGGCTGTAGAGAGGCTAGGTGATTCGCGTAATCTCTCATCAAATCTGGCTCTCGGTTCGCAGCCAATTCGTAAGCGCGACTCCATGTGTCATTGTCCTGGCTCGTGCTGGAATATGGTGGGGGCGAGGAACCTGTAGAGGGCGAGATAGACGCTACATCTTGCTCACTTTTTGACTGTGCGGCACCCACAGTGGTCGGAGAAGAACTAGCAGCCCCCACTGAAGGTCCGGCAGGCTGTAATTTGAGGCTGGAAGCAGGCCTTGAAGTTGTAGAAGGTGCGATCTTCTCTGACTCCATAGGCGGTGAAGAAGTGATCGCGCTGTTCCCCTGGGGATCACCATTGCTTGCCTCTCTGCGTTTGAATTTCAGAAGTCGCCTCATCTTGACTGAAAACAGGTCGTTGAACCAGAATCTGAGCGGCGGCCGGTATAAATGGGGGGGGGGGAGACGGGAGGATGATAGTAATATCCTCAGCTGCCCCATCTTGGGCGCCCAATGCTTGGCCTAGGACTAGACCAGTCTGGTGTCTGACATATTACCCCTCTCTGCCAAGATTGAGGTAATTGATTGGGTGTACGATATAACCACATTGGGAGCAATTTGCAAGACATTACAGCCTTTCTGGTGAGAGATGAAGAGTAAAGAAAAGGACGGGAGAGCATCACGGTGCCAAGCCTTTCCACCCGTGGATCGCCCAAGGCTAATTGAACGTAACAAAACTCGGAGAATTCAAAACATCATCGTTCTTTTCCCATCATAATAATCCTGAACAATGACAAGCGTTACTGCCTCACAATTAGTCCGCTTCAATGCTCTCCAGCGCCCGGGGCGGGATGCATCCGGCAAACGCAACCCATTTCGCCGTGAAGGCTCTTCCCGGAGTCCCAGGCGAAGCTGTATTCTTCGCAAATCCCTACAACAACCACCATGAGTGTGAGGGCCGATCCCAAATTTCCCCTCTCTCACCTGACGCTCAGGCCAAAATCATTGTGCCTTTGCTATTGGAGGCATTCGTCAACCGATTCGATGAGCCGGGCGTAATTCCCCAGATGGGCAGCAACATGGAACCATTCGCGCCGTTCACTTGGAGCACCACCGACGAGAGCCTTGCGCAGGCCGTCTCCCGCAGGTGCCAGGAAATTGGAATCAGACGCGAGCTGTGTGATGTTGCCGTCACTACCGCCGAAGAGCTTCGCAGTGCCGAGGCTTGCTGGACTCGGTGGAGCAAGGCCTTGGTGGAAGCAATGGCTATGTTTGATCTCCCGGATGACGGTGCTGAGAATGTCGAGATGATCTGTATGAATTGTGGGTTTACTCCGTCGATGGATAAGCCCCTGCAGCCGTGTTCTCGGTGCTTGCAAGTCTCGTATTGCTCGAGGGAATGTCAAACCGCGAACGCTGAGGCTCACGGTCCGGAATGTGTCCCTGGTATTGATTGATTTTCATGACTCCTTGACCTCCTTTTTTTCTAACCTGTCTCTACGGTATTTGGAACCAATTCGTTTGATATCCTATGTGGCGCGGTGAAAGGAGCTTATGTCTTGGCTCTATTTTTGTATTTTTGTATTTGTACAAAAGGATTTCTTGAATAGAATAGAATAGAATAGCTTATGTGATTATACCAATATTATTATCAAATCAAGTACTGCTCTGCTTGTCGGTTATTTTTGCGGCGTTTAGAAGGAACTCGCATTATGGTGCACTCCAAGCGAGCTATACAGACTGTAGGTGAAGTTTCTGGTAGTGGCAGACCTCGACGAGTGTCATGTAGAATTGACTCCACCCAATCTAATATATCTTCCGCACCGCCCACCGCGTACCGAGTCCCCTGGCGCAAACGAACAGCACTACCGAGACGATATAAGCCAACCCGCAAAAAAGAATTAATCCCCAATACTTCTCCACCCCATCGCTACTCTGCACGTTAAGAATTTCCCCGGCAATCGGCAACGACACAAGCACGCCCAGCGCCACAAAGATATACGCCGTGCCGTACCTTTTCCCAAAGTCTTCGGTATTGGAAATCTGCGCCACGCATACAGGGCTGAGACTAATAGCCGAGCCGCTCCAGAACCCAAAAAGAGCAGCATAGCTGTTGACGGCGGCCCCGTTCGACCCTGATTTCAGCCAGAGTGAGAGCGTGAGGATCCCGGAGACGGCAGTCGTCACGACCATGGCATTAAAACGACCGTAATGATCTGCTGCATAGCCTGGGAGAAGCCGGCCAAGAATAGAGGTTGCGTTGAGAATTGACATGAGCGTGTAGGACTGGGTTATAGTCATGCCATTTGCGCGCGCATACGAGGTGAGGTATGTTAGCGGAATGGTGGCGCCGATGTCAGCGAACATAATTGCAAGGGTAGTCAAGGTAAAAACTGGTTCACGGAGGGGGCGGAAATCAACTGTCCGGCGGCTTGTCTTGCGGTGTTCGAGGCGTGATCGCTGGAGGAGCGCGCCAGTGCTGCAAAGGGTGAGAGTAATGAAGCCGAGGGTGCGAATAGCCCAGCCGAACCCTGCCGAAGACACGAGAGCGTTGAAAATTTGTGGGAAGATGATGCCGCCGATACTTCCGGCCGTTGCAACGATCCCTGTGGCGAGGGCACGACCGGTGTAGAACCAGTGGTTTACGATGGAGACGCTGGGGGTAAAGACCATGGATGCGGAGATCCCCCCGAGGACGCCGAAGCCGAGCATGAACTGGTAGTATTCTATCGGACAATTAGAGGGTAGGAGGGGGAGGGGCTTGACACGACGGCTGTCACATACCTTTTGAGACACTGAATACCATAACAGCCGTCGTGAGACCAATCGTGCCGAAAACAAGCAAGTGCTTCGGCCCATAACGATCGAATATCGGCCCTAAACCCTCGTTAATCGTGCTCTTGCTAGCGGTGAGACGGACGTACCAAACTGAACACCACCAACTAATAAGAAGAACATATACACGCTGAAAATCCAGGATATTGACGAGTGCGAGTACTCGCTCAGCAGATTGGTCGAAAGCCAGTCGGCAAATACGCCAGTGCTGTTCATGAGCCCGAAAGATGGTAGACAAGCGCACCATGAGCCCAGAACCACGAGCCACGCATGCAAACCTCCATCCGGAAATGAATCGGGCGAGTCGTCAGCAGATACATATTCCATAGGCGGTGAGACTGCCTCGTGCTCATGGGCGGTGGTTTCTTTTACCATAGTGTTCATTGTGAAGTGTATGCAGCAGATTCAACTCGGTTTGGCAGGGGGGATTCTCAGACAGTCCCCCGGCTCTTTATTAAAAGCCCTCGGGAAGGGCAGTCAAAATAAGCCCCTTGCATGGGATAAGGCTGGGGGTTCCTCTGTACATTGCTCTTTGATACCAAGAATGGAACGGCGGGTGATCTACTCCGTACTAAGACCACAGATGCATTGATTATTGCAGACCAGTCCACTGCATTCGGGTTACTAAAGTAGGTCCTCCTTTGTTCAACTCAACTGGCTCTGGGTGAATGACTTTGGCCTAATATATTGGAACTATAATAAAAGACAACAAACTCAATATCCTACTACAGTAAAGGAGAACATGTTGAGTGACGGAGATTTGGACATACTGTTCGAGATAGTACATCTGCTCTGCAGCTTTGAAAATATAATGGATGTGTGTAGCAAGCCTGTGATATGCTTTGCAGATTTACTATTCGAATTGGGTTACCTTGATACTCTCCTCTCCCTTGTGGGATTTTTGGGCAAACCGGTCAAAGTGAAATGAGTTGACTGCTCTACCTACGAGCTGCCGTCATATTATGTCTCGACTCTTCTACCTTGTCTCCGGAGCCGTGACCGATCCTTCCTAGACTGAGGTGTACCACTTATTATAGTTACAGAAAGAATTGCCTATGATAGCGAACTATCTTCCAGACTTTCATTAGACAGGACAGGGTCTTTGCATAAATTGATTCAAAACTTGATCACTATCTATCCTACCAGCATCCCAGGGATTCGTGAGCCGCACCTTTGGCTAGGTCAACGCACTCACACATCTCCTGTCTCCAAATAGGGGAATGACCTCTTCTCCCCCGTCTCAATGACGGCCTCCATAAATACCCGAACAAGAGGGTCCATACCGACCCGGCCAGCCCTTTCTAACCACTCTTGCGTGCTAATCTTCTCATAACTGCCTCCATAAAGCTGACTTAGACGCTCACCCAACTCTCCAAGGGGGACCTTCACTCCGCTCGAATAGTGCTTGATCCGTAATGCGCCCGGCCCCTTTCCGTCCTTGAATAGAGAACCAGGACCAGAATTTACTTTCAATGCCTCCCGAATGATTTCAGCAGCAACTTCTTTAACCTCCTTAAAATCGAGATACCCACACATCCCCTCCTGCGCAGGGAAGGCGCCCAGCTCCCTCGAAAACCGCACGATACAGTTCATGCTATCTGTGTTCGGCGCTTCCTCACCAATAATATAGCAAGGGCGATGGATACACACATTCAACATTGTTTTCTTCGCCACACGCTCAAGGAAGACCTCGCTAGCCCATTTGGAAGCGATGAGGCCGTCGGAGCCGTCAGTTGGAGGCTCGTACTCCGAAACTGAGATCGGCGGGTATGATGTGACGCCGGAGAGCAGGGTCAAACGGTTCGAGGAGATGTAGTGCACGGGTACGTGTGCACGGAGGGCAAGCTCGGCGAGGAATATTGTTGAGTGGAAGTTTGGGGTTCGCGAAGAAGCGTAGCGGTTCATGCAGTTGCCGAACGTGCCGGCGTGGATGATGAGGTCGATGGTGGTGGAGAGGTGGTTTAGGGTATCCTGGGAAAGGCCGAGGGAGGAGTCCATTAGCAGGCCCGGGTGGACTGTGATGCGGTCGGAGGGTGGGAGGGAGGATATCTGTTCGGGTTCGACAGCAATGCAGTGGACTGTCGTAATGGTGGGGTTCGAGAGGAGGGAGTGCAGGATTGCTTTGCCGATGAAGCTGGCCGAGCCTGTTAAGAGGACTTCGTGGATCGTGCCTGCAGTGCCTGCAGTGCGTGGGTGTTCGTCCTGGCAGTACCCTTGGGGTTGATACTTGAGGAAATGTTCGGGTACCTTTGTCTCCTCGTCCCAGTTGATCGTGTCATCAGTGATGTGCGCCCGTTTGGAGCTCAGCATTCGGGCCATCTTCCCCAACGTGCTTTCCTTGAATAGCTCGGCGAGGGGGATGGTTATTGTCATTGATTGCCGAATGAGCCCTTGCAACTTGGCCAGAAGGACCGACGTGCCTCCCACGGAGAAGAAATCGGACCTTGGCTGGATCGCCATTCCTGGGACAGAGCTCCCCTGCAGGACTTGCTCCCACAATACCTTCAGCTCGGCCTCCGCAAGCGTAAAAGACTGGTCGGTTTCTGGACCAGCAGGGGACTTGATCTCAGGCAGCGGGAGCATCGCCAATGCCTTCCGATCGACCTTGCCATTCGACGTCGTCGGAATGGTATCGACGGGAATGAGAATACTCGGGCGTATGGACTGAGACAGGGGAAGCTCAGCCACGATATTCCGAAGCTGGCCCTGAGTCACAGCCTTGCCAGGCGCGAGAACCACATGCGCGATGAGTAATCGCGACTCACCCTCCCCTCTGGGCGACACAACAGCGTGTGAAATCAGATCGGGCGCCGCTGCTAAGATCGCATGCGAGACCTCCTCAAGGTCCACACGGATTCCGCGTAGTTTGATGACGGTTTCGCCGGTCATCCGGGCGATGAATACAAGTGAGCCATCTTCGAGCAGTCGACCTTGGTCTCCTGTTTTGTAGAGCTTTGTCCACCCGCGCGCGCGGTATTCATCTGAGGCGAAGGGGTTGTCGAGGAACTTTTCCTTCGCCATCGAAGCGTCCAGGTAGCCCAGGGCGACGACCGCACCGCCAATGCAGACTTCGCCGGGGAAGCCGGGACCGAGGAGGTTGAGGTGTTCATCCACAATGTATAGTGCTGTGTTGGGTAGGGCCCTACCAACATTGCCTACTACCATGGTGGTCGTTGGCTCTTTACCTCCTGACACTGGGGCTGCTGAACAAATCGAGACACCCCCTGCTTCAGTGGGCCCATATACAATAGTAATTTCAGGAGAAAACCGCGCCCCCAACCGCGCCTGGAACTCTCTGACTAGGTGGTCCGTGACAAGCTCACCGCCGATAATCGCATATCGCCATGACCTTAGCAGCGTCAGGAACTCCGCCCCGTACCGGAGGAGCATCGTGTGCTCGGCGGGTGTGCCCATAGTCATCGTCACGCGCTCTGCGACCATTAACCGCGAAATGGCAATCGGGTCGAACCGCATCTGCTGCGGTACGATCACCAAACTCCCGCCGAAGCAGAGCGCCAGGAACACCTGTGCGACACCCATGTCGAACCCCGGGGAGCTCTGCTGGAGGACCGTCTCCGGGCGGGAGGAGAATGTTGCGCCCCCATGGGAGGCGATCCAGTTTGTGAAGAGGCCCTGTTGCAGCATGATTCCTTTGGGTTTTCCGGTTGAACCGCTGCTGTAGAGGATCATGGCCAGAGATGCGGAGGTGCCTCTGATGGGAGTCGGAGCGAGGCTATCGTCTGCTTGAATATCATCAACATGGAGAACGAGTGTCTCTTGACTTCTAAACTGATTCACTCTCTGTACAGTCGTTGTCTGGCAGAGAATCACCGACGGCTGGCAATCCTCTATCATAGCCGCCTGGCGCGCTGCTACAAAGCTAACATCCACAGGAACATAGATTGCGCCGACCCGAAGCACCGCTAGCATAGCTGCGATAGCTTCAATCGAGGGTTCGCAAAAGATAGCAATCCGCGACCCGGGTCCAACTCCGCTATCAACGAGTGCAGAGGCAATTGCATTTACACGCGCTGCCAGTTCTGTGTAGGTATAAGAACCTGTATCATCTGTCACCGCGACAGCCTGTGCATGATCCCTTGTGATATCATCAATCCGCTCAACCAGGGTTTCCGGCCACCCATAATCAACAATCTCGCCTTCCCCGAGACGAAGGGTCGCGTCAATGACAGGCTTGGGAAACAATGCATACTGATCGACAGCTAGAGACTGATCCTCACAAACACTCTCCAGAAGATGAGCATACATCTCTGAAAACATCTGTACGCTCTGCCGAGTGTACAAGTAGTTCCGGCTGTCAATTTCGAGCAGCCATGGACCCGTCTCTGAAGGCGTGAAATTGATGCCCATGTCATAAGGCAGTCTCGCCTGCACAGCATCAACATACTGAAGCGATGCAGTCTTGCCCAGAGGTAAACTGAGTGTCTCGCCCATGCGGTAGTTTACCATGATTTGGAAGAGCGGCGTGTGTGTTGAGTTGAGTGGGACCTTTAGTCTGTCTGTGAGCATGCCGAAAGGTATGGCCGAGTTGCTTAGTGCTGCGATCGCAGTAGAAGCTGTGCGTCGGAAAACATCGGTGAATGTATCGCCTTTGTCTAAACGGAGTCGAAGGGGGAGTGTATTCACAAAGAAACCCAGTGTGCGCGCGAAGCGATGATCAGATCGTCCGGCATCTGTGGCGCCGATGCAGATCTCCTCTGTTCCAAGCAGACGACAGAGAAGAACTTGAATCACAGAGAGATGGAAATGGAAGGGCGAACTGCGCAATGTGCGCGATAAGACCTTAACCCGCTCTGTACATGCCGCACTTATTTCCATCGTGATCGTGTGGCTCGCAAAATCTTTCGAGGCCACTCGCTCCTTCACGCGCGAAAAGGGGAGCAGGGAACTCGGCTCAGGAAGTGGCATCAAATTCTCTCTCCAGTACTCGAACTGCCGATCCAGATCGCCCGATTCGATCGCCCGATACTGCGCGTCCGCATAGTCCGTATACGGCGGCGGTACCGCCGCCAGCGGTTTCTGCTGGTAGGCCAGACTCAACTCCTTGAGGAAAATAGACCAGCTGTACCCATCAATCACGAGGTGGTGAAAGTAGAAGAGGATCAGATACTCTCTCCCGCCTTCTTCTCCTCCAGATTGGGCATGCTTGTTGGGAAATACCGTAACCCGGAACGCATCTCCTTGATCCATTCTCCACACAATCTCCTTCGCCTTCTCCATCTCCCGCGTGTACAGACCCCCGACGAGATCTTCCTCGATGTACTCGAAAGAGGGCGCCGGCTCAACACGCACGCCCTGCAACAACTCACGCGTGCTTGGATCCATGAAAATTGCAGTCTGCAGCGTCTCGTGCCGTGGCAGGACTTCTTTTAGGGCACATTCAAACCGCTGGACGTCGAAGTCACCGGTGGTTCTGTAGGCCACGGCCATGTTGGCTTGCGTCGGGTCGGACATGTATTGCTCGGCGAACCAGAAGCGGGATTGCACTGGGGACACCCGGTGTACTCGTTTGAAGCTGGGTGATGGGGGATTCGGCTGCGCCATGATTGATCGATTGACTCTTGATTGAAGATGATGGATTTTGGATGAGATGAGATCTTGTCAAGTCTACTGGTGCTGGGTATTCCTTCCTTCTTTCATTCCTTTTTTCAAAGAATTATAGGATCTGATTCTCGAAGAGAAGGTGGCTTTGTACAACATAATTTGATGCATGAACCCATTCTCCACTTACACGAGCCCTACATTGGTGGTAGTATGGTACCCAACGTACCTGGAGCACACAGACGCACACCTCACTCTCCTCTCCTCGCCCACGGCGCATTGGAGATCAGAGACATGTATCAACACTCAACGGACAGTATTTCCTTTTGGGACCCAATAATACCACCATCGGACTCGTATTTCACCTCGCGTGCACGGAGGACACGACCGGACAGGAGAGTGGATTGGCTGTAGTCCGGCTACGAGTTGCAGGTCTCCACCCTTTAGGGGGCCTAACTATGCCCAACCCTGAGAATAAATGCGCGTATATCACTGGGTGTATTACATTGCATTGATTCATATGGGCTACGCTAGGGAGATAGACTGTGAAACAGGTTTTGAGGTTACTGTTATGCAACATTCTTTGGCAACTGCAGGCTACGTCACCGTAGAAACATTTAGTACTACCTACAAGAAAGTAAGGGAGGTATCCATGGTTCAATGTCCTCCTGCTGGTGTTCTGGTTTCCCGGGTATTCGGCGAGGCGGTCTGGGACAGGGCATGTAGGATATGCGCATTCTCAGTGCCACACGTCTGTGTTACATTAGTTAAAACCGTATTATATATGCTATATTGGCTTAGCGAATAGATATAGGGTTACACAGGGAAGCAATGGACGCCACCGAGTGCTATGTACATAGGTAAGGAGGGCGGGGGCTGCATTTCCTCGTAAGGCGCAGCTAGTGCGGTGAGCCCATGCGGGCCGAACCGCAACGGTGGAGTCAATGAGGTAAACTTAACTACATGTAGTTAACTAGTTAGCGTATTTCACTAGCTAATCGGCCACGCCACCGAATGAAATACGTTAACCAATTTACAATTGTTTACCTAAGTCAATACACGGATCCAGCTGATGGATTATGCGTAGTGCGTTGCAGACCGGCCGGCAGTTCTTGGTAAATTTCTCCATGTATAGCGTTACATCTTAACCGGTCATGACCTGCGCATTTTTTTGGCTTCAACCATGAGAGAGGAGACAAATCTCTTCTAATTCAAGCGATTCCTCTCTACAGCATCTGCAAGCCCCGCAATAGTCTCTTTCTCAAACAAATCCTGCACGGTCAGCGGTATATTTTCCGCCTGGCACATAGAAACTAGCTGCATTGCTCCAATCGAGTCGCCTCCAAGCACGTAGAAACTATCATTGACTCCAATCTCCGTAGGTTCGAGGTCAAGTAGGAGAGCGAACATTCGATGAAGGGCTAGCTCGGCGATAGAGGATGGCTGGGCCTTTTCGTTCTCTCCAGTCTTTGGTTCGGTTCGGTAACGTAGTAGCTGATGCTTGCTGAGTGTGGCGGCTTGGGTCCGTATGGCTCTTCGATCGAGTTTTCGGGAGACTGTCATTGGCACATATGATAGGGGGATGTAGACGGTTGGGACCATGTGGCCTGGGAGTTGTTCGCGCAGTTTCGACACAGCCTTCCGCGCGCGTAGATGGAACTGTTCATCTGGTGTCATGAAAAGCGACGAATCTGTGGCCGTGAATTCTCCTTGGTCGAGAATGAATGCCATGAGTGATGGCGAGGCCGAGTTCTCCGCTGGAACCACTACATCCGCAAGAAGAACGGCGTCATGCTCCATCCCATCCCAGCACTGCCGAAGATGATATTCCACCTCCTCCAGCTCAATTCGGTATCCACGCAACTTGACCTGATTGTCCTTGCGGCTAACGTAGCGCAGCGTCCCGTCGGGTTCGTACTTGGCGAGGTCGCCTGTCTTGTATAGTCTCCGTTGGGGACAGGCGTCCCCGCGAAACTGCCGCAACCATACCGGATCAACAACAAACGCCTCAGCTGTTTTCTCTTCGTCATCTAGATACCCATGCGCAAGGTAAGGCCCTTCAATAAGCAACTCGCCCACTGCACCAACAGGCACAAGCTGAGTATGGTCATCGGTATCAACAAGCCAGATACTACCAAGAAACGCCTCCCCAATATTCATCGTATCCCTTGTCCCAGGATTCTGCGCACTCAGAATCCCTCCCCATTCCGTCATACCATACCCAATAAGCAACCAAAATCCACCCTCGAAGATCTCGTACGCATTCTTCGGGATAGCCTCAGCGCCCGTGAGAATCGTTTGCATACTCCGCAGATTCTGGGTATCAAGCGTCTTCAACGTCGACGGCGTCATGGTCGTCCAAGTAACGCCCATCCGGTTGATGGAACCCTGTAGATCATTCATTCGGTCATGGTCTGTAGGGATACAAAGTGTGCCACCGACGGAAAGGGCACAGAAGGTTTCAACGAGGGATGCGTGCACGCTGTAGGAGGCGAACTGGAGGACCCGGCTGTTGCGGGTAATTTGGAGGGGTAGCGCGTGTGCAGCGAAGCCTGTCAGTCCGCTATGTTTCATTATGCAGCCTTTTGGGCGGCCGGTGCTACCAGAGGTAAAGAGGATATAGGCAGTAGAGCTTGCTGTTCGCTGTGGGGTGGTGTATTCTGGGGGAGATAGTTGCGCCATAGCATCTGCACTGACGCGGACTACCGTTCTTTCCGCGCGCTCTAAGCTGGCAGCGTGTGCAGGAGATGCGAGGATGACACGTCCATTCACTCGATCGATAATTCCTTCAAGTCGCTTTGTAGGTTGGAGGGCTTCCAGTGGGACAAATGCAGCCCCAGATCTAATCACAGCTAGCACTGCGACGATCGCCCAGAGGGACTTTTCCATACACAGAGGCACCATGTCACCCGGACAGACTCCAAGGGATTGTAAATGGGCAGCCAGTTTCAATGACAGGCTCTTCAGTTCGGCGTAGGTCAGGTTGCCATCCCAGGAGTGGATTGCGGCGGCAGTGGGATTTGAAAGAGCATGCTGATCTATGATGGCGTCGATAATTTGGCCGTCCAGTTGGTCAAAATAAGACTTGTTGTTCCACTGAGCGATCTGGTGATAATCCTCGGGACTGAAGACTTTTGCTTCTCGCATCTTCTGCTCGGGGTTCTTCACGAGCCACTGGATTGCCTCTGCCATGTTACCCCGGAGACGTTTGGCGCGGGATTCGGATATAGCAGGTGACCTATAATACAGTCTTGCCGTTGGATTTTCATCGTTCACACTCAGGGCAATCAGGACATCGTAACGCTAATGATTATGTCAGTGCCTATTTAATTAACACGGATACTCGATAGAAATCCTTACATGGTCTTTGCATCTTGAGTGGCAGATTACACTAAGTGTTTCCTCCAAGTCCCTCTCTCCTTGATGAAACAAAATAGCCGTGCTCACTTCAGGCCGGGATTCCAACCCAAGGGGCTCTAATTTGTGCTTATTCCCCAATAAGAAGTCTCTCACCCGAGCCTCAGGATCAATGCTCACTACACAGATGGAACTCTGTCTCCTGGTTTTCTCCTCGGTGGCCTTGCTTGAAGAGATATAATGAACACCAAAGCTGACAGTGTCCGTGTCAGTGAACTTGTGGACCACAACAGCCCATGCTATGAGTGGAATTGTGGACAGCCCATCCTTCGTCAGCCTGTTGAGTTCAGCCTGGGCTGTCAGGTATGTTATGGCCGTCTCCTTCATCGGCTGCTGGTTCGAGACGGTGTCATTGTCGACGTGCGTGATACAGAATTCGGCCTCCATGTCTTATGATAAAAAAGTCTTTTAGAATCCAATGGCTCAATCAGCCAACAGCAGGTAGACGTTGTTTTTGGGAAATGGGTAAAGATTAAGTGCAATCCACCAGAGTAACCTATCAATATATCCACGGACGAGCACCGAAAATACATACTTCCAGTATTTGGATTGTCTCCCTCAAGTCTCACCGCTGGTCCGAATGTGGCGGAATGCTAGGCCCATACCTTGTACTTCGTCGCACTATGCATGGCTATGCATTGAAGCAGGTATCTACCCAGCGGTATAGGCGCCAGCTGCCTAAACCCTATTTCCGGTAAATTTTGATGCCTTGATGCATAGTTTGGGTGTGGCGGCCTGAATTAAAACCGGCAGAAGAATTAAAATACCTGAATTTCTATGACACTTCCCTTCATAATCAAAGTAGCCTGATTTTGCTAGCGTTTACAACTCTCGAAAATGAAGGTTTCATCCCATACAAATGGAAATATCTCGACTTTCTTAGATGGTTTATAGGTGTCAAAAATGAAGCTTGTGAACCCATACAAAGTGAGATATCTCCATTTCTATGCTGATGAAACCCCTAATTTTGGGATGAATAATTTACATTACATTGTATAGGGCTAAGGAGCGGTTAATAACCAGATTAAATCAGGCATTAATGCATCAAATATTTACTAGAAATGGGGTTTTGGCAGTTGGCGCCTATACCGCTGGGTATATCCGTGTTCTTCTACTTTTACATTACCTTGGGAGCAAAGATTATCTTTCTACTCTTCCTGGATCATCCTATTTTATGCGATTCGGTATTCTCCGGGCACCCAATACACGTTTTGCGCACAAATATTAGAAGAAATAAACTAGATGTGAATAATTCAGAGCTGCTGCGTACGCTCCTAGAGGGAATGACACAGGATCAAGCTTTCAATGGCTACCTTTGTCTTCGCCCTCGTTTATCGCCGTAGTCTCGCTGACAGCAACAATGTCCTTCTTCCTCAATATTATGTCCTTAACCCCTGAACAAGGCCGTTGGGCCGTCCCACAACAAGCAGACTTCGTCGTATCTCTCGACGCCCGAAGAAATTGCATGAAATCAGTACCACCAGTTCCCGTTAATTTTACCTTCGTGTGACGGTCGAGTCCGGGTACTGCTGATATTGGCATGGGAATCCCTTTTCTCATCGGGATTAAGATATATCTTGCCACAACGCGAATATGCGCGTCCCTGAAAGCGCCAAGCTTTGTCACGGCTTTGTTATACGCCCTGTAGACGGCAGAATTGGGACAATGGTTTAGTACGTAGTCCCTGATGTTTGATATCTTCATCATGAGTGAGAGGAAAGCCCTGTGGGTGCCGGGCATGTAGTCTCTCATATCCTGAGAAATCATTCTTCTGTCAGCTTCACCACATTTCTTATGTATTTAGTCTTGAACGGTGCAACCACTCATGGACTTGACATGCCTTGAAAAACCCACAATCCTGCTTAATCCCCAACACAATATCGAAAAACTGAATCAGCGAACTCTGCGCATTACTCCCCCCACTGAACTGCACCCACTCGCCCTCCCCACATCGACAGTTCGGATAAAGCACCCCCTCCGGTAGCCCGGCACCGGCCATATTCTTGCTACCCCTTAAGAAGGGCCGAAGCTTATGGTAGAAGAAATCTGCAGAGAGTCTCTCGTCGAGCCGTGCCAGGATCTCGCATATCCGATCCATGCACGTAGAAAATGCCTCGAGGAAAGATGTCACTGTCTTTCTGTCATGAATCGTTGTGGCGTCAACAGCAGAGAGCGCCAGGGGGATGAGCGGGGCGCCTTGGGCTTCTATTGCGACGGAGGTCGTGTAGAACCATTCTTCTTCGTGTGAGCCTGTGAATGTAATTTGGGCGGAGTAGGATGAGGGGTTTGTGCGGTCTTCCTCATCTCCGAGGGTTGTGTTCCAAAGGCAGTAGGTAGCGAAGGTTGCGCAAGGAATTATTTTGAAGTGTGAGGAGACGCTTCGGAGAGGGGAGGTGATTGATAGAGGTAGTTTCTATAGGTGGTAGATTGAATTAGCGTATGTATCTTTTTAGGCTTCCAGGCTGAGATCTGGGCAGCTAGGTTCATTACTCACCTTTCGCGGCTCGTTGCCACTCCAAATATATCCCTGAGAGAGGAAGCCAAGAACAAGATATGCCCTACGCCATTCATCCTCTGTTCGAAGTTTTGCTGTTGAGAGTACCGGAAGATTGTCGACTGCATCACTGAGAGTGTCGGTCTTGAGAAGCTGTGGCAAGCCATTCACGATACTTTCCCAAGGACTATACAAAGGATCTGGAAGTTTCTCCAAGGGCTTTGTCTCTGGGAGAAAGCCGGATATAGCCGAGACCCCGTATTGTCTCAGCTCTAGATCCCCAAATAGTGCCATGGCTTTGTTGCTTCCGGTTGAGCCGTTGCGTTTGATGTGGGGTTTTATATATTAGTTAATGGACGATAGATAGCACAACCACAACAAGAGCCCACATCGCGGTTTATAGCATTGACTGGGAGACTTCTAGTGTGAATTACCGCAGCATAAAGTATGCAGTACACAGTCCAATGGCTGAGCTTCTTCAAATCCTCTATATCCCAGTTTTTTGGTCACACTCGAATCATGCGCATTCCCATAGTATCAAGCTGGATGCCTGAATCGTTCACGAGGTGACTATGTTAATCCTATCCCGTTACAAAAACGCACAGACTTGAATGAAACCCATCTGTGCCTGAGCCAATGCTAGCCCCAAGCAAGGAGTATAGGTCCTCCCTCGGAGACACCTTGTACCACATCCTTTCTACTTCGAAATGCATCACGACTATGACCGCTCCGAGGGACGAGGGTGGACTCCGCTGGAATATTTCCAAATTGTATCATCAGGAAGACGAGACAATGTCAAACCCATGAAGTAGGGGATGGTATTTTGGTACGCCACTGTCTATGTACCTGCGGTCCTGAGTAACATGACTTGTTGACACGTAGCACAATTGATAAGTGGCTTAAGTCTTTAAGTTAATTATGCCTTGAACATATATGCAGGCTCCCTACGCTCCTCACGCATTGCATAGAGTGATCAATATTATACAGTAGGATCAGACATGCCGAACACCCATCTCCACCAACCCTGTAAATACTAGGTACGGTGAAGCTGAACACTCAGCTCCGCCATCCCATACAATATACGGTGAAGTTTGGGGAATTATTTCGTGCCTTTTGTTACACTTAGTACTAGCAATGGCTGGAACAATCCAAAAAAAAAGAAACTACAATCCTGTCCGATCTACATCAGAGACACAGTATGCTGTGCAGGCTCACCGCTAATATTGATCATTGAGGTTGCAGAAATGGGCTCTCTAGATGCTTTGGTGCAACTGCCGCAGTCACAGACAACCAGACAATACTCTCTTGAGCAATAGTCTGGCCTGAACTTATATCAAACTACCATGGTCTTAAGAGCCCTTGTCCCGCCCAGCAAACGTCCAAATCAGCTATTTATTCTCCTAAGATCATAGCTTTTTGCAGAATACTCCCGCGTACCGGCCACTTCGGTCGACCTCATCTTCCGCAATGCCTCCAATCAACTTTGGCAGCTACCAGACGAAGATCTACCACGAAGGTGCACTAGGAAGATTTCCTGCCGTAACCACAAACCCAACGCTCCTCGAAGAACATGCCCGGAAAGTTCTCAGTGCTCGTGCATACAGCTATGTTGCCACTGGGGCAGGGGAGAAATCAACGATGGATGCTAACCGGCTAGCATTTCGTCAATGGAAGTTGTAAGTCCTCAAATCCAGCAAAGTGGGGGAGCGCGGGAAAGGATATTCATGGGATTGAACGTCTAATCTGGGTGTTGTAGAATCCCAAGAGTTATGAGACCGGTTCGTTTTCCCCTCTCTGCTTCTCCAATATCGGCTAGGTATTTTCCTTGAAGGGTAAGAACTAAGACAGGATGTCTTCTAGATGGACAACCAAAGTATCTCAGTCAACCTCTTCGGTCAGGAATACAAATCCCCTCTCATCGTTGGACCAGTAGGCGTGCAAGGCCTCTTCCACAAGGACAAAGAAACCGGTGTTGCCGAGGTCTGCGCAGAACTTGAGGTGCCCTACACCCTAAGCACAGCAAGCAGCAGCTCGATTGAGGAGGTTGCTACAGCGAATAAATCCGGCCATCGATGGTTCCAGCTTTATTGGGTGCACGACAAGGATATCCTCCTCTCGTTGCTCAAACGAGCCAAAGACAATGGGTTTACGGTTTTGGTGGTGTCCCTTGACACATGGACATTGGGATGGCGGCCTACAGATCTTGATCAGGGATATTTTCCATTTTATTGGGGAATTGGTAATGAGGTGGGTTTTACGGATCCGGTGTTCAGGGCCAAGTATGAGAAGGCAGGTGGAAAGATTGAGGAGGATATTATTGGCGCTGCGAGTGCTTGGGTTGCAGAGCTGAATGAAAAGCCGCATACGTGGGAAGAGGTGGACTTCTTGAGGAAGCATTGGAAGGGTCCGATTGTGTTGAAAGGGATTCAGCATGTAGATGATGCTAGGAGGGCGCTGGAGACAGGGTGTGAGGGGTTGGTTGTTTCGAATCACGGGGGTTTGTGTTTATCCTATCCCGTTGGCTTGATATGCGCTGATTGATGCCTTGTAGGTCGACAAGTTGACGGTGCTATCGGGTCGTTGGATGCGCTTCCAGAGATTGTGGATGCGGTGGGTGACAAGATGACGGTGATGGTTGATTCTGGGATAAGAACTGGGGCGGATATCATGAAGGCATTGTGTCTTGGGGCGAAGGCCGTTATGGTCGGAAGGCCTATCATATATGGCCTTGCTATCGATGGTAAGAGGGGTGCAAAATCTGTGATTGAGGGATTACTTGCAGATCTGTGGCTGGGTATGGGATTGGCCGGGATGGAGACGGTTGCGGATTGCAGTCGGGATTGTATGAGGAGAATCAAGTATCCTGGTGACTTCAAGAGCATGTTGTGATACCACCGGGATTAGCTCATGAGGCTTGCTGACTATGATTTGATTTCGGCTTTCATATGACCCACTTGGCAGGAAGTTCCCCTGAGGGAGCTAATGCCCTGAAATGAACTTGTCTCTTCTTTTGGCCCGGTCTTTGCTGAGTTTTATTTTTTTTCTTAGACAAGTACTGCTTTTAGATTAGTGTTATAGGGCTATATATGGGGTGTCCGATCCTGGTCGTTCGCCATTCAGGGGCTAAAACTCCCTAGAGTGTCGACATGCTCACAGGTCATGTAGAACTTGTCGACATAATCATAGATGCGAAACCCTTATAAATGATACTTAGCTCCTCCAAACACTATTCAAGTTAGTTTAAGTTTCAATCGCTAAAGTATAGCTGACTTGCCCGGCCCTCTTAGCACGGTCGTATAAAGTCTACACTTGACCTATTTACTAGAGGCAATCTTCTAATAAAGACAGAATACTACGCTCGATATAAGCTTAAGTGGAAGTAGCGGAGCGCGAGCTATTTATTAATAGTAACCCATCATGCGTTAAGACAATTATTCTTTTGGCAGCATGACTCAGGCAAAAATTGTCAAAAACAGGTTTTGTGCAGGACCTTGCTTCTGCTTGACAAAAACAGGCTTGGCGCAGAAACTTGCTTCTGCTGCGCGATGTCAGTGGTAGATTACCACTTGAGCCCGTTTCAGAGAGGATCTACAGAAGCGTACGGGTACGGAGCGGTGTAGGCGCCAGCTGCCAAAACCCTATTTCCAGTAAATGTTGATGCCTTGATGTCTAGTTTTGGCCTTAAATGGTAGGTAGATTGATACAATTTTGACTGCATACTCTACCTAGAAAGGGTGGATGACTCAATTACTGCTAGAAATATTACCCAATAAGAGAGTTAAGTTCCGATGGCATACTTAGTCGCCCGTAAGAAGAGGAGCTTACTAAAAAGCAAACCCCCTGACTTCTAGTATGGATTAGGACGGGACAGAGGCATGAACTTAGAAAAAATAGCTGTTTAGTGATAATTCATTGCTACGTACGAGACCTTACTGATTCATCGATCGTCGACACGCGATCATGGCCAGGTATGAACAACACAAACGAGGAGAACCGACTGCCTTGGCTAACTCATGGACATTTGGGTCAAATACATTTGCCATTCCAAAACCTCCCCCGGAATCTCATCCAACGCTCCCCAGGATGCTTGTAACTCGTGCAGAACATGTGGAGCCACTCGCCCTTCCGCGATGAGCTTGTGCAGGTACTGAACCAATCCCCTGTAGGCGCTATCAAGAGAACCCGAGATCCAAGCGTGGTGGGCGCTGCATGCCTCTCCAACTAGGAACATATGACCATTGGCTGCGGGCCTTACGAGCTCAGGGTAGAAGTGCCGAAATTGTTCCGGTCCGAAGTATGAAAAGGCTCCCGAGGCACAAGGGTCACTATACCAATCATAAGCATGGTATTCCTCGTACTCGTCCTGAATGATGCGTAGCATCTTTTCATGTCCGAATGGCCTTCCAGACAGTGGGTCGACGTAGTTTTGGTGAAGAAGAGCGAGATTGTGACGCAGGAGCTGCTCAAGTTCGCTTCCACCTGTGTCACTACCTATTAACGATGCCATCTGCTGGGCATCCTGGCCCCAGGTGTACGAGCACAGTAAAACCCTAGATGGCGCCTCTGAATTTGTCTCTGGGGATGGATACACGCAGGTTCGGATCGGAAGATCGGTTGACGCCTGGCCTCCTTGAATCTGGCAATATCGTGTCCACCAAGCTGATTTGAATTTGATTGCAATTTTTGTCGAGGCATCATAATGAACGGACTGAATAGCTGCCTGCTGCCCAGGTCGTAGCGTACCGGGCCCTATATTCATTCGACGCATACATGGAAGACTGGCTGTATTGAAAACTGCCGAGTATTTTCGAGACTGGGTCTCTCCATCGACGTGAATCAACATTGGTTGGGATGATTCATGCGATTGATATGCAATCGACGTGACACGAGCCCCTAAGGAAGGCCTGGTGGATATCCTCTTTTCCATCTTCTCGATGACTTGATACGTTCCTCCTGCGACACGGTACCACTGTACCTCCTCTCCAGACGTCGTAGGGTATTCAAAATCCATAGCATCCAAGACGGCCTCAGAAAGTGATTGATCATATAGCCCAGAAGCGCTTTGATGGAAATGGTAGTCAGCAAAAATAGAGCTTAGTTGAGTCTGGGATGGTGATAGGGCCAACCTTGCGACTGTTTCCATGTACCAAATTGAATAGAAGTCCAACCCTCTGGATTGATGACTTAGCGAAAACACTTTTGGTCCAAAGAGTTTGACTTACATCTTCTCTCTAAGATAGTCTCTTGTGGTCATATGATCATATTTCATCAGTTCGATAAAGCCATCTTGAAAATTGTGCGCCAATTTCGTGAAAAATGGACCAAAAGCGCGTTTCAAAATGCTTTCAGGTCCTTCAATGACGGTTCTGCATGAAGAATTAGCCTCTCAGCACCACTTTATTGTAATCACATGTTAATTTACCTGTCGGGAACCATTCCGCCCCTTGAAATGCTCATCCGGAAGGGATCTTTGTTGGTGTCAATATTTCTTCCTAGGACATGAAGCTGTCCATTGAATACCGTTGGGCACATTTGCCCTGCGTAGTGATATGGGATAAGTTCAATGTCACAAAGGTCAAAAAGGTCAAACGTCCTATCATGATGTGAGGAGCTGAAATCTCCAAATGGCTTTGACATCCTACCTTGCAAGTGGTGTAATCTAGAGTCACTGAAGGGTTAGCGTATCAGATTTTCCACTCGAATGTTTGATTGCTCACTGACTTTAGGAAATCTCATCGCCCCCACATCATAATAGTCTTTTTTTCCGGGCCCAAAATGATGTGTGTAAACTCTTCCCCCAACTCTTTCGCTGGATTCGAGTATCTCATAGCTAATATGAGGAAGCTTCAGGCTGTCAAGAAGCATGCCGAGAAAAAGTCCTGATATTCCGGCACCGATGATACATATTTTGATAGCTCCATCTGGAGCAATAATTTTGTCGGGGATAAAGGGAAGGGCTGGCGGACTTGACAGCGTAGGGGAACCATTTCCTTGGTTGAAAAACGGGATAGGGATCAGCCATTTCCAGTCAACAACGTCCAATTGAATATTAGCCTCGCTAATCTCATTGAGGATATGGCTTTTGGCAATTTCTTGTGCCCATCTAGTTCGGATAGAGACAGGCTTTCCAGTGGTTCTAGCGTTGAACTCCACTGCCCTGGTAGTTCTGATGGAAAAGCCTGTGTCACCTCCACTGACGGTCCTTAATATGCTCTTAAGCCAGGACTTGATATCGCTTCCGCGCCACACTCGGAGTCCTTGAGTTGCAAATAGACTATTATCTACCTGCGTCATGGCTTTCATTGGGTTGGAGGGAACAAATGCCTGTCACCAGCGAAGTGAAAGTAACTCAACAGCTTGAGTATTATTTACTACACTACCTGAAGACTGGTGGGTGATGCGATATGTTAGCCTCGTTCAGGTGCATATAATACCATTTCGAAAAATACAAAGTGAGGAGGCGACAGGTTATGGACATGATGGGGAAAATTCGTGATGCAAGCTTGAACCGTTCCGGAACTTGCATGTACATGAGAATTCAAGGAAGATGTTGCCATTTTTGGGTTGTCAGTAAAACGCCCAGCGAGAAAAATAATATTTCCCTGAATAGACTGTTCATCCCCGTGCAGTCAAAATATCAGACTGCCACCTGCGGCTCCAATGTTCCATATACAGTATGTCTTTTGCCTAGATGGCTTAGCGAAAGACATAAGATCAGCATAGATTACAGTGTGGGAATTATACTCATCAAAAAAAGAAGTGTTCAGCTAACCTGTTAAATTTGACCGCCACTTTTACGAGGCGCTCTAGTGCCAAAAATGTTCAGTATAAAGATTGTGTAGTGTGGGTACACGACATGCCATTTCCCTATGAGAGACTCCGGGCGGTTTTACTTGTGACACTTAGGCCACTAAGCTTTAGGTTTGTCCGTCAATGGTCACTATTATCGAAGAGCCTGTGTAAATTATTATGGTCCATAATATTTTTAACAATTATATGACTTACGATATTACCATCGAAGTACCTTTTTATATTGATCCCGTATAAAGTGGTGATGACTTACTAAGGCTTTTGTTGTAATTCAGGTTAATTCTTCTGCCAGTCTTAGGCCTTCAGGCATGAAGGCATCACATATACTGCGTAGTCGCGAGAAGATACCCCGAGCTATCTCTTCATTGGTGCTTACATCAAAACCTTAGAAAGGCCCCACATAAGGGAATAACATCCTCCGACATTCCCTATGTTTATTTTTCAAGTTCTCAATTAGATTGCTTACAATGAGTGGTGATAACCATGTTCCAGGTAAGATTATCATGTGGCCTCTCAAGATACGTGACCAACGTTCAATGCCTGATATTATGCCCTTTAGGAGCGACCCCTGGCCGAGATGGACTTCCTCAAAGAGGGCTAGTGTCGTGAGTCGATCGGATTCCGGATGCGCCATCCAGGCCGTGCTGTGGGGTAATATTCAATGCTGAACAAGTGCCGAGGTGTGAGCGATGCAAGCAACGTAAATCAAGATGCAATCGTCAATACCCTTCATGCCAACGGTGCGAAGCGGAAAATGTACAATGCGAGTATTCTAGTCGGCGAAAACCAGGCTTTCCAGCCGGCTACCGCCAGATTCTAGAGGCCAAAATTAGTTTGTCATCCCGAAACAATATACAAGCTAGCTGAATGGGGTTGACTTTTCGATATAGGTAGACTAGAGACGGAGGTCAAGACGCTGCGTGAGGCTAATGATGCAGGTGCGACTCAACATCGACCTGCTCTTGTCGGCTCTGGTTTGAACGTCGATGTCCAAGATCCGTCTTCGCCGGCCATGAATCCATACTGCAGTGACTCTCGCTCGCTCATCGAACAACCGCCACCGGCGACCTCAACAATGACCAGGCAGATTTCGGAACAGAAACCACCCGCAGATCTTGTGGTGTCCTTGATCTCCCTGTTCTTTCGACACATCTACCCATGGCTGCCATTCCTTGACACCCAGCATGTATTTTCCGAGATGGGAGCGATGGATGAGCCCTCTCTTCTTTACTACGCGCTCTTCGGCGTCTCCTTGCCATACTCGTTTGACTCCCGGTTAGACCAGGCTTCCAGCGATTCATTCTGGAAATACACGAAGCGGCGCATTTTTATCGAGATCATGGAAGAGCCCTCGTGTACCTCGCTCGAGGCTCTGACTCTCCTGACGCTTGACTTGTCTGGCATGACCAATGGGCCGCAGGTATGGGGAACACTTGCTGTGGCCACCAAGCTTGCGGCACAGCTAAAGACCGTGCATGGACATGTCTTAAGATTATCAGCGGAAGATCGCCCGAATAACGCATCTATCGAGGCAGACGAAATGCGTCGACGGAGGCTTTTCTGGGCAATATACGCACTAGACTGCTACATTTCCATCACAACCAGCTATCCCTCGACATTGACAGAGCTTAGCATTCAGCACTTTCTCCCCACCCAAAAAGCTACGTGGGGTGAATATGGTTATACCCCAAACATGGATTCCAACCAGAGCGAATCGAGTCAGACTAGGGGTCTGGACACCATTCCCTTGAATCCCATGTCCGTCTTCGGTTATCAGCTCGAATTACTAGATATCTCGAGGCGATTGCACAGACTCTACATTGACTACATCACGCTCTCTGAGAATGATGACCATTCGCCCCGGTGGCTTGAGCGCTTCGGAAGATGTGAAGGCGACATTTCAGTATGGTTTCACACCATACCACGATGCCTTCTCATCAAGATATCCAATCAGCCCCCAGTTATCACTTCTCACATTCTGCCCTCGGTTGTCCTACTTAACGTATATTACCACGGCTTAACGATCTATCTGCATGGTCTGACCGCATATGCATCGCAACAGATCCTTCAACTCGAACACTCGGATATCCGCACAAACAGCCAAGATATTTGCATGAGGAGCGTGGACGCTCTAGTTTATATCTGCTCCACATTTATAGACAAGGTTGACAATAAGATCGGCTGGCCGTTCACCTGGTCGATCTGGGTGGCCGCCCGATGCCTCCTGGCCTCCGAGTACAATGGCTGTGGCCAAACTGCACCACACTTTGACACTTTGCTCGAATATCTCAGGAAGATGGGAAAGTACTGGCAGATTAGCAGAAAATACTTGCGTCTGCTCTGCCAGGCAGAAGCTGAACTCAAGAATGGTCGATCATCCGGTGACACTACTAGCTCGCCAGGGCTTCTCCCCTTCATCGTGGATATGCGAATTGCAACGTGTGACCTGGAAGACCGGTTTCGTGTCGACCCTCTCTTATCACAGGCTGCTCCCCCTGGAGGACAAACTACGCCGTTTTACGGAGATCCGTCCCTCTTCGAATGGCGTCCCGGAGAGACAAATTTGGATACCATTCTCCCAGCGGAGACTTGCTTCGGTCTCCAGGGTCAACCATCGGATAACTGGTTTACGATGCCGCTCGTTGCATCTTCAGCATATGAGCAGTTTCCGTCATCTTCTTTTTGTAATAGTAGTACGACCGAGAAATGATGGATAAAGAGTTGCTACCGATGAATTGCTATGTCTTTAAACTTGATATGTTGTTTTTCCCAATACAGCGTTTAGCCCTGGCTCACTAGCCGTTGCTTTAGTCTTCTCTAATGTTGATTTCACAATGAATGTCAAATCGTCGGCACTGTCCATAACCAATGCCGGATGAGATGACAGCTTCACATAGACCGGCATCACCATTGGCTTTGACATTTCGAACCTCAAACTGGCCGTAGCGTCGCCGGAAGCTGTCGCTCCCCACAATACCCGCGCAACACCCGCGATCTCGCTGCCTTTCATCGGCAACGGGACAGTCGTACTAGCTCGCGGTACAGGGCTAGTCTTGGCTGGAATAAGATGGACGACCATCCCGGGTCAGTGGGTCGGAGTCCCACAACCTCAGCCATGAATTCGTAGATGGGTGTGCTACCCCATGCATGGCAGTCGGAGCGTTGAGAAACACCGTCCCCTTCCCATGTGGTCAGGCCCAGCGCTGGGCGCGCCACGGGTCCTAGTACCGGTGAATATGCTCGTCATAGAGATTGCCTCCAGCTTTACTAAGAGCCCGCAGCGTATAGAAGGACATTGAGATGGACGCCTGCACGAAGCTATCCCTTGCGGCTGGGTCCAGACTTCGACGCAATATCTCCTGGCCCGTCTTCTCAGTTGCTGCCCCACTGAGCACGGCCCAGACCTGATTGTAGACGCTGTAGTCTGTAGCTTTGTCTGCGGAGGATACGAGGCTGTCTGTGAAGAACTGGCCATCGAAGCAGTGAAGCTGGAGGCTATGAACAAGCCGACCCGCTCGGTACATGTATTCTTCGGCAATACTCGGTCTCCCCAGAGAGGTCAAGAGCGCAGCTGCGTTCTTCGAGGCATAAGCGTAAAGATGGTTTATGTAGGTTGGTATCCCCGTCCTCATCACGGCTGGGGGAATCCCGTACGGCCTCCATTGCTCGGTCCAATCGACAAAATTCCAGATACCAGGTTGCATATCAGAAGCGACAAGCCCAAGCCTCTGATCCAGGCGACAATGAAAGTAGTTCAGAATTGCGTCCACGATAGGAACGAGGGGGGCTAGGAAGGTCTTGTCGCCGAAGAAGTCCAGATAATCCTTGAGCATGCAAATCCAGAAGAGCGAGAAATGGGGAATCGTTTGGGGTTTATGCGACGGGGCCCGACTAGAAGTGAGACCTATCCGTGCCTGAAAAGAGTTGTGGATCTATACAATGCCATGTCTGGCCAACCGATCATCGCCAGAGAGATAGTAGGTAAACAGGGCAGAGCTTTGAGTGTCCATGGCGTATTGGAGCTGTTCATAGAATGGGCAGTCTTCATAGCAGTCGGGCATACAATTTGCCAGTGTGCGTACGCTCGTCTCCCATAGCTTGTGGGAGAGATCATCGGAGCTTGTTACTTTGACGCTAGCCCGGACATCTAAATGATAATTCACTGTCTCAATCTCAATGTTGTGAAGAACCAACCCGGATGATCCGACATCAATGTTGACCCGGATGAAACGGAAGGTCCGGAAGTGGAAAGGTGTGAATACCTCAGATATCTCATCGTCATGATAGCCGGTGCCCAGGACATTTGTCACTCCTTCGAAGCGGTATATGTCCTTGGCAGCATCTGAAGCACTGCTGGTATACCTGTGATTATTGAGCAACTTGCTGTATTACTGGTAATATCTCACCAAAAATGGATGCTAAGTTTCCCAGACCAGCAAAGATTTTGTCATGATAAGAAGGCTCGCGGGCAGTGATATGGCAGACTTTAAAGGATGAACCATCAATTTGAGCATACGTTACACAGGTGACTTGGGAAATTCTCTATCTATTAAATAATTTTCCGTGCTTTATTGCTCTAGATGGGGTTACTAGTAGAATGACTGCGTTTGACGTTAACGACGGCAAGTTTTAAGTGACATGTTTTCTACTATGCCTCACTATGTGAGTCTTCTCGAGATTTGAAAGAGAAAAATGGCCCCTCACTCACGATTCAAGTTTTATCATGTGGATCAGAGAAGTTAATACCGTGATGCCTGATGATCGGGGAGAAAACTAGGGCTGGTCCCGCACGTGACCGCTACTTCTAGCACAAATAAAGATCACCAGGGAGTTTTAGGGAATTTAAACAAATTTACATGCATAAAAAGTGGGAATTGAAGTTTATGGATATAAAATAATCTTGTTGTATTTCATTTATCGTATGAATATCATTATCATGTCTCAAAAAGTTCCCATAGTGGGCCCGAGAACTAAACTCAACTCCCTATGCATGGGAGGATGTAAATGCAAAGAGTACTTTTTGTACCATCTCTTGGAAAAAGCCGAACCGCTTGAAGAACAGAAGGAAAACAGGAAAAACAGAGAGGTATCACGTAAGGAGCGCCGAGGGGTATGCAGGAAGGAGTCAAAGAAAAGATCAGACAACAGGCGTCAACTGAGTGTGCAAAGCCTGTGAGAGAGCCTCCTCTTGACGCTTGAGCTCCATCTCCATCAAGTACTGGGCATACTTGGACCGAGGGTTGTGAATACCACACTCAGTCTTCTGCTGTCCCTTCCAGCGGCCAGCGCGCTCGTCCTCTCCATCAGCAACGGGCTGGGTGGAGTGCCAGTCACCAATGCTCTTGTAACCACGGTCAAGGAGCTCGTTGTAGGGCACGTCATGCTCCTTGGCATACTGCTTGACCTGGTTGAAGGACCAATTGGCCATGGGATTGATCTTAATGAGGCCGGCCTCGTCGACTTCGATGATGTCGAGGTCACCACGCTTGCCGCCTTGGCTGCGGCGGCGGCCAGTGAGAACGGCGTGAACATTCATCTCACGGTAGGCACGCTGAGCAGGCTCAACCTTGGCAACCCAGTCGTAGAGTTGGTCATCGACCTCCCAGAGCTTGGTGCCGTACTTGGCTTCGAATTCGGCAGTGGTGTCGACGCCAGCAGGCTTGTAAATGTGCACATTGTTGTTGGGGTACCTGCGACGCACACGGTCGACCAGGGACATTGTCTCATCGAAGTGATAGAGAGTGTCAAGGAAGACAAGGTCAACCATCTGGGGACGAGGCACCTCCAGCTTTGATAGCATGTCCAAGGTGACAAGACCTGTGAGACCGAAGGCCGTGGTCTGGAAGAGATGAGGAAGTGAAGTAATGCACCATTTCAAGATCTCTATAAGGAGGAGTCAGATAAAAAGGTCTCTGGAAAGAGGGGTTATGATGGATATCAGTACGAACCTTGGGGCTCAAGGAATTGCAACTGGCGGTTAAGGAACTGAAGATGGGGCTTGGTAAAGACAATCTCGGGGACGTAGTCCTCGCTAGAGCCAGAACCAGCACTGACATAGCCTGACTCAGTCATGCTATCGTTGTTGTCAATGCCCTCCATCTCTGAGGAGTAGTTTGTGGGCATCTTGGCCGGCATAATGTAAATAGCACAGAGTAACCTTAGAAAAAAGACAAGGGAAGAATTGTATGTATGAATGTATGGAGATATCGAGGAGTATGAAGAACAAAGTCACAATGTGGGCGAGAATATAAGAACACCAGAGGCAATCACATCATCCGGAGGTCCGTCCCTGGCATCCTCTTGATCCGATATTCTTCATTTCAAAGACTCAACGATGCAATTGGCCAGTGGCCAGAGTGGGGAATGAAAACCACCCAAGCACGCCATCGACCGGCGATTGCGTGCTTGAATTCTCATATCTCACCGCCTTCCTAAAGCAGAGAAATTGTCATCTCAATAGGGCGGTGAGACCATGACAGGGCGTAGAGTCAGACTGGCAGAATATCAAAGTCGATTCTGCCGGGGAGAGAATGGCGTAGAATGTCATTTAGGTTGTAGCTTAGTGATTCCAACCCTGGGGTGTTACCCCCGGACATTGATAATTGCCGCTGACCAACCCAGTCGATGATAAATAACCATCAGGAGTATTCCTGGTTCCTAAGTATAATGTTAGCAGGTTTTCTTAATCAATAAACCGGGCATACCTAATAAGGGAGTCGTGATTATCATACTATGTATAACATATATTGGACAACTTATTATATCCATGAATAGAATGATCCGACTCTGAAGTCATGGTGGATCTATATGGGGTGCCTATCCCAAGATTGAGCTCATCTTATTCCAGCCATGAGGTCCATCTCTATCACCTCATTGTCAATTCTGCCAGGCGGTAGCACACGTGAGAGGGGGGAGGCACCGTCACGTGAATATTTGGTGGGGCCCGAATCCACGTGCCGATCGGCGCGAGTCGTTTTTGATCTTCGGAACTGTGGGATCTCTCAAGATAGCCTCAACCCGCAAATAACTCTGTACTAGATCCCTTCACCAGTAGTACATTATGGCAGATTCTACCCGCCCCACGCGGCCATCCCTCGGCCAAATGCGCAGCAGTTCATTCCTGCAGGACCACCAGCAGTACAAGCCGATGGCTCCAATCAACCCAATCACTCAGACCATCGGCGAGGTACTGGGTAGCCAGATGGACGATCAACTCGTACTTAGCTCGAACCCAATCAAGCCAGATCCGGAGAGAGTCACCGACAGCGGCATCATTCACAGCATCTTCAACCACCACGCAAATCCTCTTCCAACCGGCACGTCGCAAATCGTGGCGACCATCTACTACAAATCTAACAACCCCGTTCACCCCCACTACCACCCCGATTCAGGGCCCCAGAATGCCCCTGGTGACAAGCTCCCAACTCCCAAGGTGCCCGAAGGCTCTGCCCCGACAGAAGACATGGATAAGTTCCCGCGGGAGCCACCTGCCCCAGAGCCGGAACCACTTGATCACCTGTACGGGCCATACGTCTCTCAGCTGTGTTTGACCAACTTCCTTCAAATCTTGGAAACCCTCCCCACCCCCTATCAGCGCATGAACACTTCGCACCGCTGTCTTGATCGCGATGAACACCCCCGTGTCGTGGAGGTCACATTCTCTCCCCCTCCGAACCCGGACTATCTCTCGTTCCCAGATCTGCGCAAGCATGAGAGCATCTGGCGCTTTGAGCGCGAGTGGAACGTTGAGGTTGTCCTGCAAAAGGAGAGCGTCTTCCGTCGCCACAAGCGTTTGGCTGTGTTCGACATGGATAGCACCTTGATTGACAATGAATGCATTGACGAAATCGCCAAGTTCATTGGTGTCGAGAAGGAGGTTTCCGTAAGTTTTTTCTTCTTCAGACTTCAAGTCTTTATGCCAATTACTAACATGAACGCAGGCAATCACTGAACGTGCCATGAACGGCGAACTAGACTTTGCCGCATCACTGAAGGAACGTGTCGGTCTTCTTAACGGCGTCACCGCAGATGTCTTCGAGAAGCTCAAGTCCGTCCTGAAGATCGCCAAGGGCGCCCGTGAGCTCTGCCGCGCATTGAAGACTCTGGGCTACAAGCTCGCTGTGGTGAGCGGTGGCTTCCAACCCCTCGCTGAGTGGCTCGCCGAGCAGCTCGGTATCGACATTGCCATTGCCAACCACGTAAGCCTCGCCTGTTTCCTCTTTTTTTGGGGTCCGATCTAACCTTTTGTCCAGCTCGAAATCGACGAGGTCACCCAGACCCTGACCGGAAAACTGGTGCCATCCTACCCTATCGTCGACGCCGCGCACAAGCGCACTCTCCTTAAGTCCATCGCCGCCGAACACGGCATCCCTATCTCGCAAACAATGGCCGTCGGCGATGGCGCCAACGATCTCCTCATGCTCCACGCTGCAGGCCTCGGCGTCGCCTGGCGCGCCAAGTCCAAGGTCCAGCTGGAAGCTCCCGTCCGCATCAACGGCGAGAGCCTTGTCGATATCCTCTATCTGCTCGGCATGGACAACGAGGACATCGCCGAGCTGACCTCCGACGCGCAATAAGTCCTTGAGTAGCTAAACGGGCGAATCGCCACTTTAGTAGAGTATACACTTGTGTGCTGGCGAATGCCCTCTGATCTAACTTTTTGGATACATTATACCCCTCAGAAAGTCAAGCATGAAACGGTGTTCACAGCTGGTTGTAGGGCTCGACTTGGATATTTCCTTTTGTTGAAGGGTTGTGGAGTTTATCTCAGTCCTTACCTTTAGTAGGGTCTGCGGGTGTGATGGACAGGTGTTGCACAATACGTAGTACGGAGCATAAGATTGTTGTATAGCGTGTGATTTTTGTCCCTGTTCCTACGTGCGGCGGGTTCCTTTCGCCTTGAAGGCGGGATGTAGTGGATTGGGGAACGGAGCAGGCTCAGACCATGATCTATGACATTTTGATTGATATGAGAGAAGCAGCACTGAGTTTATTTCTAGTGCAGCTTGGAATTAGGAACAGACAGAAAGAAATATGCCACGAATGACTTCTCCAATGGTGATACAAGTACAATTCGTGTTGAAATGTTGAACTGTTGAAATGACAAAACCAGCAAAATCCCCTTATAAAACCCCCAAAACCGACAACCCAGAAAGATGCAAGAAAGATAGCGCCGAGAGGTTAAACATTTGCATGGAGTCAGAAGATAAGAAGACATCGGCAGAGATAAACAGGTTTATTTAGGTAGTTGATTCGGATTTTTGTTCAAATGCAAGACACCTCACCGGGTAGCCTCGTCAGTGGTAGCAGCGCTCTGGTCGACAGTGCGCTCAGCGGTGCCAGAGCCAGCACGACGCTTCTTGAGAACATTCTCAATGAACGCCTCACCAGCCTTGTAACTGCTTCGCACCAAGGGGCCGGAGGCACAGTACAAGAAGCCCATATCAAGGGCACGCTGGCGCCACAACTCGAAGCGATCAGGGGTGACATATTCATGGACAGCCATGTGACGCTTGGTAGGGCGCATGTATTGACCGAAGGTCACGACGTCGACATTGACAGCACGGAGCTGGCGCAGGGCATCCCAAAGCTGCTCATCAGTCTCGCCAAGACCGAGCATGAGCGAAGTCTTCGTGACAAGATCCGGAACAGCCTTCTTCGCAGCATCAAGCACACGAATCGACTGCTGGAAAGTGGCACGACGATCACGGACAAAGGGCGTGAGCTCCTCAACAGTCTCAACATTGTGCGCATAGACATCTAGTCCAGACCGGGCAACCAATGCCGCCATCTCCGTATCACCGCGGAAGTCACCGGTCAAACACTCGACCAGCATACTCGGCTTCTTCTGCTTGATTTTGATAACCGTCTCAGCGAAGTGACGCGCGCCGCCGTCCACCAGATCGTCGCGATCCACACTCGTCAGCACAATGTACCCCAAGCTCCAGCGGGAGATGGCCTCGGCGGTATTCTCGGGTTCGTGCGGGTCGAGCGGGGGAGGAGTGCGGGATGTCTTGACACTGCAGAAGCGACATCCGCGCGTGCAGGTATCGCCCATCAACATGATTGTCGCTGTGGCGGAGGACTTGTCGCTTCCGCCCCAGCAGTCGGAGATGTTAGGGCACCGGGCCTCCTCGCAGACAGTGTGCAGGTTCAATCCTCTCAGATCCTTCTTTAGGCGCTGGAAGTTCTTTGAGTCGGGGATGGGAGTCTTCAGCCATTCGGGCAAACGAGTCATTTCCTTCTTGCGCCCGGCGGGGCCGACGAGCGCGGTCTTAAGGGCGTAAGCTTCGGATGGGTCGAGGATTTCGTCTTGACCTCCTGAGACGAAGTCTGAGAATGAGGGTCCTGCATTCAGCTTATCCTGGAACTTTGTTGGTTTCCGCCGTGTGGTTCCTGGTGTGTTCGTAGCGGATGAGGAGTCCGTTGTAGCATAGCTTCGGCGGCCGATAGGAGCAATTACTATGGAGGCTGGGGATATGGTTTTGAAAGACGACAGGCGTCGTAGACTTCTTGTTGGAGCTGCCATGATGTGTGAGTGTATGTGAAATTGGAGAAAGCCGAGCTGGAGTTTGTCCGCCTGAATCCTCAATCCCGCGGAAAAGTATGACTAAGCAATTTCGCCATCCACCGGGGCGTCAGATCGGGCGGGAAAGTCCATTGTACGTCGATGATGAGGCAAAAACACGAAGTTCGAATATGAAGTAAAGCTCATAACGTTATGAGAAAGTTCAATTGCATGGGCAGCCTCTGTTCTTGGCGTTATATTGAAGGTTAAGACTACGATCTCTTTTTGTACGTCACTTTCCTCGGTTCTCATGGCTAGAAGGATGAAAAGGCGGCATTCTCCGACTTTATTATATATAAGTAGGAGCTGAGTTACTGGTTGATTATGCCATTATATTATGGATACTATGGATGCTATTTAAGAACTACATATGTAATGATGGATGCTCGACCCCCAACGCACAAATTTACCGACCGATGTTCCAAGGACCGCGCGATGCAAGGGTATGAAAAAAAAATCAAAAGAAACCAGAAGAAACCCAAAGAGAGTAGAAAGAGAGCGGAAATTGTGGACAGACAAGGAGAAGGAGAACTCAGTGATTAGAGCAAGTAATGGTGGAGGGGACAGATATGAAAGGAGATAACAAGGATAGTCGATGGGAAAGATTCTTGGAGAAGAGAGTGCAGGAAAGTATTCAAGGGAAAGGGAGATGTCAAAGCAAAGGATAGGCTTCAGTGGGGTGTAGAGAGAGAACAGGATTAATAGAGGCAAGGAAATGTTGGATGCAAGGAGTGATCAATGCTAAGCATTGGTTTCAAGTACTTGGGCGAGAACTTCAACAGCCGATTTCAAAGTAGTATCTGATCGGCCACAAATGGCAAATAGGAGGTTGTCCACGGTTTGGTCGAGGTGTGCCTGAAGGTCCTTGCTGCGAGAGCTGAAAAGGTGGTCCTTGGGCTTGTGAGCAGACCCAGATGGAAGCTGGATGCCTAGTGTAGTGTATGCTTTTTTCGGGACGCCGTCGACGGGGTATGCGTCTTTGCGCGAAGAGACTGATGGCTTGGTTCGGTGGAGGTTTGGTAGAGAAATTAGGTAGTTTCTAGCAAGCAGTGCAGCACAGAGACAGTCGAGTAGGTTCTCTGTGACATCAGGGAATATAGTACGGAAGGGCCTAATGAGGGCCTTCTCATCGTTTTTGCGAAGGAATACAATAACAGGGGATGCGAGCCGGAGCATATGACGAGGAAAATCTTTGACAGAGTGGTCCAGCTCATCTAGAGTCCATTCATGGTCGTCCAGCGTCCAGTCATGGTGCCATAGCCGTGGTTTTTCATCCTCTTTTTCGGACATTATAGATGCCTGCCCTGCAGAGTGAGCTGTTGGTGGGGATGATGCCTTCGGGCTCACGCTGCCCGATCTTATTTCAGGTTGGGGGCTTGCCTCGCGCTCTCCCTGCGCGGTTTCAGGCCTTTCGCCAATCACGGTTGATCCGACGCTGTCCGAAGAGGTCAATGACCCTGGATCTGTATATGCATCGTCATCGTCATCATCGCCTTTGCTATCATCATAACTATCGAAAGAATATCTGGAGTCGCGAGATTCGTATCCACTATCAGACAGATTAAGCGGAGTGTCCGGACTGAACGCGGATACTTCCTCTTGCCGCTGATCTGGGGTCGTCGGTACCAGTTGTGGCAGCAACGAGAGTGGTGGAAGGAGTGGGAGGGATGGTGATGATTGTCGAGCGATGTCGACGAGCTTTGGTCTTGTCTTGCTAGCGACGGCAAATCTCTATGTGAGGGTCAGCTTTTGTTGACATATCGTAAGGGGTGAAGCGCTAAACTTACCACAGGTTCTTCAAGGGCTTTTGCCCCCGGGATAATGTCCAGTTTTGGCATTGGAGGATCATTCTCGACAATCTGGAACTTGCGCCGGTTGTTGAACTCCTTTGTGGATGAATTTCGGTCATTCACCTTATCAGCCGGCACTCCTTGAAGCCATCTTTCGCAGTATGAGAAGTTGCTCGGCACCCAGCTAGCTTCACTCGAGACTGTCCCGGTCCGAGGGCGTTGAGGTCTGGGTGAGCTCCCTGGAACGAGGAGTCTGTCGCTGTGCACTGACTTTGGTGATGCAGGCTTCTTGGGAGATTGGGGTTTTGGATCCTGAGCGTTGCCAGACTCGCACTGGCGTACGAACTCTGAGTGGGCTTCATGAACATTCATGACATCTGTTCGCGGTTGATTCTTCCAATCTGGGGGGCGGTACGCTGTGTACTGTATCCTTTCTCCGATTTCGAGCGTGGCGGGCGTTGTGGAACGATCCGGTCGAGGGGTATCAGAGTCGTCTTTCTCCGCCTTCCCAACACTTGATGGACGTGATTCATCGGAGGACTGAGAATCAAAGTAAGATAACTCTGGACCCGCACTTGCGGGGCGTGATTCTGTTATAGGCGGACTGGGTAGAAGGCCGAATGCCTCCAGGCTGCCACAAGTCAGGTTTTGGTCTGAGCGCCATGTTCGCAATGTGTGGTCGGCCGGAGCTTTCGACGGCCTGTTTGGCTTTTCAGTAAAGTTAGGAGCAGGGCCATCCAGGGACGCTGGGGATGTCGGGAGCATTAATTGAAAGGGTTCTTTCATTCTTCGAACCGAGCGGAAGGGCGACATGCAAGTTGGGCCGCGATCCGCAGGGCGCCGCGATATTGAGGTCGAAAGGTCCTGTGATTCTATGCGCGGCATCACTGGTGACGCTACAAATGATAGGGAGGGCATCTGTCTGCTTCGTCTTCGGGGTACATAGGTGGGAGACCATCGGCGCGGTGATGGGATGCGCTCGGCCATTGCCATCGAATCGTGGCTCATCGAGGACGAGTTCGAGCCCTGATTTTTTATATGAGTTTGAATCCGGGCCGGAAAACATGCATGGCCAGGCAACTCTGTCACACCAGACTCCATATCGGACAATGCTATACGCGGCTGAATGTAATCCTGGTCTGAAAGGTCGAAGCAAAAAAGCAAAATGTGTTGCACAAGAGTAACCCAGATGAGATTGGAATCCAGCTTGTTTATTGTTGAAGATTGAAGACAAAACAAATGGATCTGAATCCCTGCAGGGGCTCGATATATCCTTATACAGCGACTGTGGCGCTAGTAAGGTAATTTAAGGTGGGTATGGTCATCGGGCTGAAGTGCACATCCCTTGACAGGACAACAACCCTGCTATGAAAGCCGGAAAATGTTCAACGGGACGATTCCCCCTTGGGGCATGAAAAGAGGGTCCGTCGTCTAGCACGAACACCTGAAGTCAGGTTGTGCTAGGCACGGGCCAGGGTAATAATAGTGGGAATGAGGTCGCCGTCGTCCTTGCATTCCAAAGAAGATGAGCAACCAGGACAACGACGGGCAACAATTGGCTTCAGATCTAAATCTGTAGTCCTGCAGGAGCCCGTCAACGTGGAGAGACCCCATCCGTTGCCTCATCTCGTCATAGCGAAGTCCCGACTGGGCACTTGGAATGAGACATACGGGATGCAAGAGGGGGGGGAAAGGAAGCCATGGCGAATCAGGCCCTTGAGAATGGCAACAGGATCGGCCAGAGGGTGTATTAAAGCGGGTCTTCATTGGATCTTGTGTCTCGTCGCAACAGCAATCCACCCCTTCTGGCCTATCCCTTGCATGCATCTGGTTCATACCGATGTTATTGAACATATCGGGCTAATTTCTGGAGGTTTGGATATAAATGCCTGATGAGGGCTTGGATTGATCGTCCTGGGCACCCAATTTGAGTCGGAATACACCGATGAAACAGCCATCATTTCCATTGATAGACTGGCGCAAAATGATCCCTCATACTTGCCGAGCTCGATTGACCCAGATGGCGCTGACTAAGAATGATAGATCAAACAACCAGCGCGTCTAATATAAAACACGGCACAATTAATTGATAGATGCATTTAAAACAATCGCTCTGTCTATTAATATTCAAAGATCGGGGATATCTTTAGAAGGTTGCATTAGTTAGAAAGCCAAATTGGTTAAGATAGATCACATACAGCGTGTGGAGGGTCGGCGATTATAGTCCAAACAGTGCAAACATCTCGTTATCAATCGATTAAGAAAAAAAACCTCGGATGGAATGGGCAACTTGAAACCAACCTCCCATACTTCGTATGACAACCTCATTCTTCCATTCCTAATGCTTTCCGAATCATTTGTGGCGTCGACGCTGTCATCCTCCAAATCTCCGACAGCCTCGCTCAGAGATGTAGGGGTATGCGTCCACGAACTGCAGCCCACGTCGATACTGCGATCGACTTTCAAGAAGAGCTCAACTTTGACCAATTGTCTGGCTGTCAGCCCCTCGCATATCTTCACGGCCCAAGCAGACAAGGCTGTTATTCACGTGTACAACCGGGAGAAGGGTAATCAGGAGGGCATTGTTCCATTTCCAGAGCGGATACGCAGCATTGCTGTCGCGGGGGGCAAGTATGGTGATGTCTTGGTGTTGGGCACCGAGGGTGGTCGATTAATTGTCTGGGAGGTATGTTAGATCTAATTGACACATTGCCCCATGTTATGCGACTAACAGCTCTTTTAAGACATGCACAGGACGCCAAGTAGCCACAACGGCCTCCCATCTGCAACCAGTAACCTCACTCGTCGTCGACCCCACGTCCAACTTTATTCTGTCCGGCTCCGCTGATGCCAGTGTACATGTCTGGTCCTTGCCCGGCATTCTCTCGTTCTCGAAACCCGCTCTTAGCGCGACTCGCCAACCCACGAACTCGCCTATCCGAACTTTCTCCAACCACCGCGCAGCTATCACCTCTCTTGCTGTTGGACATAGCAATGGCCGCCATAACATTGTGGTATCAACCGCAAAGGACAACACTGCCATCGCATGGGACTATCATACCGGCCGAGCACTGAGAACCTTCCTCCTTCCCTTATCTGCAACGTCTGTGGCTCTCGACCCCGTCGACCGGGCCTTCTACGTGGGATATGAAGATGGTAGCGTGCAATCTGTAGACTTCTACCGGAGCCAGTCTGCACAGAATCCTCTACACGATCCCTCTGTACAATCAACACCTGCGCAGGTGTCCATGGAGGACCGCTGGCTCCCTCCCACAGCTGAAACAGGCTCAGTGAAGACAATCTCCCTTACATATGATGGCACCACGTTACTCTCCGGCCACGCAAATGGCAAGGTTCTGTCCTGGAATGTTGCGCGACGGAAGTATACATCATCAGTTGCTGACTACACGCACCCGATCACCAATCTGGTCATGCTCCCTCCGGGTGGCATCCCTCACCCTTCGTCTGATTTGAAGAGAAAGGCCCACACCATCGTCAAGCCGCGCCATGATAGCGGCCTTTCAGCCCCGAACCATGCCCCTGGCGCCGTCCCTGCAGAATATATGTTCCACACGCACATCATCGCACCATCAGACTCCCGCAAACCAACCCAATTCTCTCAGGCGCTTACTCATTCCTCTTTCCCCACCTCCATGATTGAAGATGGTCTTGTCGAGCTTGCGGCATTCCGCCAGCCTGGTAATGCGGAAGTTACCCGCGTTGGCTCAAACACCGCCCCCGCCAAGGAATCTCCTGAAGACGCAGCTGCCCGCGATTCGCAGGTTACCGAGCTAGAAAACGAGGTGTCTGTGCTCAAGAAGAAGGTTGCGGTCAATGAGACTGCTCGCCATAATGCAGATGATGAGGTTGTACAGCTGCGCTCAGACCTCGCCAATCTGCAGGATTACATCAATGAGTTGCACGAGAAGCAGGAGGCAGCACAGCAGGAGAAGGTCCTGCGGCAAGCAAGGAAGCAGGAACACGAGACGAAGAAGCGGGAAGCCTGGCTCGCTGCAGAGAAGAAGGGTCGCAACGGTGATGCTGTCGTTCAAAAGATGGACATTGATGGTGCAGTGACCAGCGACTCGGACGATCAGAGTGACGAATAGAAAAAAAAGCTTTGGATTTTTGTTTGGCATGTCAATGGATCGGCGCAGGGTTTTGGATTAGTATATACTATATCATTTTGGAGCTTTCAGGTCAATAATAAAATGTCCGACACGTTCATGACTATGGATATGAGTTGCAATTCAATTTCCCAAATGTTTTCTCGTATCGCCCAGCTCGTCTGTGTCTTTGAAAGGGCGAGTCATCAACCCTAAACAACAGCTCAGACCTCCAACTCCTACTAGCCTAAAAGTGTTCATCATCCGAGCTACAATGTTTCAATAATCTTCTCGTTCCAGAAACAGGGGTCTCGCATCTACAAAATTGAATAAAATATACCTTGGAGGGGATGGTTTCATTTCCTGGTGGACCAGAGTGTTAGAGTGTTCGCGAGGCAACCCCGAAGGGGTAATGCAGGGCTCTCATGGCAAGATGCGCAAGGATGCACAATTGTCTCAGAGAAGCTCCGCAAGCTTCTCTTCTCTCACTCACCAAGAGCATATTTCTATGGCAAATTGGGATTTAGCAAGGTCGCAATCCTTGTATATCATCCATGCCCTTATCCCGCTCGCGCCGTTCCCTCACGTTGGGTCTATACGCAGGGAGTCGATCTCTATACAACTACCACATACAGAGATATTGGGTCCCGAGCAAAAGAGCAAGGAATTGATGCCCATTGCGTTCGTAGCATATCTCCATTTTCACTATGAAATCTCCATCTCCTACATCCAACACTCCCACAAGACAAGACAAGACATATTCCGGGGAATCTCAGAAAAGACTCAAGCCACCGCATGACCACATCCCTGTTCAAGAATCTCCCCCTCATCAATCTCTTTCATAATACTAATCCCAGCACTAGTTCCAATGCGGAACGCTCCAGCCTTGAGCATGCGCAACAGAGCCTCAGCAGTGCGTATACCACCACTAGCCTTAATCAAGCAAGAGCACCCGCACATATCCGCCGCCAAGCGCATAAGCTTAACCTGCTCAACACTCGCACCGCCATTCCATCCCGTGCTAGTCTTGACATAGTCCGCACCAGCCAAACAGCACACAATCGTCGCATCGAGGATCTGCGCCTCTTCAAGCACAGACGCCTCCAGAATCGTCTTGAGGATAATTGGCGCCGGCGCCGCCTTGCGCACCGCAAGAACGTCCTCATACACCTCCGTATACCGGCCCTCTTTCAGCAGGTGGTACCGGATCACCATGTCGAGTTCTGTAGCGCCCTGCGCAACGGCATCTTGGGCTTCGCGCACTTTCTCGGCTGTCGGGTGCGTTCCTTCGGGGAAACCGACCACGCATGCGAGTGCTGTGTTGCTGCCTTTGACGTGGCTTGCTGCGCGGGCGACGTGCTCCAATCGTACGCATACGGCGGCGAAGTCGTATTCAAGGGCTTCTTTGCACAGAGTGTCAATCTGTGAGGGGTCGACTGGGGTCGTTAAGAGGGTGTGGTCTATTGTGCGGTGGATTTGTGTTGGAATTGGCGCCTGGGACAGTGAGCGCTTGGGAATCTTTCCCTTCATGTTGGCTATCTTTTCCGCCCATTCGGCGTCTGTTGTTGGGATGGCGCTCATGCTGGGCGGTTTGTGTAGGGTGCCTTGGGTTGAAGAGCACGCCGCCGGAGTAGTTTTAGAGCGGAAATGTGTTCGAGTCTCCTATCTCCCTTGGCATAGAGGGGAAGAGGGGTTGTCACGTGGCGCTTCTAGAATCATCATGACGACCCGCGGGTGATTCATATTGACACGATGTGACCTTGAAGAGGCGGTGTTGTGGCGCTAACGGACTAGTGTGTGTGTATGTCGGCAATTTCGGCAAGTTCTAGGGATATAGCAAGTTCAATGGGCGAGTATCAACCTGTAGTATATGTATATTTCAATGGTTGTTGTAGAAAAGTACAAGGTCCAATATCAAAGGTCTATTGCAGGATGCATATGACAAGCTTCCCAGCCAAACAAACCACCAAACCTAAGGACCCTAAGCCCGGTCAT